CGGGGTGGGAGAGAAGGTCTGAAAGTAGTCAACTCCCTGCCGCTGACTGAAGCCACGAGCCACGTAACGCGCCTTGAAGACAGGCGGAGAACCCGGCGGCCGCTTCACCCTGAAAATCCACATGCCACTGATGATGTTCGCCCCAGGCGGGGGAACCTCGTCAACGTAGGTGCCTGTGGACTTCCAGGAAGCCATCTCTGTGTCCATAGCTGCCTGCCACTAAGAGGAGTAGGGACCCTCTATCGCCTCCGCGTAAGAGCGCGGAGTCGGGATGTCAAGTGCATCCAGGTCTCCCTCAGGGGTAAGCAGTACGGACACGAGATGAGGTGAAGCAGCAGCCAAACACTGGAACTCCTCCTGCCTGTCCTCAAGGACGTCCGTGCCAAGGGCACACTCACCCCCGACGGACGGAGGACAGACAGACTCAGACTCAGCGACAAGACTAGCAGCGTAGTCTAGACGACAGCGAGCAGCGAAGTCGACGAGCTCAGCAACTAGGGCAGACGCAGCAGTGGACTCAAAGGAAGGGTCAGTGACGACAGTAGCAAGGAGACGCGTGACAGTAGGACTGGCAGCACGAAGAGAGACCGACTCCGGGTCGGCAAGAGTAGGAAGCGAGGACTCAGGAGGAGAAGGCAAAGGGGCACGCAGAGGAGCAGTGGACGGACGTAGAGACATCCGGTGCGTGCCAGGGATAGGAGGAGGACGCTGACGCGAACCACGACCACTAGTGCGAGCAGGACGGACAGGCGACGCAGGGCGAGACGCAGGCTCACGACGCTCAGCAAGACCTCCAGTAGGACCAGTGTAGGGAGAAGGAGCAGGCAGTGGGGAGGACGGCTGTAACTGTAACTGTGACGGGACAAGCTGTGGACACTCTAAGGGAGGAGGAGGACCAGTAGAAGGCGGGAGACCAAGAACCTGCTGAAGGAGCGGAACGAAGTACGGCCGAGGCCGCGCGGCGAAGGGGAGTGCGAGGGTCGCCACGAGAGGCACCTACAGCTACAATGCTCTTCTCAGCTGCAAGGAGTTCCTTCTCGAGTAGGTCGATAGTGAGGTCTGTGGAGGAGAGAGCGAGAAAGTGGCCCCTGACAGCGCGAAGAGAGTGAGGGAGGCGAGTGACTAGGTGGTAGAGGGTGAGGTACATCGGGGGGGGGTTCTTGGCTACGAAATCGGGGGGGAGCGCGGCACGGTAGCTGAGATCACTAGTACGGAGGTGAGTGATGAGGTCAGCGACAGTGGCAAAGGCAGACAGATCCGGGAAGAGATAGGGCAGTGAGAGACGGCCTATCGCAGCAGTAGCAGGGGAGGAGTAGCGTGCAACTACAGCATCGTACAGCTCCTTAGCGGTCTTATGCTGGCCGAAGTGCTCGCGCTCATCTAATGGCAGGTGACTGCGAACGGCTCGGCGAGCATGGGCGTCACGAGTCTGCCATAGTGAGCGAGCAGTACTGTCAGCAGTAGCAGCAGGTGCGGGGGCAGCGCCGGACGTGTGGTCATATAGGGAAACGTCGTCCCTGGCAGTGATCTGGAGGAACATGTGTAGGTCATCGAGCCAGACATCAAACTTAATCGGTCGGCCCTCAGCGTCAAAAGTGAGAACAGTGGGACTGGCCATAGTGGCAGTAGCAGTAGCAGTAGTAGCAGTAGCAGTAGCAGCAGTAGCAGTAGCAGTAGTAGTAGTAGTAGTAGCAGCAGTAGCAGTAGCAGTAGCAACAGTAGCAGGAACAGGAGCAGTAGTTGCTGCACGTGGGGCGGCGCGGCTCGATCAGGGCGGCGGGATTCGGGCGGCGCGACTCAGGACTAGGCTATACGGCATGGCGCGACGGTGGGCCTGCGCGTGGGCTGCTGTAGCGGGCGGTTCGTGGCTGTGCGTGGGTTGCAGTCGCGCGTGGGCGGCGGCTTACGAGGGCGACGCGGCGGCCTACGGGTGGGGCTGCGGCGCTCTGGACGGCCAGGAGGGCCGGTCGACGGGCTGCTCATGGCGTCCCTAGTCGCGCGGGCGGCTAACAGCCGGCGCGCGCGCAGAAAAGGCCGCGCGCGGGCTGCTAGCGGGCTCGTGCGCTAAAAAAATAAAGGCCGTGCGCGGCACTAGCGAGCTGCGCACGGGCAGCAGGAGAAGGAGAGGCGCACGAGGGCGCACTAGGAGAGAGGCGCTCGAGGGCGCTAAGTCGATACGGCGCTCGAGGGCGCTTCTAGCGGTGGGCCCTTAGGTAAGTGGTCCTAGGTCTAGAACCTAAGCTCTGCCACCCTGATTCCCCGACAAGTTTCGGGCCTTCAATGGAGCCCCCCACCCAACCCCTCCCCCTCCCCCCCCCCACCCCCACATTGTTAGGGCCGCAAGCCTGTCTCTTAGGGCGCATTCGTTCCGTCCCCAAGTTCGAAAATAAGTTCGACCTTTGTGTCAAACATTGTATATGTTTCTGTTTTGTAGGCTACAGTGGGTTAGCCTTTAGGGTGTACATTTCTCTAGGGTTCATAAACAACAACGGTTGCCCGTCATCAGAAAAGTTTACCTGGTTACGAAATTAAAGCCCGTGTCTCGATTAACATTGCAATTTCATATTACAGTCACATTTTTGCCCGTGGCGACAAGGGTGAATGTGGCGAAATGTCCGAAACACGTTTTACTCACATGCCGCCGGCCTACCTGGTGTTCTTGAAATGAGCACCGACTGTATAAATCTGGAAAAGGCTCTGATGACGCACTTTAGAATTCAGAACTGTACTCAAAACAATTCCTTTTAATTCAGAGCGATGTAACCGAAGATATTCAGGGCATTAAGGGCATATACCCCTGAATCGTTAGGCATGACTGGGACACGGAATTTGTAGCCGAAACATCTGTAGAAGTGAGCGAGCACCCCGAATGGGCTCTGCGCCTCTTCCCAGTTGGGCAGAGGACAGCTGGGATTGCTCTGTCACATCTGCCACGCATAATGATTCCATATTTTCGCGGCACTGCGTGCCATGCCATGCCTCTCTCGACGACAAAATGACGAACCTGAAGTATTTGCTGCACACCATCCAGCACTCTCTCTTCGAATAATGGAGGGACCATTGTAGCACACATCCGTGCGGCGAACAAAATGGGGTGTAACTGAACGACGATGAGAAGAAGTTGCTGTTTGGATTTGGCGACCGCCACGCAGTGCGAGAAATATGATACTTTCTGTTGCAGATAATGCAAAACTCGTTTGCACAATGAGTTGTAAGGAATATTCGTAGGAATCGGGAAGAGCGCAAACATCACATCTTTATTGAGACTCGATTCGGTTACGGTAACTTCTTATGTTTCGTGAAGGTAGCGACGCACGAGAAACGAGCCTCTGTCCGAACCGAACTAATTTCTTGCCACGTAAGTGCGGTCCGCAACATACCAGCCTGAACGTGGCAGAATCACCGCCGAAACCTCAACTACCCCCTTTGCCTGCGTGGATTTCATAGATTCGTTTGCAGCTGTCGATAGCAGCGTTACTCTCGTTAAACCGTCCGATGGAACGAGGGTTTCCAGCCCAGCACTTCCGTGTCAGACCCAAGGCCAGCGTGTAGAAGGTCGGAGCAGACGAGGGTTTCTGGATCCAAACTATGGCCGCTCCCCGCCTGCCATGTCCTCCCTCCCTCTCCACATGTGCACACTTTTCCCTTCAGTCTTTCCCAGTACCTAGGATGATATGGCAGTTTTTTACTGAGTCTGACCTACCCCCCTGCGTTCCTTGCATTCCCACACCGCGCTACCGTGTCGCCTACGAAGCAAAGCATTTGGAAAGAACATTTAGCAAACTTGCTGCGTCGCATTTGAGCTATGGTTGCGGCCGACCGAACTTGCTGGTCGACATGACGCTTGTTAGTTTTCCGACCAAGGAGGTTGTCAGTTTGCTAAAGCAAGATTAATTGTTGTGTGGGGTGTAGTTAAGAGAAAGAGGCGATTAGACTGTTTTTCCCCTTCGCCGAAGTTAACGATAGGACGTAGTCTGCCGAGGCAATGGCGGACGAGCAAGCTCAACAAGGCATGTACCGCGCGCCTAACGGCGAGCATATGTTATTTCGCTTGAGCATTCCTTTGTCGTAGGCCTCAATCGTTTTCGGAACGGCTTCCGTCGAGCTCTGTCGTGTTTTTCTCGGATTTTGGTACACTAGTTCAATAGATTTCACGCTTTTTCCTTCGTTATCACCCGCAGGTGATGTGTCTAAGGACCCCTCTAACGGGTACAACGATTGGGCTGCAGCTGCTATGCAGGTGAGCACGCTTAGCCACGAAGCTCAGCATCTGGCGACATCTGGAAGGAATAGGTTGCAGCTGTCATGCTGGGGAGCACGTTTCTGCTCAAACCTACGAACGGTGCAGCATACGCCGTCAGCAGCACACGATAGTTACGACAGCTTGAGCGAGTACTGTAACCCGAGCGATTATCGCAGAGTAACGCCCTCAAGGTAGTTCTCTATCGTTTCAGATTCACTCAAACGGGTCAGCGGACCTCAATACCGTCTTCAGATCACATCCCAGTCAGTAGACCCCCACAGTCAGGAGACCAGCCGTGTCAGCAGTAAATCAGCAGATCTCGACCCAGCCAGCAGTACTTAACCCACTCGACAGATCTCAATTCAGACAGCAGACCTCAACTCAGTCAGCGGATCTCAAGCCAGAAAGCTCTGATCCCGACTGATGGCGACGCTCCCCGCTCTTTCGTCGGTCCTTGCAGTCGTCTAGCGCCCTGTGCGCTGGAAGCGGATCTTTCCTACCCAGTTCCTCACGACGCCAGTAGCCTTCTTTTCCCGCGCGTCCCGCTTTGCTCCTTAGGTCGACTTCCGAATGAACTGGGTGCAGTCGGAACGGAAACTCTCAGTGCCCTAGTCCTTATCGTCCGCTAAACGGTCACTGAACCTTCGATTTTGTGGCGTGGAATGGTGGCCTGCAGGCGTATTACAAGTCCGGAGGGCAAGCGGCGCATGCAGGAGGTTACTACGGCGCACCAATGGGAGGGCATCCCCATCCGTACATGTGGGGACCACAGGTATGCGATTTGAGTATCATTTGATTCAAGCAGTTGTTAAGTAGTGGCGCCCTGTCGTCAATCGTCTCTCCGCTTCATGTTCCGCATTACTCTCACTCGTTTCTTTCCCCTCTGTTGTTCGATTTCCCCTTTGTCCTACTCCCCTTGCCTTCTCAGCCAATGATGGCAGCGCACTACGGTGGTGTACCACCAGGGCCCTACGGCTATGCAGCTATGTATGCTGCACCTCACCCTGGCATGGCCCAAGGCGCTGCAGGGGCAGTGGCCCCATCCCCTTACGGTTACCCACCTCCTCAATCGGTACGCTCTTTTCAGATTTAGTGACGAACATGCCTGCCCCTCCTGCTGCTGCTGCTGCTGCTGCTGCTGCTGCTGCTGCTGCTGTTGCTATTACTGCTAACTACATCCAACTCATTGAGCCGTGTCTTCCTCCACTAATCCCCTTCTCTTCGCTAATCTCCCCATCTCCAGGCGGACGGCTCTGAGGTGCCAGCAGCAGCAGCAGCGATGATGGGAATGACCCCGATGGGCCCCATGGCCATGCCAGCAGCACAGGGCTACCCCGGCATGCCCATGGACTACTCCCATGATGCCATGGCTGCTGCTGCCGCTGCCGCCGCCGCCGCCAGTGCTGCCGGCGGGGCTGCTGCTGCTGGGTCGGCCCCACCAGCAGCTGCCGCGGCGCCTGCTGCGCCTGCTGCCCAAGCTGCCCCTTCGAAGCGCAAAAGGTCGTCTCAGCAGTCACATGGTCAAGATGGCGCTCTTGCTACCACTGGAGGGACGAGCCTCGCCCATCCGCACACCCAGGCGGCACCAGGCTCGGGCCAAGCCTTGGCCCTGGCCTCAGGCTCGGCGGGAGAGTACACGTCCATGCCTTCAAGCCCATCCGAAGGCCCCTCTGCTTCGGCAGCAGCTGCGGCTGCTGCTGCTGCGGGTGCTGGTGGGGGCGGTCATGCTGCTGCTGGGGGAGCAAGAGGGGGCGTGGGTGGCGGAATGGCGTATAACCCCATGGGTGCGTCTGCTGCGGATATGTGGACTGGCGCTGCTGCTCCTGCTGCTGTGGTGCCGCCTCCCTCCCTGGGGCAGGGCGTTGGGGGGAAGCTGGGGGCACGAGCGGTAGGGGCGCGGGCAGGAGGGGATGGGGGCGACGTGGGAGGGAGTCTGATGTACCAGGTGCCGTTTCGCGGGGTGAGAATACCCCGCTGTCCTTTCGTTTCCTCCTCCTTGTTTGTTCTCTTTGGCTCGTTGTGGTTCTTCCTGTCGTGCGCGCTCGAGTGATACGATGCTTTTGGGTGCCTCTCCATATGTGTTCCTGCTAATGTGTGCTTCTCTCCGTGATCGTTTGCAGGACGAGAGGGAGGTGAAGAGGCAGAGGCGGAAGCAGAGCAACAGGGAGAGCGCGAGGCGGTCGCGGCTGAGGAAGCAGGCAGAGTGTGACGAGCTCATAGCGCGGCAGACCGCCGTGCAGATGGAGAACATGGGGCTAGCCGCGGTATGTACCCCCTTTGCCTCTCTCCTCTTACCTCCTAGTCCCCTCTTCCTGCCATGCTGTGACGAGCTCATAGCGCGGCAGACCGCCGTGCAGATGGAAAGCATGGGGCTAGCCGTGGCATGTATGTACCCACTTCCCTCTCCCCTCTTCCCTCCTCCCTCTCCCCCCTCCCCTCTCCCTCATTGCTGCTCGCCACGCGAAGCAGAGAGACCATCTGAACGCCATGTTCTGTCTATCTTTCTTCTCCCTTTCAACCTTTTCTGTTTTCACGTTGCCATTTCTCTGCGGACAGGAGCTAGCAAAGGTGCGGGAGCAGTATGCCTCCCTGTGTGCTCAGAACGCCCAGCTCCGAACCATGGTCAGTCAGCTGCACTGCCCTGCCCTGCCCTCATCCTTTTCTTCCCCACTTTCGCTTCCTTTATTCTCCACGGTCTAAATTTCCTTGCCTGGTGCCTCATCAGCACCATCTTTCATCCCGCATGCTGCTTTGCACCACGTTCCCATGTTGCCCTCTTCGCCCCCCCACCACGTCTTCATTCCTCTGTTTCCCATTCCTCCCGCCCGTTCCTTGTCTTTTCCACCCAATCAGCTTCAAGAATCGGGCATAGACCCATCAGCAGAAGGAGCGGCCTTCCCACCAGCATCGTACAACCCGGTGCACAAGTATCAGCTAACCTCCGTACCGCCCAGTACCGCTCATGCACCACCACCACCGCACGAGCCTTCAACTGCCCCTCCCCCTGCTCATCCTCCCCCCTCTTCATCAGCACTTGAACCCCTACAACCCGCCTCTACTGCCCTTCTCCCTGCTCCTCCCTCTGCACCTCATTCTGCCTCTGTTGCTGCTCCTTACCTGCCTGAGAAACCCGAGCCTGCACCCCTTCCTGCTCTGGGGCTCCTTCCTGAAGCAGCACCCGAGCCTGCGCCCGAGCCTGTACCAGAACCTGCACTGGAGCCTGTACCCGAGCCTGCGCCTGAGCTTGTGCTTCAAGTTCAGGTACCCGAGCCTGAATTTGTAGGTCCGGTGCCAGGTTTGGCAGAGGAGCAGCAGCTGCTGTTGTCAGGGGGGGAGGAACCAGGGTTGGGAGGCGGGATGGGGGGGGAAGGTGGAATAGTAGTGCTGGGGGTCCAAGGGGGGAGTGAGGGGTTAGAATCTGGTCATGGCGATGAGCTACAATCAAGGGTGGAGAGAGAGCAGGGAGGGGAAGTACCTCATACGGTGGAGGGCGCTGAGGCAGGGGCAGGCGCAGAGGCAATGGCTGGGATGGTGGAGGTGCAAGAAGGGGTGGCACAGGGAGGGGACGAGATGAACGTGCAGGTGACGCAACAGGCGGAGCAGGAGGAGCATGGAGTGGCGTTTGATCAGGGGAAAGAGGAGGAAACTGCAGCATGGGAGGATCGGAAAGAGGAGGAGGTGAAGGAGCAGCAGCAGCAGCAGCAGCAGCAGCAGCAGCAGCAGCAGCAGCAGCAGCAGCAGCAGCAGCAGCAGCAGCAGCAGCAGCAGCAGCAGCAGCAGCAGCAGCAGCAGCAGCAGCAGCAGCAGCAGCAGCAGCAGCAGCAGCAGCAGCAGCAGCAGGAGCAGCGGCAGCAGCAGCAGGAACAGCCAGAAATGGGGCAGCAGTCTGAGCAGCATGAGCAGCAGCTAGAGCAGCATAAGGAAGAAGAGGTGGTTGGTGCTGGAGGGGAGGGGATAAGAGAGGTGGACGGGGGGGAGGATGGAGCAGCAGAGGAGGGTGGGAGGCATGAGGGTGCCCCATTGGTGGGCGGGGAGGAGCAGCAGCATGTGGGAGACAACAATGAGAGCGGGCAAGGGGTGGCTGAGACAACCGAGACTGCACAGGGGCAGGAGGGTGGGGGGATAGCGGAGGCGCAGCAAGAGAAGCCTGAAAATGAAGCCAAGGAACCAGACGGATTGGCAGTTGCAGATGAGGGAGGGGCAGGGAACGAGCATGAGCAGCACCCGAGTGATGGGACAGATCATGGGGTCTCTGAGCCTTCTCAGCCAGTGGAGGAAGGGACAAGAGAGCAAGGAGAGGGTCTGAAGGCTGCAGCGGGCTATGCTGTTGGTGCGGGAGTAGGTGCAGAGCCTCCCCTAGAAGCAGCAGCTGCAGCGGCGGCGGCAGCAGAGGGGGAGGAAACAGAGATGGTAGATGCTAGTGCAGCTGAAGGATCAGCAGGTGAAAAGGAGAAGCAAAGGAGGGGTGAGACTGATTTAGCAGGTAGAGACAGAGAAGGCTCCAAGGTTGGTGAAGAAAGCACGGAGGTTGGTGTAGGTGCAGCAGGAACGGAGGGGCAAGTGGGAATCAAGGATGGTTCAGTTGCAGGCACAGCTGTGATGGCACCAACGAGTATCGGTGAAGCCATAGCTGGGGATGTACCTGCTGAGGCCTGTAAAGGTGCTGAGGCTGCGCCAGTGGCTGATGAACATGCAACACCAGTGGAGGGTGCTGCAGGGGAGGGCGTTACTGGAGAGGTTACCACTAAGGAGGGTGTTGCTGTGGAGAGTGGTGCAGGGGAGGGTGCTGTAGAAGCAACGGAGGGGAAAGAGGTGGCAGGGCCAGAGGCCGCAGGTGGGAGTAAGGGTGTAGCTGAGGAGGTGAGGGAAGTTGGGGCTTCAAAAGGCCTAATTGCGGATCGAAGTGTTGATGATGGGATTGGGAGTGTGGAGAATGGTAGCCATACACAATCAGGTGAAAGGACAGATGTTGAAATGGGAGACACGAAGGATGTCTAGGGGTACCACCCAATTATCTGGGTTGTGCAATTGCTAAAGGGGGTAGGTAACGCAGGGGTGATCTTGATTCTGTGGGCTGTTCTGGTACTCATGCTGATATTGACTGAGACGATACTAACTGAACCGTTGAGATGCAATATGTATATTATGTCTCTGCTGTACTGCTTCATTTCTTAGGGAAGCCATAACGACCTAGAGGTTAGGAAGCTTAGAACCCATTGATTCTATCACAATTCTCAACCTTCATTTTCTATATCAAGTTTGTATAAACGACTGCTTACAACGCTTTTATCTCAAACTATCACTGGACTTTGGACCCCCAACCAGGTGCGGGGGACAATCACCGTGACGTGTGATGAACCAACTCCGCCGAACCTTCCGCAAAACCCCGACTCCTTTGCCCCCAAACGCCACATTCTCGTGCTTCTCCGCGCGCGGAGCAGCACAAATTGGCAGAGCGGGCGGAGTTTCAGAGAGAAGGAGGTGTGGGGGAGGGGAAGCGCTAGGGTTTCATCATGGCTCCGCACTTACCTCATTTTCCCTTTCCCTTCCTGCAATACTCCCTAATCTTCCTCTCGCTAGACCTCTGCTGCCGCCTGCCCTTGCCGGCACCGCCTCTTAAACCGAGAGCTAGCGCTTCCTGTCAACATGGTGAGCCGGCGTCGCGTTACTTAGTCGTCGTTTTGTCAAATAGTGCACAGGGAAAATGGATCTCTCTAAGCATGATTTTCTATCTGAGAGGTTTAGTGAGGAGTTTAGACGTTCATGGTCCGAAGCCTCCGCTGCTTTCTGGCTGATTGGCGCTCGTGATAGTCGCTGGAACTCTGATAATAAAACTCTTGATAATAGTTGCGTCGCAACCGCTTGATATTCTCGTGTCCCAACGCATTTGTCGCTGTGCCGATTTGTCACCTGCACGCTCTCGGATCGCGCGACGATTACCTCTCTGTGTGCTTGCCGTGGTCGTCGTCGTTGTCGTTGTTACGTATTCGTCCTCGCCTCTCCGTCGCTATGTTTTCCCCCCGTTCAATGGCCGCTGTCATTTGCTCCTTTCTCTGTCATTCGGAGTACCGTCGGTGTACGCCGCCCACTTACGTCGTAATTACCTCCCTTCCGGCCGTCGTGGTGTGCAGGATTCCCCCATGAAGCTGGCGATTGTGGAGAAGGTGGTCGGCCGCACGGGGTCCCGCGGTCAAGTCACGCAAGTGCGCGTGAAGTTCATCGATGAGGACCGCTACATCATGAGGAACGTCAAGGGCCCCGTGCGCGTAGGTGTGTGACAATATAGCGGGTGTGTGACCATAAAGCGAGGTGATTGTAAGGTCGCGCAAGTGCGCGTGAAGTTCCTTGATGAGGATCGCTACCTCCCGAGGAACGTCAAGGGCCCCGTCCGCGTAGGTGTGTGACAATAACGCGAGGTGGCTGTTGAGGTGATTGAGACGGTATTCAGTTACGCGTGAAGTTCTCTAGTGAAGATCACGGGGAAGGTGGTGGGCCCCGCGCGTCAAGGGGTGTGAGTGCAGGGTACCCGTGCGCTAATGTGTGTGGCAATGACGCCCCGTGCGCCGACATGACTAGCAGCAGCATCGACGGTTGAGTCACGATGTAGAGATTAGGGTTTCCCAAACTCCCGCGACGGATGCATAATCGTTCCCTGCTGACTTATGAGTTCGGACCATTCGACCCTGTGTGATAGTCTGACGAGAGCGTATTACACCTCGTTTTACAGAAGCAGCAGCTTCTCATCGGGCCCGCTTCACGAGTGCAGGTCGGCCCGTGTCGTTCAGGGGAATAATACAGTCAGATACGTGGGTGACGTTCATCTTGGCCTCGCCGCAGCATTCGTGTCGTGCTGCCCCGTTGGCAGTAAGTCTGGCGATAGGAACCAGACTGACTTGTTAGCACTTGACTTCAAATCACACACGGTCCTTTGCGCGTTGGGCGGTTTTTAAGGGGGTAATCTTAGTGTTACCGGCTGAACTGATCGTTCAGGTGTTCGGTGTGATTACCCTGACAGTTCTGCCTACTGATCCCGTCCCCCCCGAACTATACCAGATGCATGCAAGTCATCCAGGAGTCTGAGATTGTAACCGAGTGCTCAACAAGATTTTGCAGCCTTTATTTCTGATAGCCTCGTGTTGCTTCCACTTCAATTCCGCTTTTCTGTTTCCTATCCCATCACTGTTCTCATTGTCGCAGGAGACGTCCTCACCCTCATGGAATCCGAGCGTGAGGCCCGGCGGCTGCGTTAATCGAAGCTCTTCCTACATTCTTACAGCCGTTGGATCAGCTGTATGTGAATCAACAGCATCCGTCTGTTCTGAGAGCGTCAATTGCCTGGTTGCGGTATTACAAAGCTGCTCGATATGGGGCTTCGTCTCTAGTGCGTCGCTGCAATGTCACGTGTATGCTTTTATCAATGCCAGCTTGTTACATGTCATTCCTATCTCACCGAATTCACCTCACTGGAGGATTACATGAGTGGAGATCCTTTTGTGACGGCTACAAACAAAGACCACTCTGATAACACATCTGACCACTCAACATCTTCAGTGCATTCATTAAATGATGTGGTATTGCTGCTGACAGCTAGAAAACGTTGTGATGCCAGTGGTCACCCAGCTTCTCTATTTCCATTCACTGGTGGACCACGCCTACACACACGGAGGACTAGGATGGCAGCAGAGAGCAGCAGAAGGATATGGAGGCTTCCTGGCAGTACCACCTGCCTGTAGAAGGACAGTGCCAGTGATGTCTGCAAGACTGACAGTGGTCCACACAGTGACGATTGAGTTATGGAGGAGTAAGAGCTGATGGAAACAGATTGCACCCACCGCTGCACTGGTTTCCCTCCCGTCCATCTCTCCATCAGCAGCTGACTTTTGCTGGCAAAAGGCTGCAAAGAAAATTCTTCTACTGCTTCCCTGCCACTTGTGATCCTGTTTTTGACCTCCTGGGCCTCTTCTGAAGACACTGTGCTCTTGCTGACATCCGTGTCGGTGTCAGCGTCGATCCATTCACTCAGTGCCTCTTCCTCTCCATCCTCCATATTGTCATCTTCGTCATCCTGCATGGGCTTGCCTTGCTGTTGTCGTGCGTACAATGGCTCATGCTGCCGATGCCCCCAACCCTGAAGCTCCTGAAACTTCCCCATCACTGGCCATTCCTGCTGCCGCTGCTGCAATAGTTGTTGTTGCTGTAGCAACCGCTGTAACAGCATGTGGATCAGCTTTCTCACAGTGGCAATGGCTCTTACCATCCACCGCACCCCAGAACAGAAAACCATAGTAGTTGGGTTAGCAAGAGGTTTGGCTGTAGCAGGGAGGTTGATGGTTTGGCCTGGAACCAGCGTGCCAAGGCTCAGGCTCGGGTTGGCTCGGGAGAGGTCAGTCAGAGAGACTCCATACCTGCGAGCGATCAGCGCTCCCCATTCACCTCTCCGCACCACGTGCTTTGCCGTGTCGCACTGCAAAAGCAACTTCCCCAGCCCTGGAAGCTTGCTAGTCAGTGGGAAGGCCACCCCTGTAGTTGCATCACAACCATCAGCATACGTCTGCATGATACAAGGCGCCTGATTATACAAGTTAGACAAGCCAGGGCCCTTGCTCCAAGTACCACCGTTGCTATCATGCATCAATCCCATGGCGCTCCCCCGATTGAAAGCCTCCCCAGCCTCAGCTAACTTAACCTGGGAGTTCCAAGTCACGAGGGCAGCAGAAGGTATGATACTTGCAGGGGTTACCCCTCGGGTTACCATGGTAGCTGGTCCAATCACTCGCACCTGGGCGCCGGTGGCAGTCGCCTCGATCAGGTCCCACTCGTCTGCTGGGAACAACCCCACCTCCACCTGAAACGCACTCCCGCTGCTCCCGCTGCTCTCGCTCCTCTTTTGAGTTGACTCAATCGCAGCCTCGATCAGGCCCCACTCGTCCGCTGGGAACAACCCCACATCCACCGGAAATGCAGTGGCGCTGCTCCCGCTGCTCTCGTTCCTCTTGCTGCTTTCGGTACGGCTCCTGGTGCTCCTGTCGTTCTCGCTGATTCCGCTGCTTCCCCTGCCCACCACGGGCGAATTTCGGTCCGAAGGCGGCGTCTGTGGGGATTTGCGCAGCCTTCGACGGCATCCAACGAATCTCGGGGTTATTGGCTCGACCTCAATCGTTTTTCGTGCTGCTGATTCACCATGGGCCCATGGGGAGTCTCTGTGTTTGTATGAGATGCTTCGCAACTGACGAGTCTTGCGATACGAGATTTCAGGAACAAAACATTCGAATGGTCGCGCGCCATTTTTCTGGAGCGGGGTTGCAAGTAATAGGCTGGGCGGGGTTCGTACAGGTAATGGTAGTAGCCATGGACCCATGTCCACACATGAAGGCCAAATTTTCCACGGTAGCAGCTTATGCTAGAAAAAACGATTTGCGGTGCTCAACCTATTCATACGGCGGCTGTGACTAAAAACTATTGCTGAGAATGAGGAACCAAGATTGAGTCACGAAGGAGGCTCTGAAGTCGGATCGGCCAGATGCAGAAGCGGCGTTGCTGTGGTATTATGGGTCTGAGCGTTTGACAGGGAACAAATTCAGTGTAGGGGCATTTCGTGGAGGGATGAAGTTGATGAGGTGGGATTGAGCACATTGCGACTCGGGCCCTGTGATTGTGATGGGTTTGTGGGGATGGGAGTTTGAAATTTGAAGCGTGAAGTGCGGGAAGGCCAGGGTAGGTTTGTGGAAACGAGATTGATGTGATGGACGTCTCAGATATCAAGTACGGGACTAGTGTGGTTCTTGTTTAGAGTGATCCGATAATGACAGAGTTGCTTCAAAAGACAACGAGGTACAATTTTGGGCACTTACGAAATCCCCCACACCCTCCAACTCTGAACATGGACACACTTCAGGGTCGTCGCCATGCCTGCTCAACTCCCAAGCCTCATTTGCCTCATTACGAAGCATCTCTACAGATTCCTAGACCTCCGGCGAAGTATTTCTCGCGTAGGCTTCCCGCCTAAGTAGTTTTCGTGAGAAGCGTCGGTTTCGGCAGCGGACGAATCTATGGCTAATATTCTTTGCTGTCGAGGTCCTCTTTTGAGGAGTCTCTCTGGGTACGTTCCTCCTCGCCGTACGCAGCGCGTTCCAGCTTCTGCAATCGCCCTCCGTTCCTTCGTCGGTGCAGCAATCACAAGTTCGTTTACTTTCTTTCCCGTTCCGTTGCGCTCTTCTCGTTAATCTTAGCTCCGTCGTTGACCTCTCCACGTGGCAGGCTCCAACTGGATAATCAACTGCGACGGGAGGCAACGACGACTAATATTCTCAACCGCAGATTACCTTGTCGGACCGCACTGAATGCTGCTGCATCGCCGCGCTCTCATCGAAGCTCCTTAAAGTCACATGCCACGTGTTGCGAGGCTGCAGAGAGCTTCAACGCCTCCAGATCGGAAGCGGGAACAAACCCACGGCTCTCCGTGTTCGGATCTCCCCGTCCTTCCATCCTGCAGAATACTGCTGGTTTGTTTCCGTTGCCGAGTCTAAAATTCCGTAGAATGCGCGTGCTCTGCCTCCCTCAACCCCCTCACTCCCTCCTCCACCCCACAGCCCCTCAATCCCTGCAAACCCCCTCACTTCCCGCACCACCCTCACCTCCCGCACCACCCTCACTTCCCGCACCACCCTCACTTCTTGCACCCCTCCTCAGCCACCTCAACCCCCCTTGCCTTCCTCAAATTCCTCACCTTGCTCAATGCACTTTCAGATGCTATCCCTTGTGCCCGTTCCCTCCTCTCCTCCTTGTATCCATTGTTGCCCTCTCACGCGCGCAGCTGCGCACTACGCATCCGTCTCCATCCCTCCCTTGCATCCGTCTTCGTCTTCCCCTCTCGTCTCCACCCTCCCTCCCCTCTCTCCCGCCCGCAGCTCACACGCCTCTGCACGTCGCCAGGGCGCGCAGGGGGTTCCTCTCGGAGCTGCAGTCTATCAAAGACGAAGAGAACGTCGGTCAGTGCTGCTCTCCTCTCCATCCTCCCTCCCCTTTCGCTCGTTCCCAGCTCACCCCCCTCGGCACGTCGCCAGGGCGCGCAGGGGGTTCCTTTCGGAGCTGCAATCAATCAAAGATGAGGAGAACGTCGGTCAGTGATGCTCCTGTCGTCGCTCGTCTGGCTATATTCAGCGCTCATGCATGTGTCCTCTATGCATCATTTATGCGCTCATGCATGTGTCCTCTATGCATCATTTATGCGCGTGCTGAAGCATGTATTTCTTCTCATGTGTTGTCTTTACATTGTACTTGCGCATGGTCATCCCGTGAATCAAATTATCTCTTTCCTCAATGACCAACCGCATGGTCCCCTCTCCCCTCCCTCCCCCGACTCCCCACCTCCCCTCCTTCCTAATCTTTCTTCCCATCGCCCTTGCAGCGGGGCCCATCTCATATGAGTCACCCCTGGACATAGTGCTGTACCCGGACCCGCGCTTGAGGGCGCCCAACAAGCGAGTGAACGTCTTTGATGAGTCGCTGCAGAAGCTTGTAGCGGAGATGTTCGATGTCATGTACAGGTGAGGGTTTCATGGCCTGTACAGGTGAGCATGTCATGTCATGTACAAGTGAGCGTTTCATGTCATGTACAGGTGAGCATGTCATGTCATGTACAAGTGAGCGTTTCATGTGATGTACAGGTGAGCATGTCATGTCATGTACAAGTGACCGTTTCATGTCATGTACAGGTGAGCGTGTCATTGACAGCCCCCCTCCTTCTATCCCACTCTCCCCCTCTTCCTCCCCACCTCACTCTCTCGCCCTTCCTATTCCCCCCCTCCTCTTCTCCCTGTTGTTGTCGGGGCGGAGGGGATGGGGTTGTCAGCGCCTCAGGGGGGGTGAATGTGCGGCTAATGGGGAACAAGCCCTCGGTCAATCCCTGCATTGTCGCCAAGGCGCGAGACATCAATAAGGACCTCATTTGTTTCCTCGACGTAACCTTCTCCCGCCTCCCCACTCCCCTCGCTCCCCACCTCTATCTCCCCACTCCCAATTCCCCCGCCCTCCCCCTCCCCGCTCTCCCTTCATGCGGGCAGGACGGAGGGCGTGGGGCTGTCAGCGCCACAGGTGGGCGTGAACGTGCGCCTGATGGTGTACAACCCGGTGGGCGAGAGGGGCAAGGGCGTTGAGATGGTGCTCGTGAACCCGCGCATTGTCAAGTACGCCAAGGCACGGGATGTTATCGAGGAGGGCTGCCTCTCCTTCCCTAAGATCTACGCTGATGTTGAGGTGAGTTCGCTTCGAGTGGATGCACTGAAATGAAGTGTGTGTGTGGGGGTGTGGAGATGGTGCTGGTGAACCCGCGCATTGTCAAGTATGCCAAGGCACGGGATGTTATCGAGGAGGGCTGCCTCTCCTTCCCTGTCAAGATCTACGCTGACGTCGAGGTGAGTGTGTCAGTTTTAGGAGTTCTGCAGAGTTGGATATAGTATTTGTCTGTCGTTTATGCTGGTGCTAGTAGGATGGAGCCTGATTGCGTTGGTGTGTGTGTGTGGGTGTATTTGTTTGTTTGTATGTTTTCTACTATCTATGATGTTTGCAGCGGCCAATGGGTGTGAAGGTGGATGCTCAGGATATCAACGGCCGGAAATTCAGCATCAGTCTGAAAGAGTGGCAGGCACGCATATTCCAACATGAGTACGATCACCTTGAGGTATGCCTCGTGACTCAGCAGAGGGGACCTTTGATTCCCTTATTGTGTGAGCCGAACACAAATGAGCCTTTAGCCCGAATAAGGTGCTGTGGCTGAGAGTGTTACATGCTGATGTTTGTTTTGTTTTCAGGGGACCCTTTACTTTGATCGAATGACCCCGGAAGTTCTCGACACTATTCGCAGCAAGCTCATCGTAAGTAGTCGATCCTCGCTTGCATATATGCTGCCTTTTGCACTGCAATATTTTTTAAAATAACGGGTGATAAACCTGTCGTATGCTGCAGGATCTGGAGGACAAGTATGCTGAAGCCACTGGTGCTCCACCGCCTGAGTCGGTTGCTAAAAGACCAGCTGCTACCAATGCTGATGTGACATCGGCAGTTTCTTCATGACTGGTTCACTGATGTGTATCTGTGTATCTGTCGCTGAATAAATGTCATGTTTGTCATTTATAAGAATTTTTTTGGACAAACAAAATGTACTGCACTCATTCCCCCAATCAAATTGTGGGGCTTCAAATTTCTCCCTTCAAATTGAACAGCTCCAGCTTATTTTAATCTAATTGCTGACTGTCTTGGCCAAAGCTTGTATTGCTGCTGCCGGCAATATCTAGGCCAGCTCTGGTGTAGGCTGCTATTTCCGTGTTTCTTCGACAGCCAGACTTGAGTCTCCTGCCTGTCCGCTATCCCTTCGTAACGCAATGGGCCCAGACGAGCGTCGCGTGGGAAAGCGCGACGACGAGGAGGCGGAGCGGCGCGGCGAGGAGGACCCGTGGGACGACGACGAGTCGAGCGACGAGGAGGAGGGCGACGATCGGCGAAAGTGGAAGCGAAACATGCCGTTGCTGTACGACTGGTTCGCCAACCACCACCTCGTCTGGCCGTCGCTCTCGTGCAGGTTAGGACCAAACCAAGGCGTTTCTTACGATAGCCCTTGTTTGTACACGTCAACGGAATAGGCTTAGTTTCATGAAAAGTGATTTCCGTTCAATAACGCTCACTATTCCCCGAATGACGACCCCTAATTCCGCTCACCCTGATAACTACCTCAAAGGCCCTCCGCCTTCCCTATCCAACTTATGTTTTCGCATGCGCGTGCGACGGCAGGTGGGGTCCGTTGGTGGAGGACCGCACGCATAAGTACAAGCGACGCCTCTACCTCTCCGAGCAGGTGCGTGTTTTTGTTTTTGTTTTGTTTTTTTTTTTGTGTTTTTTTTTTTCCTGGTAAATCAAATGATTTTTTTTAGTCTAGTACTGACCAAACAGGATTTTTGTTTTTCTCCCGAGCTAATACTTCCCTTCACGCCATTCTTGTATTTTTTTTGTTGTTAGTCTCTCGCCCTGTCCACCCATTCTTGTACCTTCTGTTCCCTCCCGCTTTTCCCCGAACTCCCCCCCTCCCCACCCCCACATCCTCCCCCACCCCACCTCCTCTCTTCACCCTCACCCCCTCACCCTCTCCCCCCTCACCCTTTCCCCCCTCACCCTTTCCCCCCTCACCCTCTCCCGCCTCACCCTCTCCCCCCTCACCCTCCCCTGCCTCTCCACACCCTCCTCGCCCCTCGCCTTCATTCTCAACGTGCAAAACCACAATCTCTAACGTCCTTGTGTCTCTTGAGTCGACTCAAAAGCCTCCTCGCCCCTCGCCTTCATTCTCAACGTGCAAAACCACAATCTCTAACGTCCCTTGTGTCTCTGAAACCGCATAACACACTCTCCCTTTCCCTCCGAACCCCATCGTCAGACGGACGGCACAGTGCCCAACACCCTTGTGGTCTCCAACGCGTATGTCGTCAAGCCTCGTGTAGCCGCCCCTCGGGATATCTGCCGGGTAGGCTATGCTGTGATGGTGCATGCATGGGTGGTGCATGCATGGCATGGATGATGATGGTGCATGCATGGCATGGCAATGGTGATGCATGCATGGAGTAGCAGTTATGGCAGATAACTCTGCATCGAATGGCTGTGAAACTTCACGTCCTCTTTTTATCGGCTGGCCCACCCAACCCCCTCCACACCCTTCTCCCATGTGCAGTTCAAGTGCGTCAGGCGGTCGCCCTTTGTGCGCAAGTTTAAGACCATCGTGCATCCGGGCGAGGTGAACTGTAACGAGCAAGATGCCCCTTCTACCCCCCCCTCCCCCCCTCCCCCCTCCCCTCCTCCTTCCTCCTCATGCCCTCCCCTTGGCCCATGGCAGTTCAAGTACGACAGGCGGTCGCCCTTTGTGCGCAAGTTCAAGACGATCGTGCACCCGGGGGAGGTGAACCGCATCCGAGAGCTCGTGCAGAACCGCAACATCATCTTCACCCACACAGACAGCCCTGATGTGCTCATGTGGCACGTGGAGCGCCACCCCTTCTGCACTCCTTCTTTCAACACCCCCGCCTCCACTCCTGACCTGGTATGTCAGAGGTGATGATCGGTGTGAATGGTATTTGAGAGCTGGTGCAGAGCCGCAACATCATCTTCACACACACTGACAGCCCCGATGTCCTCAGGGACTGCAGCTCCAGTCCCCACCCCGGGACTACAGCTCCAGTCCCCCACCCGGGACTGCAGCTCCAGTCCCCAACCCGGGACTGCAGCTCCAGTCCCCAACCCGGGACTGCAGCTCCAGTCCCCAACCCGGGACTGCAGCTCCAGTCCCCAACCCGGGACTGCAGCTCCAGTCCCCAACCCGGGACTGCAGCTCCAGTCCCCACCCCGGGACTGCAGCTCCAGTCCCCAACCCGGGACTGCAGCTCCAGTCCCCAACCCGGGACTGCAGCTCCAGTCCCCAACCCGGGACTGCAGCTCCAGTCCCCCACCCGGGACTGCAGCTCCAGTCCCCATCCCGGGACTGCAGCTCCAGTCCCCATCCCGGGACTGCAGCTCCAGTCCCCACCCCGGGACTGCAGCTCCAGTCCCCCACCCGGGACTGCAGCTCCAGTCCCCATCCCGGGACTGCAGCTCCAGTCCCCATCCCGGGACTGCAGCTCCAGTCCCCAACCCGGGACTGCAGCTCCAGTCCCCAACCCGGGACTGCAGCTCCAGTCCCCACCCCGGGACTGCAGCTCCAGTCCCCACCCCGGGACTGCAGCTCCAGTCCCCAACCCGGGACTGCAGCTCCAGTCCCCAACCCGGGACTGCAGCTCCAGTCCCCAACCCGGGACTGCAGCTCCAGTCCCCAACCCGGGACTGCAGCTCCAGTCCCCAACCCGGGACTGCAGCTCCAGTCCCCACCCCGGGACTGCAGCTCCAGTCCCCACCCCGGGACTGCAGCTCCAGTCCCCAACCCGGGACTGCAGCTCCAGTCCCCCACCCGGGACTGCAGCTCCAGTCCCCAACCCGGGACTGCAGCTCCAGTCCCCCACCCGGGACTGCATGATAGAATTCAAGAGTAGTTGAATGATGAGCCATTGAGGCTCTATAGTACAAACATGCAAGCAAGAGAGGGGTGAAGAAGGAGCAAACCCTATTGGCCACTAAGTTGGCCAATGGGGAAGATGCCTTGTGGAGTAGGTAACCCCACAATGTTGCTAGGTTGTGATTGGTAGGCCTTAGGACCAAAAGTTGGCAAGTGCCAACCAAGGACCAAGACCAAACCCAACCTTGACCAACCACAAAATGTGGTTGGAGTGTACACCCAACCCCCCAAGAACATAAAGAGCTACACCATTCTAGCCTATGTATGTTGTATATAAGATACAGTTACAACACAACCCCCCAACAGGCATAAGGCTAGAAAATGGAATCAGGAGGCCGCCAAAACCGGAGGAGGGGTGAGGCCAAGGAGGCGCAGAAGGAAGGAGTGAGACGCCTGGGGAAGGGCTTTGGTGAAGATGTCAGCGAGGTTGGCCGCCGAGTCGATTTTGCCAAGGCGAAGATGGCCTGCCTCAACGAGTTCACGAATGAAAAAGTAGCGGAGCTCAATGTGTTTGGAGCGCCCATGATACACAGCATCCTTGGTGAGGTGGATGGTGCTGGCGTTGTCACACCAGATGGTGGGACAGCGTTGGGGGGCTCCGAGCTCATCAAGGAGGAAGGTGAGCCAGCGCGCCTCCTGCGCGGCCATGGTTGCAGCGTAGAGCTCTGCCTCGCAGGAGGAGAGGGCGACGGCAGAGGAGCGTGTGGACCGCCAGCTGATGAGGCCGCTGCCCAGAGAGAAGCCATAACCCTGAGAGGACCGCCGATCCGGTCGAGAGTCAGCCCAGGAAGAGTCGCTGTAGCCGTTGAGGAGGGGTGGGGAAGGGCCGCCAAGGGTAAGGACATAGTCCTTGGTGCCACGAATGTAGCGAAGAACGCGCTTGGCGGCCTGCCAGTGCTCCTCCGTATGCTTGCCAGCGCCAACGAAGCGAGCGAGGACGCTGATGGGGTAGGCAAGGTCAGGGCGAGTAGAGACCATGGCGTACATGAGAGAGCCGATGAGTTCAGGATAAGGAGGGGAGGAGGGAGAGGGAGAGGAGGGTGGGGAGAGGTGGTGCCCGACCGAAAGGGGAGTGGGCTGGGGGTTACCGCGCGCCATTGCAAACCGTTCTAAGACCTGCTGGAGGTAGTGGCCCTGAGAGAGAGAGATGGTGCGGGCGGAGCGGTCGCGAGTGATGGTCATGCCGAGGTAGTGCTGCAGCTCTCCCAGGTCTTTGCATTTGAGACGGCTGCCCAGCTCCGTCTTGACAGTCTCGAGCTCGGCAGGATCGGCAGTGAGAAGAATCATATCGTCAACATAGACGAGGATGTAGAAGGGGGAGGGGGAGGTGCGGAGGAAGAGGGAGGTGCGAAACCCAAGCTCGACAAGGGTGGCAACAAGCTTGGCATGCCATTCCCTGGGAGCCTGGCGGAGCCCATACACCGGGCGGCGCAGCTGCCAGACAGAGTCAGCGGGGAAGGGGAGGTGGAAGCCCACGGGGCGCTCCATGTAGATCAGTTCACGTAGTACGCCTTGCAGGAAGGCGTTGGAGACATCCATCGAGTGGATCTCCATGTTGAGGCGAGCGGCGAGGTCGAGGACGGCGCGAACGGTAGCAGGTTTCGAAGAAGTCAAAGCCCTACCGCTGCGTGAAGCCCTTGGCGCAATACCGGGCCTTGTAGACGGGCGGTTCTCCTGGCAGCTGCTTGACGCGAAACACCCACTTTCCCTTGACCACGTTCGTAGAGGGGGGAGGGCGAGGCACATCAACGAAGGAGGAGTTGGCAATAAACGCCTCGAGCTCCTTGATGATGGCGGCGAGCCAGAGCGGGGCGTCGGGACAAGCCATGGCCTCCTCATACGTGGTTGGGATGAAGGTGGAGGGTGCGGAGGAAAAGGCGAGGACTGGTGTTCCAGAGAGGTCAGAGGTGATGGGAAGGAGGGAGGGGTCAGAGAGGTGGAGGTCAAGGAACTCCTCATGGGAGTCCTCAGAGAGGGAGGTGTGGAAGGCGCGGAGGACCGCAGGTGCTGCTGCTGGTGCCACTGTTGATGCCGCTGCTGATGCCGCTGCTGGTGCCGCCACTGCTGGTGCCGCTGCCGAGGCCGCCACTGCCGCTGCACTCGCCGCTGCTGGTGCCGTTGCACTTGCCGCTGCTGGTGCCGCTGCACTTGCCGCTGCTGGTGCCGCTGCTGGTGCCGCTGCGGTGGCTGCTGCTGGAGCTGCTGCCGCTGCCGCTGCTGGAGAGGTAGTAGAGGGGGCGGGTGCATGAGGGGCTTGATGCAGGACAGCCTGGAAGAAGTGGTGAAGAAGGGGGGAAAGAGGGGGGAGGGTAGAGGTAGAGAGGGTAACAGGGGGCGGTGCACCAAGAATACCGTCGCACGACCTGGTGTGGGGATACCGGGTGAGTGTGGTGCGGGGAGGGGGGGAGGGAGGCGAGGGTTGGGAGGGAGGGGGAGGAGGGGTACCAGGGGAGGAGTGAGCGGGGGAGACAGGGGAAGACAGGGGGTCCGGGTCAAAGATGTCACCAGACGAGGGAGGGGCACCGTGGGACTGGGGGGGCGGTGGGGGAGGGGGTGGGAGGATGGGGGGAGAGGCAACTTGGAAGGTGAAGGGGCGAGGAACCCGAAGGGTGTATAGACGGGAGCGGTGACAGTAGGGAATGCGGGCGAGGAAGCGACCTGTGGAGGTTTGGAAAAGGTCACAATGGTTAGCACCTCCTGGGGTGACAGTGGTGATCATGGATTGTTGGAGGGACCTTTGGGAAAGGAGGTTAGTGCGAAGGGAGGGAATGTGAAGACCTGTGACGGTACCTGAGGGAAAGAGAGGACAGGGAAGGGTGGACGTGTTGTGACAGGGGATGGAAAAGCTGCTGTCAGCGCCGAGGAGGGACGTGGGTGTGGGGAGAGGATGGAGTTTGCCCGCATCGCGAAAGACATTGTCAGTGGCTCCACTATCCAGGACGATTTCAAGGGTGGAGGAGGGTGAGGCGGAGTACTGAATGGAAGTTTCATTAGTAGCAGGGGCATACATAGGGGATGCAACAGAGGGAGGCTGACTAAGCAGACCAACAAAGCCAGAGGAGGGAAAGGGGGTCACACTACCACCTGTGGACGGCGCAGGGGAGGGACCGGAGAGGTGGGCCGCAGAGGCTGCATTCCTTGCGGTCCAGCCGGGAAACGGTTGCTGCTGGGGGACAGGAGGAGGAGGGAGGAGAGGAAGCTGGGGCTGGAGGTCGAGCTGCTGCTGGAGCTGCTGGAGCTGCTGCTGGAGCTGCTGAAGCTGCTGCCCGTACTGCTGCGGTCCCTGCTGCTGAACACTCTGCTGCTGCTGCTGCTGCTGCTGCTGCTGCTGCTGATGCTGCTGCTGCTGCTGCTGAGAGGGGAGAGCAAAGGCCTGGTGGGCCTGGGAGGAGGAGGAGGGAGCGTAGAGGGGAGAGGTGCGAACGTCGAGGGGAGTGGGGCGGGGATTAAGGGCGGACCAGCGAGGAGGGGTGCCAGAGTTCCCACGAGCGAACCACTCATCGCTGAGTGCCTTAAAGCACGTCTCAGTTGCATGAGTGGTTTGGTTGCAGCGTTGGCCTCGGGTGGGGCCATAAAGGGGAAGATACTGACAGGGTGGGAAGGCCGCTGCTGCACCACGACCCGCACCACCACGACCGCCAGAGCCGCCTCGACCACCTCCACGCCCACCTCCACGCCCCCCTCCACGTCCGCCTTTGCCGCTGCGCTGCTGTGCTACCGCGGCAGTGGAGGAGTGGCGAAGGATTTCTGCCTCGGTGGTGATAATCCACTGGGCAACTTGAGCGGGAGTGTCATGTTTGGAGAGGAGTTGCATGTAGGCCAGCTTGTGGGCATCGAAGGCAGGAGTGAGGCCTTCGAGGAGGTGGCAGCAGATGACGGTGTCAGGGTAGGTAACACCAAGTGCTGCAAGGCGGCGAGCAAGGTCAAGGACGCGGCGAGTAAAGGCGGCTGCGCCGGCAGTGGAATCCATGGTGATGGATCCAAAGTCCTTGATGAGGGCATAGAGGGTGGCGATGTCCTGCCGGTCAAAGAGGTCGACAAGCAGTTGCCACAGGTGGGAGGAGGAGGTGGGTGAGAGTTCTCGCTTGAGGGAGGAGGGGATAGTGGCGAGGAGGATGGCGAGAGCTCGACGGTCAGCAATGCGCCACGCAGCGATGTCGGAGGTGTAGCTAGCGAGGCGTGTAGTGTACGTGGTGAGTTGGGCGTGGTAGTCGCGGTGACGGGCAGCAGCCTCGTCGTAGGCGCGCTTGTCGTCCTCATAGCGCAGTTGACGGCGAAGGTGGTCGTTGAGTGTGTTGCGGTAGGCACGGATGGCAGTTTCCACGCTTTGAGGATTGTTGACATCCGGTGCGAAGGAGGGAGGATCACCAGGGGACTCGGGCTCAGGTCCGGGCTCATCAGGAGGAGGTCCGGTGGGGGCAGAAGGGGCGATGGGCTGGAGTCCGCCTTCCTCCTGGAACACGACGGAGCGGAGTGTAAAACCACTGACGATGACCGAGGAGAGCAACACCTCGACGGAGTGACCATAGGAGTGCCAGTTGGCGGCCGAGTTGTCGCCGAGCAGCTCGAGGGCGTCAATGGTCGCTAGATCGACCGAGGAGTCGGATGACGCCATGACGGCGGAGGGGTGAAGGCGCCGCTGCTGCTGTTGGTATTGGTGCCGCCGCTGCTGCTGCCGCCGCCGATGCCGCTGCTGCTGCCGCCGCCGATGCCGCTGCTGCTGCCGCCGCCGATGCCGCTGCTGCTGCCGCCGCCGATGCCGCTGCAGCTGCCGCCGCCGATGCCGCTGCTGCTGCTGCCGCCGATGCCGCTGCTGCTGCTGCTGGTGCCGTTAGGGGTGGAGTAGGGGGAGGAGGTAGAGGGGAAGAGAGGCTGGTGCGGAAGTGTGGGGAGGAATTAGGGTTTCGAGGTCGTGGAGATCGCGGGCAGGCGAACGCGACGGCGGGCAGATCAGCCGCGGCTGCGCGCCAGCCGTCCACGTCGGCGCAGGGGCGTCAACGGCCGCGCGCTGGCCGTTCGCGGTGGCGCGCAGTTCTTTCGTGGCCGCGCGCTGGCTGTCCGCGTCAGCACGCGGCTCGTCGACGGGGCCGCGCTGGCAGTCCGCGTCAGCGCGCGGGTCGTCGGCGGGGTCGCGCTGGCCGTCCGCGTCAGCGCGCGGGTCATCGGCGGGGCCGCGCTGGCCGTCCGTGTGAGCGCGCGGGTCGTCGGCGGGGCCGCGCTGGCCGTCCGCGTCAGCGCGCGGGTCGTCGGCGGGGCCGGGCTGGCCGTCCGCGTCAGCGCGCGGGCCGTCAGCGAGGCCGCGCTGGCCGTCCGCGGCAGCGCGCTGGTCGTCGGGGGTCGCGCGCTGGCCGTTTGCGGCGGTCGCAGGTCGTCCGCGTCGCCGCGCAGGTCGTCCGCGTCGGCGCGGAGGTCGGACGCGTCGGCGGGCAGATGGAGGCGTGGCGGCGGGAGGAAGGATTGCTGCCACGGGGGAGCGGATAGGGGCTGCGGGAGGGAGGATAGAGGCCGCGGGAGGGAGGATTGAGGCCGCGGAGGAGGAGATCTACGCCGCGGAACGCTAGATCTGAGGTGCGGGAGGCGGAACTGAGCCGCGGGAGGCTAGATCTGAGGAGCGGGTGGGCGGATGTAGGTCATAGTCCGCTAGGGTAAGGGAGCGGGGAGGGAATTACAACATGAGGATCGAGGGAAGGTGGCGTGAGCCATTTGGCTCTGAATACCATGATAGAATTCAAGAGTAGTTGAATGATGAGCCATTGAGGCTCTATAGTACAAGCATGCAAGCAAGAGAGGGGTGAAGAAGGAGCAAACCCTATTGGCCACTAAGTTGGCCAATGGGGGAGATGCCTTGTGGGGTAGGTAACCCCACAATGTTGCTAGGTTGTGATTGGTAGGCCTTAGGACCAAAAGTTGGCAAGTGCCAACCAAGGACCAAGACCAAACCCAACCTTGACCAACCACAAAATGTGGTTGGAGTGTACACCCAACCCCCCAAGAACATAAAGAGCTACACCATTCTAGCCTATGTATGTTGTATATAAGATACAGTTACAACAATACAGTTACAACACTGCAGCTCCAGTCCCCCACCCGGGACTGCAGCTCCAGTCCCCCACCCGGGACTGCAGCTCCAGTCCCCAACCCGGGACTGCAGCTCCAGTCCCCAACTCCCCATCCCGGGACTGCAGCTCCAGTCCCCAACCCGGGACTGCAGCTCCAGTCCCCAACTCCCCATCCCGGGACTGCAGCTCCAGTCCCCAACCCGGGACTGCAGCTCCAGTCCCCAACCTGGGACTGCAGCTCAAGTCCTCCACCCGGGACTGCAGCTCCAGTCCCCCACCCGGGACTGCAGCTCAAGTCCTCCACCCGGGACTGCAGCTCCAGTCCCCAACCTGGGACTGCAGCTCCAGTCCCCAACCTGGGACTGCAGCTCCAGTCCCCAACCCAGGACTGCAGCTCCAGTCTCGCACCCGGGACTGCAGCTCCAGTCCCCCACCCGGGACTGCAGCTCCAGTCCCCGATCTGGGACGCCTGCCTCCACTCCTGACCTGGTACGTGGCATGGGGTCAAGGCAGAGGAGATGAGTGAAGGGTATGACAGCTGGTGCAGAACCGTAACAGATTGTTCACGCGCACCAACAGCCAGCCCTGACGTCCTGATGTGGCATCTGCAGCGCCGCCATCCCTTCTTTCAACACGCCTTCTTTCAACACGCCTTCTTTCAGCACGCCTGCTGCATTCCCTCTCAATCCCCGTTACCTCCTTTTCTCTCCCGTTCCCCCTTCTCCTTTGCCCGTCAGATCCTGGTGGGGTACATGGATGATGTGGAGTTTGCAATGGGAGAGGCAGCCATGCTTTCTGTGCATGCCCCCTTCCCCTCACTCCCCACCATCCTCCCTCTGTTGCACCCACGCACGTCAGATCTTGGTAGGGCACACGGACGATGCGGAGTTTGCCATGGCGACCAGCCCGGTGGCGCCGCTGGTGATCAGCGGGGGCAAGGACCACAATGTGCTGCTCTGGAACGTGGCGGACCACGTCACGTCGCTGCAGGTGAGCCATCAGGTTTTTTATTTGCCAGAAACCCAGGTCAGGCTAATCGCCTTAACAGAAGGACCTGGGCAATCAGCAGGTAAGGACCTGGACCGCAAGGTGCCGCGCCGGAACGTCTAAAATTATGTCTCATCGCTGCGTATGAGCCAGCAGGGCACGCTGTGCTGTATGATGTCAACGCCACACTGCTGTGGATGTGAAGGAATCATTGCCCCTCTTACCCTTCCCTTCCCTGGTCGTTCAATCTTGTCTTGTCCCTCCCTTCCCCATCATTGCTGTCCTCTGCTGCCCGTCATTGCAGTCCTCTGCAGCCCTGTGTTTGAAGAAGTGTTTTGAGACGTCTCAAAACACTTGTTCAATCTTGTCTTGTCCCTCCCTTCCCCATCATTGCAGTCCTCTGCTGCCCTCCGCAAGCCCCACCCCGCCGCCAAGCCGAAGGCCAAGGCAGCTGCTGCGCCCTCCGCACCTTCCCGCTCTGCCCCCTCTGCCTCTGTTTCCTCCCGTGCCCGTGCTGACTCCCCTGCTCGTAGCGGGGGTAGAGGTGGGGGAGGGGGAGGGGGTGGGGATGGGGATGGGGGAAGCGCGGTAGGGGACGCAGAGAAGAAGCGGAAGCGGGAGGAAGTTGTGGTGAAGGGAGAGGAAGTGAAGGAAGTGAAGGAAGGGGAGAAGGAGGATGGTGGAGGGGAGGGGGACAAGAGAGGTAGGGGATTGGAAGGGAGCGGGAAGAAAGAGGAGAAAGAAGTGGAGGGAAAGGAGGGAGGGGAGGGCAAGCAGGAGGAGGCGAAAAAAGAGAACGGAGAGAAGGAGAAGAAGGTGGAAGGAGAGAAGAAGGTAGTGAAGGAAGAGGAGGGGAAAGAGAAGGGGGAGGATGGGGAAGAGAAGGAAGGGGAGGAGAAAGAGAAGGGGGGTGAGGGAAAAGAGGAGGGGGAGGGGAAAGAGAAGGAAGAGGGTACCACAGTAGAGGAGTCTAAGGAGAAAGGTACTGAGGGAGAGGAGAAGGTTGTGGAAGGGGAAGGGAAAGCAGAGGAGGGGACAAAGACGAAAGAAGAGGCTGAGGGGAAAGTAGGTTCAGAAGCGAAAGAGGAAGCAGAAGAAAACGTGGGGACAGAAACCAACGCGACGGACAAAGAAGAAGAGGGGGCAGAGGCACAACCCGCAGGAGCAGATGCTGATGTGGTAATGGCCGATGCTGATGGTGCTGCTGCTACAGCTGCCACTGCTGCTGCTGATGCTACTGCTGCTGATGCTTCTGATGCTGATGCTGGTAAGGATGCAGTTACTGCAGGTGGTGCTGCTGATAATGATCATGCTTCTGTGCCTGGTGTAAAAGCGGAGGAAGGGACAGGGAGTGACGAGAAGACAGGCAATGGCGAGGAGGGGAAGGCAGTGCAGGAAGGAAAAGAAGCTGAAACGGTGAAGGCAGCTGAGACAGGGGAAAAGGAGGAGACAGATACGGAGAAGGTAGAGGGGGACGTAGGGAAGGAAGTAGCGGCAGGGGGAGGGGCGGAGGCAGGGAGCAAGAGTGAAGCAGGGAAGAAAGAGGGTGGTGGTGATGATGCTGAAATAACTGCCTCCGCTGCTCCTGCGGGTGCAGATGCAGATGCACCCTCAGAGGCAGTGAAAGAGAGTGAGGGCATGGACGTGGATAAGACAGGGGGAGAGGAGGGCGAGGGAGGGAGGAAGAGTGATGCGGTTGGGAGTGATAAGGCAGGGGGGGAAGACGGTGAGGAAGCTGGGGGAGGGAGCAAGGAGGTGAAGGAGGAGAAAGCAGTTGAGGAAAGGAAAGAGGGGAAAAGCAAGGAGGAAGACGGAACAACTGACGGGGCACCAACAGGAATGGTTGTTGACGAGGCAACTGGTGGTGGTGCTGGTGGTACTGGTGCTCCTGGCGATGATGAAGCAGAGGCAGATGCAGACGCTGCAGGCAAGCCCACTGCTGCAGCCCGGTCCTCCTCCCCGTCCCCTCCACTCAAGCTCGGATACGCTCCGAAATCCACAAGCCTGGCTCCCCGGGGGGTGTTCAAGGGGCACACAGCGACCGTGGAGGACGTGTGCTTCCACCCCTCGCACTCCCAGCAGTTCTGCTCCGTGGGCGACGACTCGAGACTGCTGCTGTGGGACGCACGGACAGGCGGAGAGAAGGGGCCGTGTCAGAGGGTGGAGAAAGCGCATGATAGTGATGTTCACTGTGTGGATTGGAACGGGCGGAATGAGCATATGGTGGTGACGGGGGGCGCGGATAAGAGCGTGCGGTTGTTTGATGTGAGGAAGCTCGGGGGAGGGCCGGTGGGGAAGGTGGAGGGGGAGGCGAGGGGGAAGGCGAAGGCTACACATGCGTTCCGCGGAGGGCACCAGGCAGCTGTGCTGTCCGTGCAGGTGAGTGGTGCTGTGGTGTGGTGAGTGGTGCTGTGGTGTGGTGAGTGGTGCTGTGGTGTGGTGAGTGGAGCTTGGAATGGTTGTGATTTGACAACCTTTTCCTGCTTGTACGCCTGCAGTGGTGTTTCGACAGCCCCACGGTATTCGCAAGCTGTGCAGAGGACGGCCTGGTCAACATCTGCCTACAATGATTATTAACTTTCACCCTTCCCACCGCTCTTAATCCCTTCACTCTCCCTGCTTGTATTCCTGCAGTGGTGTCCCGACAGCCCCACGGTATTCGCCAGCTGTGCAGAGGACGGCCTGGTCAACATCTGGGACTGCTCGCTGGTGAGTTCGCGCCACACATGTGCCTCTGATGGTGATGGTGCCATGCTGGGGCTGGGATGGCCAAGTCCCTCGGTGAACATCTGTTTGCCAGCTGTGCAGAGGACGGCCTGGTCAACATCTGGGATTGCTCCCTGGTGAGTCCCTCACAGGCGCCCCACACGGTGTTTCTTTCTCCTCATTGCAAGCCCCTGCCCCCTTTTCCGTTGCTCACAACCCCAACCGCCCCCGTCCACCCTCCTCACCACCGCAAATCCCTTCTCCCTGTACCTTCCCTGCGTCCCCTGTGTACCCTTTCTCCCCCGTGCACCCCCGTGCGCCCCTCTGCACCCCTGTGCACCCCTGTGCACCCCTGTGCACCCCCCTGCACCCCCCTGCACCCTCCTGCCCCCCTTACGCCCCTCCTGCACCATCAGCTGCATGTGGAGGCGGTGAAGTCGTCTCGAGCTGACGGGGTGCCGCCCGGACTGCTCTTCCAACACGTGGGCCACCAGTGAGTGCTGCTGCTGCCCTCATGCCTCCTCCCCTCATATCTCCTGCCCTCATGCCTCCTGCCTTCCTGCTTCCTGCCGTCATCCTTCCTTCTGCTCCCTGTTCTTTGATACTACCACAAGCAAATGGTTGTTCTTGTTCCCCGTGTTGCCCTTTTTAGGGATCGAGTTATTGAGTTCCAGTGGGCACCGAAGGACCCGTGGACGTTTGCGAGTGTGTCAAGCAACGTGAACAAGAGAAGGGGAGGAGGCACGCTACAGGTGAGCGCTGATAGCTTGGGGTGACGACTGTAGTTTTGTAGTTAATGCATGTTTCTATGGGTTTTGAGTCGACTAGAAACACACCATGGGAGGACGGACGGACTCAACAGGTTGAGTACCGCGAGAAGAATTGTGTTATTATTGCTGAGTTGCAGTGGCATTTTTGACGTGTTATTTGCTTGTTTTATTGTTGTATGGTTTGTGCAGATGTGGCGAGTGTTGGACCTTATCTACCGGCCAGCCAAAGACGTGGTTATTGACCTTAACCGTTACGTTTAGTAACCCCTAATTGTAGCCTAAGCACCTTAATTTGCTGTTGGTGTAGATTTTCAGCTTAGGCTGAAAACATAGTCCATCAATTTTCTAACAGCTGGGTTGCATTTCTTTCCTCAATCCCTCTGGTTTATTATACCGTATGTGCTGGTTTTGGATATAGTAAAAATGGAAGCCTAACCTATATGTAGGATGATTTTCTATAACGGATAGAAGACCTAAACACGATGCTCAAAACCTTCAACCCTGAACCGTCAGTCAAAACAGTTCTGGATTTTTTGGCATTTCTGTTCCCGTCGCCTTTCTCCACCAAACCACTCTTCTATTAGCGTCGCGTCGCTTGTTTCTGCTGATAAATCGCGCGAGGAAGTTAATTACCGGACAGTTACTTAATGCGCCAGGCGCCATGGCGATGAGTATGGACATGGTCCTGCCGGGAACCGTGCTTCACACGGACCTTGCGCAGGAGCTCGCCTCGCGGGGGTTCGTCGACAATCTCCGCCCGCCCATGGCGGCGGCCGCGGAGCTGCTTAGCGCAGTCGGAAGAAGCGGAGATGGCAGTAACGAGGATGATGACGTGGAGCTTTGGCTCGTTCAGATGCCAGACGCCAAAAGTGTACGCGTTACGATAACATGCATTTCTCCCAGTAACGCGTGCCTCTTGAAATTCGATGAGACTTTTTTTTTTTTCAAAGTCCCGTCTCGTGTCTTGCTTATCTCCTCCTCCGCTGCGCATCCCCCTTCCCCCATCTCCGCGCAGTTGGACCTCCGCGCGCTCGACGGCGCGCAGCTGCACGTGCAGGCGGGCGCGGGGGGGGGAGCGGGGGCACAGGGGGATGCGCGGAGAGTGGAGGTGTGCCGGTTTGCGCCACCAGGGGCAGCTGCAGTGGGGAGAGGCGCAGCGGGGGGAAAGGGATTCGTCTGGGGAGGCCAGCCAATCACGGTGAGGCTCTTGGGGACCTCGGGAAGAGATGCGATTGAAGGGGGGGAGGAGAGCAGGATGGGGAGGGGTTGGGTTCAGTGAGGGGGAGAGGGAATGGGAGGAAAGGGGGCGGGGGGGGAAGTGGGAGGGGAAGGTGCGGAGCGATGTGCAGGGATGTGGCAGGGTAGGGTAGTTGCGACAGGGGTAACAGTATCGTTCAGATTACCCCCAAACTCTTCCGGGGCTATAGTTGTGTCACCCTTGAGCACCTGTATCACTTCACTGCAAGGGGCACTGGCTGGTTGTGAGTCGACTCTGCTCTCCGGGGCTATGATATGATTGTGTCACCTCTCAGCGTGTGTCGGGCTTGCAAGTTGTGGCGGGCTTGCAAGTTGTGGCGGGCTTGTAAGTTGTGGCGGGCTTGTAAGTTGTGGCGGGCTTGTAAGTCGTGTCGCTGTATGGGGCACTGACCGCGCCAAACTCCTGCAGTACATTGGATTGGGTGTCTGTGCACATGCCTCAGTCTCGCGCTGTGCCCCTCCGCCCCCATTATCTCGCTCTCTCACTCCCAGGTGCTCGCATTTGTGTCAGACCCACTGCCCCGTGGGTGGGTGTCTAGTGGCTTTTGAGTCAAGTCAAAACTCTTACCTGTGCCCCTCTGCGCGCACTCTCTCACCCTTCCATGAGATCGCACTCGTGTCGGACCCACTGCCCCGTGGGTGTGTAATGGCCTTCGAGTCGACTCAAAGCTCATCTTTGTGACCCTCTGCCCGCACCCTCTCACCTTCCCAGGAGCTCGCACTCGTGTCGGACCCACTGCCCCGAGGGGGTCTGGTGGCGGTTCTGCCTGGCTGTGACGGCCGCCCTCCCATTGGTATGCCTGCCAATGAGTCACTGGTTGGGGCATGTGTGTGACCGGGGCATGTGTGTGACCGGGGCATGTGTGTGACCGGGGCATGTGTGTGACCGGGGCATGTGTGTCACTGGGGCATGTGTGTGACTGGGGCATGTGAGTCACTGGGGCATGTGTGTCACTGGGGCATGTGTGTCACTGGGGCATGTGTGTCACTGGGGCATGTGTGTCACTGGTGGCTCTTCTGCCTGGCTGTGACGGCCGCGCTCCCATTGGTATGCCTGCTTCTGGTTTACGGGAGCATGTGTGCATGCCGTATGCGTTTGTGTTCACATTCTCCTTTGCATCCCTCCTCGCACTCGTTGCCTTGAGTACCTGACCTTGTCTTTCTCACTATTCTTTCCTTCCCTCCCCAACCCTTTCACCTTCCCCGCCACCACGTTTCCTCGTGCTCTTACCAGTGCGGCCAATCACTCGCTCCGTAACGTGTGTGTCTGCTGCGGCCGTGCCACAGCCTGAGTCCACTCCAACGCCCCCTCAAGGTGAGCTCGCCTCCTTACACAAGCACTTTCTGATTGACACTGCAAAGCAATGTACTCAGTCTTGGTTATGTATTGACACTTGAGTCATTCTAGGGAAGGTGAATTTTCCTTGACAGATGTAAGCCACAGTGATTCTGTGCTGAGTGGACTCACTTGCCAACTTCCTGCTCTACTCAATTCTCTTCTATTTGCGCTAAAATCTGGTATTCTTTTGCAGCTCATCGTTGTGTGCTGTGGTTTTTTGTCACAGAATCTTTGTCTGCCAAGAAGAAATGCAAGCAAAAGAAGCTTGCTGATAAGGCGGAAGTACCACTGGTAGGACAGAAGGGTGAGACTCCCAAAATGATGAAGAAAAAGCGGAAATCAGATGCTGGCGGAGATGGTAGTGGTAAGAAGCCAAAGTAGATGGAATGGAAGCTTGATTGATGTCATGTCAACACTCGATCACTGTATACGTCTCGTAATGTAAGTTTGTGTAGAGTAGAAAGGTGATGCCGCCGCATCCCAGGCTTAACCTAGCTTTGGGTTGGGGCACACTGCTGAATATGAAATATGGGAAGTTTAGAAGCGAGGCTTACTGGTATAAATTAGTATTTCGTTGTGGTTTTAAAGAGCTTGTTACTGCAGTGAACAAGTCCAAGTGCCGTCTTCGTCCTCATGCGCACTGTTCCCTCGGGAGTTGGGACCATTGGCCCCTTCGCAATTGCCAACCAACTTCAAGGAACGAGGAAATGGCGACAATCTCTAGAAACGAAAGTTTCTCTCTGAGAATCCCGTGCATATTTCTGAACAAAGCAGACTCGCCTATCACTCCATCCTGAAAAGAGGTTTGTAGCTCCAGCTTACACAGCCGTGCCGTCCCTGAAAGACGTGGTGCTAACCTGACAGTTCGAAAATCACCGTGCCTGAGCAGTCATTTGTGTCAGGGAATGTAAGAAAGTAGTACGTGTAGTTCGCTGCAGGAAATATGGGGTTTTCATGGTCTAGCAGTTGATGACGAGATTCTTCAGTTCGTCATCCTCAATATCGTCGCCGGCACCGCTGACTATGAATGACTCTAGCAGGACTGCAAGCCGCGCCGAGGTTCCTGTGCCTCTAAAAACGAGTTCGAGGGAATCAGGCAATCGCTAAGGCTTGTGCGTCGACTCTAACAGTCTACCGCGGGTTTAATCCAGGGCAAATCAGTCGTTATTTTTGACGTGCCTAAAGAATGAAGCTGTTCAGACTTCCACGAGGATTCGAGCTGTTTCGTAGAGCAGACTGACTCTGATCCGTGCATTTTTCAGAATAAGCTTGACAGCCTAAGCTCACGGGTTTGACCGGATCGCAACATTTCCAGGATGAACCGGTCTTGTAGCGAGGGGACCTTTAATACTGTTCGCAGTATCGGCGGCATTGGCGAAATCTCCTTCGCCAAGGATCGCGACGTCGCCAACATCTCTTCGGCTCCTGACCCTGCTGCTTTTGATAACATGCATTTTCCAAAGGAGGGTTTTGATGCCATTTCATTTAAACCAGCCGTGCCAACTCAAGACATGGAAAGCATCTGTACCCCAAGGGTCTCGTTAGCCTTGCCCAAGAGCGAGCGCGCGTTGACGAGCTTGCCAGAATCCGTCGTTATCGCTGACGGTTTCGGTTCTCCGTCTGGCGTGACTGAGCGTCCGCTAGCGGCAACAGCATCAGACCCTCTCATGAACGCTTCAGGCAGACAAAGACCCATCCATTTTACCCTCTCAGACAACAACTTGCCTTCCCTGTCTTCATCTGCGAAAGATTCTTCTACTTCTGATTCCGTTGCTGTTCCTGCAGGAGCTGTGACAGCACCCGTTCAAATTATGAAGGAACGTTCCGCTGCTCAGGTTTCTGACGTCCCCCACAGCGATTCTGCAAGCGGCTGTGGGTTTTTGGAAGGCAGGAGCAAAGTAATATATCAGAAGTTCATTCCGATATCTACTGATGCGGACGCAATTGACGGCTCTCAATCGCCCTCGCCCAGGCAAGACATCTCGCATCCGCGTCGCCTGCACCACAGCGGGCCAATTGTCATTGGTAACCGGAAGAAGGCGCTCTTCGCTGCTGCTCTCGAGGCGAGGGAGGCGAAGAGGAGCGGTACCGCGGATGGGGCTGTTGATGCTGATGCTGATGCTGCTGCTGATGCTGCCGGTGCGGTTGCTGCTGCTGCCGGTGCTGCAGGAGAGTTGGTTTCTGCTGCTGGAACTGAAAGCCCTGGTGGTGCTTCTGTTGCTGGTGACGCTAATCGCTTTGCTGCTGCTTCTGTCAGTGACAGCAGTGGTGCTGGTATTGAGGCTGATGATGGAGGTCGCTGTGATGCTGCAGGTGCAGAAGCCGTGACTGCTAGCTCCAGCAGTGTTGTTGCGAGTGCTGAAAGGAAGGGAGTAGGAGGGAGCGGGAGCCTAACCAGTGACCCATTCCGGTTTCTGAAGAGGATTGGTAGGCGTCACTCAGCCGGCAAGTCTGAGGCCCTGGCGCTGCGGGAAAGTGCAGCAGCTTATGCCATGTCTAAACCACAGGGGACGGAGGGGGAGCAGCAACGAATGCAGCAGCAGTCGCCGCAGCAGGGGCACCAACGGTGGCAGCAGCAGCAGACGCCTACTCTCGGCGATCCATTTGAAAATCCAAAACAGGGTGATTTACCCCGGATTTTATCGACCACTCCTCCGTCACCCTCTCCCAGCCCCCTCACCTCTCCTCCCTGGGCGGCCAAGCCCCCGCACTCCCTTAAGCCAGCCTCACATGTAACCTCGCCGCCGTTACACAGCAACCATACCATTAAGCATGCCACTAGTAATACTCAAGAGCAGCGCACGACAGATGGCACACAGAGCGGGGAGCATCAGCAGGTGGGCACTGTGGAGTATCCCTCGTGTGCCTCGGAATCTTTGGCGGATCAGCGGCAGCAACGGCCGCGGTCGCCTCAGCTGAACTTCAGGTTTTTCTCCTCCAAGCCACACAAGCGCACGGGCAGCCGTGCTAGTGCTGCTGCTGCTGGTGGCAGCGGTGGTGCTGATGGTGGTGGAGGTGGCGATGACTGTGGTGTGGTTAGCAGCAGTGATAGCATCACGAGTGACATTGCGAGCAGTCTGCAGGAGAATGGTGGTGGCACTGCGGCAGAGCATAGCAGGCAGGCAGGGTCCCCTCAGCCTGGTGGTGACTTGGTGGCCCTGGCTTTTGCTTGTGGAACCACCACAGACACGCGTAGCTGGAGGGAGCAGCAGCAGCAGCTGCAGCAGCGGCATAATCAGGAGGTGATACCTGAGGCCACAACAGGGCAGCCGTCTCCTACCAATCCCCTCTCCCCTCTGAGCGATGGCTCGTGTGACTCCTACTTTAGCTCTCCGCCACACGCGCTGGATCGGTGCGTGACTGAACCAGGTCAACACAAGTCAGCGCTCTCACCAACCCCAGACATGCAGAGCAGTTACACAAAAGCAGAGGGGATTGATGATGCAGAGGAAGGGGAGCGAGAGCAAGAGGAGGCGGGGGGGAAGGGGTTAGGTGCTGGAGTGATGCGGCTTCAGTCGAAAATCTCCAAGGCAGTGGACAAGAGAATGTCGGCTCGGGGGGGTGAAGCGGGATTCACGTTCATGAGAGGCTTGAATGGGCGGCGCAGAGACAGAAAAGGAGGCTCTGGCGCTGCCTCTCAGGATTTTGGCAAAGGAGAAACCGAGGGAGGAGGAGTTGGGGCAGGCGCAGGAGGAGGAGCAGGAGGAGGAGGAGGAGGGGTAGGAGAAAAGGGAGCAGGGGGTTTGCGCTTCCTGTCGCCTGGCATGGCTCGTAACCATAGTGTTCCAGTCGCTGCTAGTGAATCCGCACGCCCTCCCAAGCTGGATAAGGTTGTCTACGGCCCACCTGTGCGTGTCCCAGTCGATCCCAGCCGTCCAATCGCCCTGTCGATCCGTCCACGCCCTCGATCTGGGACCCTGCCCCAAGGGACCCCCCATGGCAGCCGAACATGCCTGCTAGTTACCCTAGATTCTTCCATTATCCTGGTTACAGATGATGGGATCAGGGTGTGGGATATCCAACATGTGATGACTGCACAGGGGGCCTTGGGACTAGGAAACCCAAGAGGGGATGAAGAGGCAGCTGCGTTCTTCTGGGTGCCATTCGGGGCAGGTGTATCTGCAGCCAAGAGCATTGCAGCGGATGTTAAGGGACGGATGGTTTTCACGGGGCACAGGGATGGAAGGGTGCTGGTGTGGAGGGTGCGGGAGAGGGGAGCAGAGAGAGAGGGTGCTGCGGCTGTGGGCGACGGAGCAGCACAGGGTTTTGGAGGAGGAGCAATGGGCGGAAACGACTCAGGCGTTGGGGGAGGGGAGAGGTTGCCTGGGTGGAAGGTGTGGGCAGAACTCGTGGCAGAGTGGCAGGCGCACACCACCACTGTGACAGCCCTGGTAGTCACCTCATATGGTGAGCTCTGGTCCGCGGGGGACAGGGGCGTCATCAAGGCGTGGCCCTGGCCCAGCCTATGCAGCGAGCTCTCCCGAACTTCATCCTCGCCCAGCCCAGCGGCCTTACCACCCACTGTTCCTGTTAGCAACGCTGCTCCCCTCCGTGCTCCTTGTGTGATTCGGCCTGCTGCGGTCCCTGTGCTTCTGCATGCCCCCAACAGCCAGCTGCCACAGAACTGCGTTGCAGTGGCGTCTGCCTCAGCTGCTGCTGCGGATGGTGATGCTGATGATTCTAGAGCAGCTCGTGGGGCAGGAGGGGACACTCCTGTCACTGTAACAGAAAGCAGTGGCAGTGTAGCTGCTGCTACAACGGGCAGCAGTGGTGGGGGGGGCAGTGGCAGCAGCGCTGCTGCGGGGACTGGGGGTGAGAGCGAGGGAGGCAGTGGTGGCGTGGTGTACGGAGTGACGTCTGTGCGGCGACTGGTGTCAGACCCGGCAACAGGGCAGGTCTGGAGCATTGGAGCTGCTTCCATCTCCATCTGGTGAGCTCATGTGCTCGCACCTAGTCAAACGAGCCCCTTTTTTGCTTGTTATTGCACTCCATAAGTCTTCATGCAGAGCCCTTGCTTCCAATGTTCTCTGCCCTCAGCCTTGGATTCTCTAAACTCCTGGTTTCCCCTTCCTGCCTCCACCTTTCCGTCAAACTACCCCTCCAGGGACGCGAGGAAGCGAGCGCTGGTGTGTCATGTGAAAGTGAAGGACGAGGAGAGGGCTGCTGCGGATACCTCCTCTGGCGCTGTTGCCTCTGGGGCCAGCAGCGCTACAGCCGCTACATCCGCTACAGCCAGCAGCGCCACAGCCCCTGCCAACAATGCTACTGGCGCTGCTAGTGCCACCAATGGTGGTGGTGCATCTATTGCTTCTAGTCTATCTATTGGTTCAGCCCCCATTGCCAGCAGCAATGGTGAAGCACCAGTGTTGGCAGCAGCGCCACCACCACCGGGTGACGACGAACCCTTGTCTTCCACCTCCTCCGCCTCTGCCTCCTCCTACTCCTCCTCCTCCTCCCGCCCCCCCAAGCGCAAGCTCCATGCGGTCGCGCCAGCTGGCGACGGCACGGTGTGGATCGGGCACGGGTCGGGCATGCTACGGCAGTACGACTGGGCGGGCGGCAAACTGCAGGAGGTGGTGATGGAGGCCGGCGTGTGTTGTCTGTGTGTGGTGGGGCTGCGGCTATGGGTGGGCACAGCGGATGGAAGCATCACAGTGCTGCATGTGCGCACAGGGAGGGTGATCGGGGCATGGCAGGCTCACTCTCCCGCACCATGCTCCAAGGCAGCAGCCAAGGCCGCACGAGCAGCAGCAGCAGCAGCATCCCCTTCCCCTTCCATTGGAACCGCATCAGACCTGTCTCAACCTTCGGATGACACAACCCTCTCCTCCCAGGCTTCAACAGCGGCAGCGGCTGCAGCGGCGACACCAGCAGCGATCCGCCAGCTGGCGCGGTGCAGCAGCTTCATAGTGTGTGTCTCCCGCACGGGGCAGGTGAGTGCATGGCTGGTGGCTATCCCAGGCCCGGTGGACCCTGCCCTTCGTGCCACCCTCTCCTCCTCCTCCGCCCTCTTCACCTCCCGGCAGAGATTCCGCCTGGCTGCCTGCACGTGGAACGTTGGGGAGGAGAGAGCGGTGCAGAGGAGTGTGGAGGCGTGGCTGGGGGAGGTGGCAGGGGAAGGGCCAGAGAGGGAAGAAGGGGCGGATAGATTAGACCAGGCAGTTGGGGCAGGTATGGGGAATGGGACTGGGGGAGCAGTGGATGTGGGGAATGGGGTAGGAGGGGGAGGAGCGGATATAATAGCAGTGGGGTTGCAGGAAGTGGAGATGAATGCGGGGGCGATAGCCATAGCAGCGGCCAAGGAGTCAGTGCGCCTAGGGCTGCAGGAGCGGGGGTCGGCGCTGGGGGCACACTGGGTGGCAACGATTGGCGCTGCTCTGGCGTCCCGAGGGGCGTTTGTGCGGATTGTTTCGAGGCAGATGGCGGGGATTCTCATCACTGTGTGGTGAGTGTGGGAGAGAGTGTGCGCAGGAGTGTATTTGAGTGTGTATGAGTTCGTGTGGGGGTAGGCTACAGAGCAGGTTACCTCAAAGCACACATACGTTTATCCAGCAAGCATACCTTAGAAAACAGTATTTCTGGTTGCAGCACTGGTTGATGCCTTCATGGTATCTCCCCAAACTCCCTCCTGACTCCCCTTGTTCTCGGGTCACACAGGGCAAGGGCGTCATTTGCCCATCTCATTCGGGATGTGGAGGTGGGGGCTGTGCCTCGGGGGTTTGGCCGCACATTGGGCAACAAGGTGAGCAAATGGCAGCAGAAAAAAACATTTTTTTGAAATGACGCTTAGCAAAAAAACCTCATAGTTAAGACAATTTTGAGTAAAAATATTGAAAGTTGCACAAATATGGCGCACTGGTGCTGTTTGTTGTAGGGGAATTATTCTTTTCCCCTACACCTACCTCCAATTCTACCCCCCAGGGAGCGGTGGCGGTGCGCATGAGTGTGTGTGGGCGCAGCGTGGCGGTCCTCAGCTGCCATCTCGCGGCCCACATGGAGGGCGTGGCGAAGCGCAACGAGGACTGGCGCCGCATCTACCGCCACCTCTCCTTCTACCGCCCCCAGACTACCCTCGCTTCTGCTGCCTCCTCCGCTGCCAAAGCTGCCGGGGGCGGCTTGAAAGGTGGGTTCCATACTCTCATGGGGTGATGGGCTGTGCACAAGGGCTTTAAGAGTGTTAAGTTGCGGTTATGTTGTGATGGCCTCCGAGGAATAACAACTGGCGTCGCAATTACCGCCACCTCTCCTTCTACCGCCCCCAGACTACCCTCGCTTCTGCTGCCTCCTCTGCTGCCAAAGCTGCTGGGGGCGGCTTGAAAGGTGGGTCCTATACTCTTATGGATAATGGAGTGATGGGCTGTGTACGAGGGCTTTAAGAGGTTTTTGCTGTGATGGCCTTCAAGGGATGATGACCGGCTCTGCATGCATCCACTGCCACCTCTCCTTCTACCACCCCCACCCCATGCTCGCCTCTGCTGCCAAAGCTGCTGGAGGCGACTTGAAAGGTGAAGCAGGTGGGATGAGGTGAGCAGAGTTGAGGGGAGATATACTGTCAAGTTCATTAGTTCAGTCTACCATCTGGCTTTTCCACCCTTCTCTTTTCTTCACTGCCCTCCTCTCTCCTGCGCAGCCCTTCCTTCCTTCCTTCCTTCCTTCCTCCCTCCCACCGTCAATCTCCTCTCCTTCCAGCCCGTACCTCCCTGTGTCACACACCACCAGCTGGCCTGTAGTCATCTGTATGTGGCATAGTGAAGGCCGCAGCAGGGACTAATTGTGAGTCGTATTAAATTACATTTTCCATCTCCCTGGTACCCCCCTGCTCCCCTTCCTGTGCACCCAACCAGCTGGGCTGCAGTCAGCAGTGCAGGGCATAGTGAAGGCTGCAGCAGGGGCTGCTGTGGGGGCAGCAGCAGCAGCCGCAGGAGCAGCAGGAGCAGTGGCAGGCGCAGCAGCAGGGGCAGCAGGAGCAGGGGGGATGGGGGGCGCAGGAGGAGGGGGAGGAGCAGGAGGGGCAGCGGGGGCAGCAGCAGGAGCGGGAGGGGTGGGGCCGGGGATAAGTCCAAAAAGGGGCGCATTCGGGAGTGGGCGGCAAACTGGGGAGTCAGTGGGCGGGAGATTTGATTGGTCGGACGATGCCACGTCATGGATGGACGATCTGGTCATTGGGCGGGACGGGGAGGAGGTGAGATCGGAGGGGATAGGGGTAGGGAGAGGGAGGGGAGAGAGGAGGGATAGGGGTGGGAAGAGGGAGGGTGGAGAGGAGGGATAGGGCTGGGAAGAGGGGAGGGCGGCGAGAGAGTAGGAGAGAGAGAGGGGAGAGAGGTTTGGAGCGAGGGGGAAGACTCGGAAGAGAGTCAAACAGTATGCACTTTGCAATCCTAGGGGTTCCTTGTGCATCGCTCCCTCGTTTGCAACCCGTTCGTCCCAAGTCCCGAACCCTTCCCTACCTTCATCTCTCAACATTCCTCTCCGAGGCGCTTCAAGAATAGACTCCCCATCTCTCCTGCATTGGACCTCGTGGTCGGACCTGCTGGTGTGAGTGAGTGAGCGCTAAGTGGGGGTGCACCTCAAACCTGCACCTCAAACCTGCACCTCAAACCTGCACCTCAAACCTGCACGTCAAATCTGCACGTCAAACCTGCACCTCAAACCTGCACCTCAAACCTGCACGTCAAACCTGCACCTCAAGCCCGCACGTCAAACCTGCACCTCAAACCTGCACCTCAAACCTGCACGTCAAACCTGCACGTCAAACCTGCACGGCAAACTTGCACCTCAAACCTGCACCGCAAACCTGCACCTCAAACCTGCACCTCAAACCTGCACCTCAAACCTGCACCTCAAACCTGCATGTCAAACCTGCACCTCAAACCTGCACCTCAAACTTGCACGTCAAACTTGCACCTCAAACCTGCACCTCAAACCTGCACCCCAAACCTGCACCTCACTCCCAAGTGGGGGCGCTAAGTGGGGCGCTAAGTGGGGGCGCTAAGTAGGGGCGCTATGTGGGGGCACTAAGTGGGGGCGCTAAGTAGGGGCGCTATGTGGGGGCGCTAAGTGGGGGCGCTTAGTGGGGGCGCTAAGTGGGGGCGATCTCAACTACCGAGTGGAGGGTGTGTCACACGAGGCAGCAACACAGCCTTTTCTGTACCTCTCCTCTCCCCACCTCTCCCCACCCCTCCACACCTCTCCCGTGTAGGATCTGGAGGAAATGAAAACACCAGAGTTAGCAGAAGCCGACCTGCTGGTGTGGATGGGCGACCTCAACTACCGGGTGGAGGGTGTGCCATACGAGCATGCGCGGCACCAGGTGGCGGCGCGCAACCTGCCTGCACTGCTGGCGAGCGACCAGCTGCTCAGAGAGATGGCGGGCGGGCGTGCGTTCCGAGGCATGGAGGAAGGGCTCATTGCCTTTCCTCCCACCTACAAGTTTGATCGTGGCACACCCGATCCGCTGGGTATGTGTTTTTCTTCCCGGGTTTTTTTTGTTTGTTTGTTTGTTTGTTGTTTTCCCCAGTTTTTTTTTCCAAGATTACCCAATTCTGTGCATGGATTTAGGGTTAGGCACTGTCAGATCTTTGTAACCAATTGGCCTCTTCATTGTGCCTTCTTTGCAAAGCTCACTCTCAACTCCCCATCTCCCTTCCTACCTTGCCCAACCCTTGCCTCGCCCCACGCCCTGCCTCTCTGCCCCGTGCCCTGCCTCTCTGCCCCGTGCCCTGCCTCTGTGCTCCACGCTCTGCCTCTGTGCCCCACGCCCCGCATGACAGCGTATGACTCGGGGGAGAAGCGCCGTGTGCCTGCTTGGTGTGACCGAGTGCTCTTCCGTGACAGCTTCACTCCAAGCCTGCCGCCCATGCTGCCGCCCACTCTGGCACCCATCCTCGCGCCTTCTCTGCCTCTCTCTCTCTCCATGCCTGCCGCCCCAAATCACCACTCTCAGCCTCTGTATCCTCCCGCTTCTCCTCCCACTCCCACTACCACCAGTCCCAACCGCACCCCCAGCCCCAACCATATGAGCAGCCCTAAATGTGGCCCTAGTCCCACTCTCACCTCTCATTCACTTATCGCTTCACCATCCGCGCTTCCTCCTTCTACAGCAGTAGCAGCAGCAACAGGCACTGCAGGAGCAGAACCATCCACAGCAGCAGCAGTGGCAACGACTGCATTGGTACACACAGAGGCAGATGATAATGATGATGATGAGGTCAGCCCGGCACTGGGTCATGACAGAGCAGCAGAGTTGGATGGTAAGGAAGGCCCAGGTAGCATAACGATTAAGGATGGGAATATCAGCTCCCAGACACCTGTTGGTGCTTCCACTGCTTCTCCTGCTCCTGCTGCTCCTGGTGCCGCTCTGACTGCGAGTTTGAGTGTGAGCGCACCTCAAAGAGCGATCGAGGAGCAGGAGTGCACGCTGGCGCAGCCAGTGAAGGCCCATGTGTTGCGCTATGATGCATGCATGGAGGCCATTCAGAGCGACCACAAGCCTGTCAGATGCCTCTTAGATGTCTCCGTTGCTTCTGTCGACCTGCCTGCTACAAGATGCCTGCTCGGGCGTCTTCTTACCCTCAGCTCCCAGGTCCGGGCAGCCCTGCAAAATTCGCACCACCTGCCCGACGTGCCAGCTGCCGGCACGTGTGTGGATGTGGATCCGTCGACCGGACAGGCTTCGGTGATTGTAATGAATCGGAACGAAAGTGATTCTATGGGGTTCATAGTGCAGTGTGACGGGGAGTCTGTTTTACGGTCTGGAAGGAAGGGAAAGACGGAAGAGCAGGAAGGGAGTGAGGGAGGGAGAGATGAAGGAACCGAAGGAGGGAAGGGCATTGTGGGAGGCACAAGCAGTGGCAGCAAGGGGGGAGGTGATTGGCAGACGGGGCAAACAGTGAGGGCAGGTGGTGGCTTCCCTCTCTGGCTCAAGGTACAACACAACACCTATGCCCCTCCTCCTCCTGAGTTATCTTCATGGTTCTTTTGACTTCCCCTGAATCAAACAACTTGCTGGAATGGAACTTCATGTGCTGTTTTTCAAGTGCTGCTCCTGGCCTACCATGGCCATGTCTGTGGGTTGCTGTCATGTGCAGGTGCTACCTGGGGCAGGCATTCTCATTGCTGGCGGCAGCATGACCATCAACTTCTGCATGGCCACTTCCCATGCTGCACCGCCTGGTTCTCCTGCTGCCAGGGAGCACATAGAGAACACAAGGTACCACACAAAGAAGCGAGCACACACAGGGCACACAGGGCAGCATGAGCGGCACAATTCAGGCAGCGGTTTGTTATTGCAGCCAGTGGAGCAGAAGCCCTTTAGAAGAGAGCCTGATGAGGAGGAGGCGGAGGCAGGGCAGGAGCGGGTGTGTGGGCAGGAGAAGGTGCAACGGCAGGCGGAATCGGCAGGAGCAGGAGAGGGTGAGAGGGTCCTGAACATGTCTCTCACCACCTGGGGGCCAGCACCGGTCAGCACACGCACGCACCGCTTCTCGCTTCGCATCCCACCCTCCCTGCACCTCCCATATGAATATTTTGAGCCAGCCTTCAGAGACGAGTGTCTGGGGTAAACAGGAAGCATGCGAGTGAAGTAATTCATTTTGTAAATAGCCAGACCACAGGCCAGGCTCCCGCGCGTGAGACCTCCAGCACCAGCCTAGCCTTCTAGCCTAGTTTGTCACACTTGGCCGCGGCCAAGTTCTGTTCAGCTTTACATGAATAGGTTTATATGAATTGAGCAGGTTCATCCAGCTGTGAAAGGAAGAACGTATAACCAGCCTTCTGTGTGCTTTCTAGTCACCATGTGGCACTAAATGGCAAAAAGATAATTGTACAAGGTTGTGGCTCATGTAAAGTATACTTTTATGTAAGCTTATATCATTGAGTCAGGAAGTGAGCTGTGTGGAGTCCGCTCTCTATTCTCTTTTGTCCTTTCACCTGGGACAAATGTTCGTGATGCGTTACAAGAACATACCCGCCGTCACTTTCACTTGTCCGACCAATCCCTGCGAAGTTAGTGCGACCCGTGGATATCCACGAAAGCTGGCATTCCGCCACTCTCGCTGATAAGCTCCCTAAATGGTGCGAAACGCGCGGGTGATTTCAAGATAGTCAGGTAACGACCTTGGCGAAACAGAGCATAACCTTCCAGGCTCCAACCAAGCCCTTCGCAGAAACCCACCCCGCTCTCCTCCCTCCGACCACCAACAGCCCCGCCGTCACCCGTTACAGCAGCACCCGTACTTGCGAATTCGCGCCTTCCTCTCCCTCCATTCTCCATCTCCATCCCATCCCATCCATCCCACCCACATCAACCCGCATCTCGCATTTGGTCGGCGCTACGAGAAAACTCTAGTACCTTTTGCTTGTCATGGGTCAGAGCCGTATTTTCTGGTTCTGGCTATCCGTCAACCACATTCACGACCCAAACTAGCTCCTCGTTTGCTGCAGAGTCGCTAATACTCGGTTGAATTTTCCTCCGTATGAATCCCACTGCTAGATCTCTCATTTACTCGTTTTGTACCCTCGCAAGCGGCCACGGTGGCAGCGCATCGCCATGACTACGCGCATCTCGCGCATCCCCGCATTCGGCGACTGGGCTCTCGACGACTACGATGACAGCCAGGGCGACACCTCGGATCGACGATTAAAGTACACCCACGAGTTCGCACTCCTGCGCCAGAAGCCCCGCCGCCCTCCTTCCCCGCACTCCCTGCTTCTAGATGCCGCCTCTTTCGACTCCGCCGCTTCTTCTCTCCCCGCATTGTCCTCGACACCTTCCGCCGCGTCCGCCGCGTCCGCCGCGTCCGCCGCTTCCGACGTTTCCGCCTCTTCCTTTCATACAGCATCTCGGCATTCTCGAGGTTCGAGCAGCGATTGCAATGGTGACGACAACAGCCTTCCTTCGACTACGAGAGACGTGAGCGCAGGAGTCCGCTATGACGTGGACCGAATCCTGCCGTCCACGTCAGCCCTGTCCCCCGTGTCTCCAGCGGCCGACACGTGTCTGTTCCCGCAATGGGCGCCGATCCTTCCGCAACGCCGAATCAGCCAGGGACGGAAAGGCGGGTTCCTCGCAGCTAGCAGCAGTAGGAGCAGCGGAAAATCCGTCAGCAGAAGCAATAGCAGTGGAAGCAGCGGCGGCAGCAGTAAGAATGCGAGCAAGCGAAGGGAACTTCCCGTGCTGCTGAACTCATCGCAGCTCGACCAACTCAACATGCCTCCGCCGCCGCCGCTGCTCCCTCTCTCCGCCAGCTCCTCGCTGCAAGCCTCCGACTCCGGTGCCGACTTCACCGATGCGCTAATCCCCGCCAACGATGCCGACGATTCGAGTTCGCTTGCGGCACATCGCGCTGCCAAATGTGCGTCGTCGTCTCGTCCTCGTCACGATCATAGCGGAAGCGACTCGCCGACTTTCGACTCGCCTCCCGTTCCCCGGTATTCCTTCACCTTTCACTCGCCGGCTCCCGAGGAGAACTGCTCTTCCTCTCCAGGCGCAACCAGCGGCGAAGCTTCCCCAGGCGAGGCGGCGGAGCGGGTCCGCCAGCGGCTGCGCAACTCGCGCAGCCTCCGCATTTCCGTCTCGCGCCAGCTCATGGACAGCAGCAACAGCGCGCCATCCTCCCCCGTGCGCGCATCCGGCGCATTCGGCTCCCCCTTCGGCTCCCCTTCCGCATTCCCCTGTGAAGGAGGTTCATCAGCGACCCCTGGGCGGAGAGGGTCGCGCGCGCAGGACGCAGCAGCCGCAGATAGATGTTGGGATGACTCGTCAGTGCTGGCGCTATTAGAGCACAGCCGGCTGTGCCGCCAGGAGGTGGTTCAGCTGCTCGGGCTCTGCCAGCCTGGCCTCGCCCCGCTTGCGCCGTCGGCGCAACCTGCGCCAATCGCGCCAGTTGCGCCAGTTGCTGCAGTTGCGGAGGTCTCCGCTGTGGCTCCGACCGCGCCAGGTGCGCCAGTGGTGTCAAGTGCAGGGATCATGAAGGAAAACAGCGGGGATGAGCGTCAGGCGGAAGTCCCTCCAGGGGCGCACACAGCGGTCGGGACAGGTGAAGCGAGGTTCAAGGTTGAGACAGCTTGCGCTGAGAGCAGAGCAGAGCCGGTCAGCAGCTCATCATGTGCGAGTGCACGCCCTGCCGGCATGACAGCGCCGCATGCCTACCCTGACAGCACCACGGCACATAGGAGTGAGACTGATGCTGGGAAGAATGACAAGTCGCTGACTGGAAATGCAGGTGGAAGTGCGGTTGGAAGTGTGGGTGGAAGTGTGGATGGAAGTGTGGGTGCAAGTATAGTTCCTTGCTGCCCTGGCACGGGGGGGATGGGTGGAATGGGCAGAGCGGCATTGCGCGTTGCAGCAGCCCCACGTGCTCCGTGCAGTGTTGCTTCCTCGCAGTCCCGGGGCAGGGCTGTCCCCCCCCCCATGTCATCCGCGTTGAAGTACAATGCGGGTGCGGAGGATAAGGGCTTCAGTGTGATGTTTGCCGAGATGCGGCAGAGACGGCAGCAGGAGAAAGCAGCTGCTGACGCCACTGGTACTGCTGCTGCTGCTGGGATTGCAGGAGATTCCTTGGAGAATACCATTTATGGTGCAACTGTAGCAGCAGGTTCTTGTGAAGACACAAGCAAAGTCAGTAGCAGTTCCCCTAGGACCAAAGCTGCCTGTCGCTCCAGTAAAGGCCTACAGTGGATTGGTGTTCGGGCGGACGATATGGATTTTATTCTCAAGGAGTTGGCAGAGGCAGCCATGGGAGGAGGGGAGGAGGTGGCAGGGTTTGATGAATTTGCGGGAGAGGAGACTGAGGACGATGGAGGGGGATTATCAGAGAGTGATTATGTCAGTGAGGAGACTAGTGATTGTGATTGCAGTGAAGCGGAGAGACAGGACAATGAGTTGATAGCAGTGCTGAGGAGGGTTCAGGGCAGGGAATGGTGGGGTAGAACCTGTGCGGGCGGTGGGCCTGAAGAAGCTGGTCAGCATTGGTTGCGACGAACTCAAAGCAAAACCAAGGTACGGCTGCTTGCTGTGTGTGTGCTGCTATCCCTTGTCGGATTTCTGATCCTTCCACTGTTATTGTTAGATACTTATTTCGCTTGTTCTCTTTGCAGGCTGCTTTCCGTAAGCTGCGGCACCTGGTTTTGGGCAGGCCATCTGAAGTAGCACCATAAAAGTCATGCAAATGTTGCAGACTGCAAATAGTGAAGCCAGGAGTTTCATTAAAACGTTTTACAGTATCTGTGCATATGAATGCATGTTTATGTGGAGATATGGAAATTCAGAATGTCTGAACGTTATGTGCGCTTGTACTTAGCGCAATCATGTAGCTGGTTGACTAGCAGAACTCCAAGCATATTCCCTGTGAACGACATTATCGAGGGGATCCTGGTCGTGTCAGGACAGGACCGTCCAATTGTGTCACTTCACTGCAGCCTCGATCCTATCCTCCGTTGGAGGGAAACCTCAATTTTGTCATTCTCCCTCTGTTGTCCTTCGCACTCCGTCAGTAATTTCCCGTCTTGGTTCTGAACCAGTAACCCTCCAACCAACTCCACTTCCCTGACTCCACAACCTACAGTCTAGCTTCCTACAGTCTAGGCACGTAATTACTGGTCTTTCTGGTCAACTACATTGAGCCCGCCTTTCGTACTAAACTAGGACCAGACCTGCAAGCTAACCTAAGGACGAACTATTGGTGTCAGTCGCTATCGACAAGTGCCACATTGTTTCAGATACCTGCGGTTTTCTGGAGTCTCTGCATGTCGATTGGTGCCTGTCTTTGTGCCGAAATGTTGACCAGAAAAATTAGTCGGGCCGCTTTGTAGTCAACAATACCGACCTTTAACGGTCTGATGTCTAGCCTGACCAGCCTGTTTATCGTTGACCCGATATGCGTATAAGCTTAACAGACCTAACTCACCACTAACTTTTCATTGTCCACCTCTAGCTGTCGTCAGCCTCTTAGGTAGGTACCCAATGGGCGCTTGCGCGGGAAAAGAGGCCCCGCGAAGTACCGATCGTTCAGACTACGTAGCGCAGACTCCACAGCAGCAACAGCAGCAACAACAACAACACCATCAGCCTCAGCAGCAGCAACAGCAGCAGCAGCAGCAGCAGCAGCAGAAGCCGCCTCCGCCTAGCAATGTCGCGCCTCACCAGAACTCCTCAGCAGCATCCGCCGTTACAGCGGTTCCAAACCAATCCGACGGTCCTCCCTCGCAGCCGCGAAACGACGTCGTTCTCCACAACCCCTTCCCGGAAATGGTAGACCGATCCATTGCGGAGTTTTTCGTCTTAGGTCGAGAGTTAGGGCGTGGCGAGTTCGGCGTGACGTGTCTCGCGACTAGCAAGGCAAACGGGGAGCAGGTGGCCGTTAAGTCTATCCCTAAGCGGAAATTAAAGACGGCCGTGGATATCGAGGATGTGCGGAGGGAGGTGGCGATTATGCACCACTTACCGTCGCACCCTAACATCGTGGGACTTAAAGGGGTATTTGAGGATCGGCACGCGGTTCACATCGTTCAGGAGCTGTGCGAAGGCGGGGAGCTGTTCGAGCGGATTATAGCGAGGGGGCATTATAGCGAGCGAGCGGCGGCGGTTATCACACGGACTATCGTGGAGGTGGTGCAGGTGCGTGTGAAGGGCGCTGGTGAGTGTTATGACTTCTGGCGGGTGGGGATGGTGCAATGCATGTGAGCGGGAAAGGCGCTGGTGAGTGTTAGGAGCACTGGAGTACTGGTGGGTGGAAATGGTGCTGTGTAGGTGAGCGGGATTGGCGCCGGTGAGTGTGCTTCGGACGTGTGCTGGTAACGAAAAACGGAAGGGGAGTGGGAGGGAATAGAAAATGGTATAAGAGAAAAGGATGGAACGGAAACGATTCAGAAATGGTACGACGGAGTGGGACGGAATGGGATAGGCGCGGGAGGCAGAGTTTTGGAGACAACGTAAAGAATCGCAACAAGATGGTCAAGGGCACGCACAAAGCCTCTTCACTTTAAAACTGCAGTGTGCATCCTAAATCCTACTTCTTACACTGCGCGTAGGCCACCCTCTCTTCACCTCCCTTGAAACATCCAAAAGACCTTGCGTGTCCTCCACGCCACCCCATTCCGCCCCATGCGTCCCACAATCACGGAGTCTGCACCAGCCATTAAGCCCAACCCTGCTAGCAAGGAGGAAAACTTCGAAACGCCTTGCATTGCTGCAACCCGCCCCGCCCCTCCCTTCCAGGTGTGCCACAAACACGGAGTGATGCACCGGGACTTAAAGCCCGAGAACTTCCTGTTCGCCAACAACCAGGAGGACGCGGCGTTGCGAGCCATCGACTTTGGGCTGTCCATCATGTTCAAGCCGGGCGAGACGCTGAGCGAGATCGTGGGCAGCCCGTACTACATGGCGCCCGAGGTGCTAAGGAAGAACTACGGGCCCCTGGCGGATGTGTGGAGCGCCGGCGTCATTCTCTACATTCTTCTCTGCGGCGTGCCCCCCTTCTGGGCAGGCAAGTACCCGTGCTGCTCTGCTCACTGCAAACCTACACACTGCTCACATCCCCCCACGCCGTTCTCATTCCCCTCACTCTTCTCACTCGCCCTTACACCCCCACCCCCACCCCCAACCCCACCCCCAACCCCAACCCCACCCCACCCTCCCCCCCCCAACCTCCCTCTTCCCACCCCCTCACCCTCCGCACCTCTTACTTTCTGCAACAGAGACGGAGCAGGGAGTGGCGCAGGCGGTGCTGCGGTCGCAGGTGGACCTGAAGCGGGACCCATGGCCCAAGGTGTCGGATGGGGCAAAGCACCTCGTCATGCTCATGCTTCAACCCGACACCTCCAAGCGCCCCACTGCGCAACAAGTGCTGCGTGAGTGCTCCGTTCCTCCTGCCTCCGTGGCTGCTCCCCTCCGCTGCGTGCCTCCGTGAGTGCTGCTGTGAGGTGCACTCATGCTCATGCGCCAATCCCAAGGTGTCGTGTCAGACGGCGCCAAGCACCTCGTCATGCTCATGCCCCAGCCCGGTACCTCCAAGCGCCCCACTGCTCAGCAAGTGCTGCGTGAGTGCTCCAAGCAAGTGCTCCGCTCTGCTCCTACCTCTTCTTTCTTCCCCCCCCTTCCCTACCTCCTCTCCACCTTTCTCTCCCACCCCCCCCCCCCCCCCCCCCTCTCCCGTAGCTTTTGTTTGCTAGAATCATGTTCACCTGCCTCCTTGCCACGAAGGAACATTACTCATAACTGTCTCTTTCCCCTCCTTCCCCGCATCCCCTGCCCTTCCACCGCCCATCAGAGCGCCCGTGGCTGAGGGATGCCAACGAGGCGCTTTTTGGCGCACTTCATAAATAATCTCCCTCACTTTTCCCCACTTCCCGCCAACTCCCTCTTCGCCCTTCCCCACCTGCTGCGGCCATCAGAGCACCCGTGGCTGAGGGATGCCAACGAGGCGCCAGACACGCCGCTGGGAGTGGAGGTGCTGTCCCGTATGCAGTCGTTCCAGGCTATGAACAAGCTCAAGAAGAAGGCTCTCAAGGTGAGCTGCTGCCCGCTGCCCTGCCACTCGAGACAGGAACACCACAGCACAGCAAGCAATTGCACCACATGCACACACACATTACAGTCGCTCCAGGCGATGAACAAGCTCAAGAAAACGGCTCACAAGGTGAGCTGCTTGCTGCTGACACCCGAAGCAGGAGCGTGCCACATGGCATTGCATCTAAGTTGGAATATACGCGTTTAGCGTTTTGTACGCTTGCTGTATATACGCTAGCGTATATACGCAAACCGCAGTCCCTGAGGGGTCTGGTACGCCCAAGAATCCGCTTGCCCGGGCAGGAAAAAAGTTTTCCCCGGGCAGATTTTTGGGGTAAGAGGTGGGGATGGGGGGGTGTTGTAACCCCCATCCCCTTTGTATTAATATGAAAGTTACAGGAAAAAAAAACCCTTATGGCCAATCTGCCGCTACAACTTCACCCACCTTAATCATGCTCCCACTAGTACTCATCTGCCATCACATCATCCTCCCCCTCCTCAGGTTCCTCCACCTCCTCCGGGACGTTATAGCCAGCCGGAGTGGGGGGGTCCTCGATGTTTCCCTTCACCACCCCCAGCCCTTCAGGGGCCTTGTGCCAGTTGTGCACCACCTGCCAATTGTGCGTCACATACACCAGGTCACGAAGCTTCACCGCGCCGAGGCGGTTCCTCCTTGCCGTATGCACTGCATCAAACTTCGCCCAGTTACGCTCACATGGAGACGCAGACACCGGCTGCGTGATGGCGCGGCAAGCCATGGTGGTGAGCTCAGGATGATCGGTCCCGTGCCATGTCCACCAGTCCACCGCCGTCATCTTGCCCTCCTTCACTGCCTGGCGGTCGGCAATAGCGTCGGGCATGCCGAAGCTGCCTTGGAGGTTCAGGAAGGCATTGAGGCCTTCCTGGATGACGAGAGAGGCGCGGCGCTCGACCCCGTCCTTCCTGGTGACCATCTTGTCACCATGGTGCTTGGAGACGTACTGCTTGAAGACCCTCGTGCACTCCAGGTCGGTGCGGAAAATGCACTCTTCCTGGTTGGTGGGGTAGAGGATGCGGCCAATCACATGCAGGTTGCACGCCAGCCCGTTGTCCCAGCGGTCCTGCACGATCTCCCGAATATCCCCCACCTCGTTGCTTGTCAGGACCCCTTCCGCATGCTCGTCGAGGAAGTCGCGGATGTCCTCGGTGAGCTGGAGCATGAGGTCGTAGAGACGACCCATCATGCCCTTCGAATCTGAGTCAGTCTTGCGCATGACGACGAATGGCAGCCTCATCAGCTTAGCGAAGAACTCGGCGCGCGTCCACCACGCGGCATCGAGGATGTTGTCTTTGAATGTGTCTGCCCCAGCCCTGTCTGCAGCCGCAGTCCACTCGGCCCACTCATCGCTGAGGACCATCTGCGTCAGGCCGGCGCGCACTTCACAGAGGCGGTTGATGGCGATGTAGTTGGTGCCGAATCGGGTTCCCGCGGGCTTGAGAACCTGTTTCCCCTTGCCGCCGTTCACGAGCGGACTCCGCATGTATCCCCGAGTGAAGTGATGGTTGCGGACGAACGAGATGAGGGTGTCCCCGCGCGTGACGATGTCCTTCGCCCATCCCTTTTTCCCGATGTCCTCCATCAGGAGATCGAGGACATGGGTCGCGCAAGGGATGTGTTCAATGTGGGGATACTCGCGCATCAACACCCTGCATGCCGCCGCGTAGTTGGAGCCGCCGTCAAAACACAAGGCGACGACATTCTCGGGGCCGACCTTTTCGATGATGGGCCGCAAGATGCCCGCGATGTAGCCCCCGGTCTTCATCTCCATCTTCGTGTCGATCGACTCCACAAACACCGCACCGCTATCGTTGATGAGGAGCACGTTGGCTTGCGGGCGGCCGGCCTTGTCGGAGAACATGTCGCTTGCCACGGTGACACCGTCACGGCGCCAGCTTGCTGAGATAGGAGCGAGCGCCGCCTCAATGCGCTGGCGACACTTCGCAAGACCGGCGCCACCGATGTAGCGTCTCTTCGGCGCGACGTAATTCGGCCCCGCGCGCTGGATGCTGGAGACCACATTCCGCCACAGTGGGTGGTCCGCGTGATGCTCCGGCACATGAAGAGCGGCAAAGAAGAGGCTTATGGCCTCGTCCGCAGCTTGGTTCGCGCACGCGGCGTCGTCGCCGTAGAAGTCGGACATCCGACTCTTCTTCTTGTTATCTCTGCCGTTGACTGCGCCGACCGCCGCAATTTCAGCCGCACGCTTCGCTTCACGGGCCTTCAACTTGGACTCGTAAAGCGCCTTCACGACGTCACGTGCAGTCTTCGGCGCTGCAGTGCAGAGATGCACTTCGCGACGGCGCATGCCGTTCCAGCTGGTGATATGCTGCGCGCAACGGTGAACCCCGCCAACAAACGTGAAGTTGCAGTAGGCACACACCTTGGTGCCGTTCTCGCCAACGCTATTGCCCGGCACCTTGAAGTGACGGTAGACTGCGTGCTTGCTGTCCATGCAGACCAAAGACGTACTAGAAGAGGTTCCACCAGCGGAACTACCAGGAGACTCTGAGGGTGCCGTACGAGAAGTGGTTGCTGTAGGAGTGGAAGCCATGGTGGCTTGGGAAAGGACATAGCTAGGAAGCGAGAGAATGAATGTCGAGGGAACAAACGCCTCTCTTTATGCCTGGGAGATTGGGTTGGGTTGAGCTCCCAACCAGTAAAGTAGCACTTGGAGGGGATGGTGGAATGCTGTGGTTCAAAGGGGTGTGAAACGTTTGAGGGGAGGGGTTGATGAGGTTTGGTGCTCGAAATTCAAAATTTGAGTTCATTTCGCGACAACTGCGACTCGGAATTGAGATCGCCACGTCGCGAGCTTCAGATTGAAATTTTGTTTTTTTTTTTTCGGTCTGCCCGAAATTCAACTCGGCGAATTTTCAAACTATACGCAACGTACGAATTCGACAAGCGTATAAACGCAAAACGCAAAATGAAAGTAGCGTATATTCCAACTTAGCATTGCATTGCCTACACACCCACATTATAGCCCCTCCAGGCCATGAACAAGCTCAAGAAGAAGGCTCTCAAGGTGAGCTGCTGCCTGCTGCCCTGCCACTCGAGACAGGAACACCACAGCACAGCAAGCAATTGCACCACATGCACACACACAGTACAGTCGCTCCAGGCGATGAACAAGCTCAAGAAAACGGCTCACAAGGTGAGCTGCTTGCTGCTGACACCCGAAGCAGGAGCGTGCCACATGGCATTGCATTGCCTACACACCCACATTATAGCCCCTCCAGGCCATGAACAAGCTCAAGAAGAAGGCTCTCAAGGTGAGCTGCTGCCTGCTGCCCTGCCACTCGAGACAGGAATACCACAGCACAGCAAGCAATTGCACCACATGCACACACACAGTACAGTCGCTCCAGGCGATGAACAAGCTCAAGAAAACGGCTCACAAGGTGAGCTGCTTGCTGCTGACACCCGAAGCAGGAGCGTGCCACATGGCATTGCATTGCCTACACACCCACATTATAGCCCCTCCAGGCCATGAACAAGCTCAAGAAGAAGGCTCTCAAGGTGAGCTGCTGCCTGCTGCCCTGCCACTCGAGACAGGAATACCACAGCACAGCAAGCAATTGCACCACATGCACACACACAGTACAGTCGCTCCAGGCGATGAACAAGCTCAAGAAAACGGCTCACAAGGTGAGCTGCTTGCTGCTGACACCCGAAGCAGGAGCGTGCCACATGGCATTGCATTGCCTACACACCCACATTATAGCCCCTCCAGGCCATGAACAAGCTCAAGAAGAAGGCGATCAAGGTGAGTTGTTTCTGTCTCTCGAGACAGGCACGACATGCCATTGCAGTGCGTGCATGCGCAGCGCACACACACTGCAGTCGTTCCATCCAGGCCATGAACAAGCTCAAGAAGAAGGCGCTCATGAACAGGAAGACCCCTCACGCCATTTGCACACCACACACACGCTGCACACGTTCCAGGCCACGAAGAAGCTCAAGTTGAGGTGGTTCCAGGTGCGTTGCTGCTGCCTCTAAGCACAAAACACACCTGCCTTTAACCTGTCCTGGACCCGTTCCACCCTACATCCCATTTCCCTCTCCCTGAACTCTCCCTCTCGCTCTACTCTCACTCTCCCGCCACTCTCCCCCTTGTTTACCCCCTCGTCCCCCTTGTCTAGGTCGTAGCGGACCAGCTATCCTCGGCAGAGGAGATGCAGGGGCTGCAGGAGGTGTTCAAGATCATCAACGAGAACGGGGACGGCACGCCAACGCCTCTGAACCCCTTTCTCACTGTACCACCCCCTCACTTGTCCCTCATACTCTATCTCCCTAGGTCATCGCCGACCAGCTATCCTCGGCAGAGGAGATGCAAGGGCTACAGGAGGTGTTCAAGATCATAGATGAGAACGGGGACGGCACGCTCACCCTCGAGGAGCTCCGCAACGGCCTCCGCCGCATCGGTTCGCCGCTCTCCGACGCTGAAGTGCAGGCACTCATGGACGCGGTATGTGTAGCCTTTGATGCCTTAGAGTGTGTGTGATGTGATATGATGCATGGCTGTCTATGTTTCTAGCTAGCACTCCTTGCCTCCGCCGCATCGGCTCTCCGCTCTCCGACGCCGAAGTGCAGGCACTCATGGATGCGGTGAGTGCAGTGGGGTGTTCTTGGTAGTCAGAGGCATGGATGCATGGCTATATGTTAGTGTCTGCTAGTGACCTCCGCCGCATCGGCTCTCCGCTCTCCAACCCCGAAGTGCAGGCACTCATGGATGCAGTGAGTGGAGTGGGGTGTGCATGGATGCTTTGAAAGCACGGATGCTTTGAAAGCACGGATGCATGGCTATGTGCCTGTGGTAGTTGGTGGTGTCTTTTCACAACAATGCATGTACTGATTCATCCTTCATCCGTCACTGACTACCCCACCCACCCCCGGCCCACCAACAGGCGGACATCGACGGTAACAGGGAGATTGACTACAGTGAACTTGTCGCAGCAATGATGCATCTGCAACGCGTCTTGAGCTGACTCAACCCCCCCCCCCCACACCCCACCCCTCCCCCCCCCGGCCCACCAACAGGCGGACATCGACGGCAACGGGGAGATTGACTACAGTGAGTTTGTGGCGGCAACGATGCATCTGCAGCGCGTGGACAACGAGAAGAACCTGCAGGCGGCGTTTGACTTCTTTGACTCGGACCGCAGCGGGTTCATTGACATCGAGGAGCTGGCGGATGCATTGGGCGCGGACTTGACGTCACTCAAGGAAATCCTTGCGGAAGTGGACACCAACAATGTGAGCTTGCGATGGCATTCTGGATTGGCATACTTGAGCTTGCGATGGACATGCCGGGTGTTTCTGAGAATACTCAGAAACACTACTTGTTTGACTTGTTTGACTCGGATCACAGCGGGTTCATCGGCATTGAAGAGCTGGCGGATGCCCTGGTCGCCGACCTGACTTTTCTCACGGAGATTCTGGTTGAGCTCGACACCAACAATATGAGCTGCATAAAGGGCATGTCAATCAAAAAGGGCATGTCAACAATATGCACATCACATGACAGTAATAAGGCCATAGCCTGCCAACAACATGCCCACAAGTCTATTATTGTCATCTCTTCACACCTCAGCAGTGACTTTTCATTCATTCATCTCTATGCTCCTCACTCCTCTCTCTGCTCCCCTCTCCTATCCCTGCCCTCACTCCCATTTCTCCTTCCTCCAGGACGGCAAGATCAGCTTTGACGAGTTCAAGGTGATGATGCGCAAGGGCACGGACCTCAGGGGCAGTCTGCGCCACTTCTCTAAGAGCCGCTCCTCACTGCGAGCCCTGCTCAAGCTCAGTGAAATCGACTTGGCTGGAGGCCCCACCGATGGCGCCCATGCCAATTCTTGACCGTGGGTCTCTCTTGCCGTTTTGGTGGCGGTGTAGGCTTGGACAGGAGAATTCTGATCTTGTGTAGTTTGTTTTGTATAGATGTGCCTAACCACCGCTTGTTTGATTCTAGCTTGGTGATTTGCCGGTTGCAGAATAGGGAGCACTGCATGTCGTAGCTCTTTGTAGAGATGCTTTATCCGTGCAGTGGGCTGTGGCTGGCTGAAGCTGTCTGATTGGTTAGCTGTACCTTCTAACAATATATTGATGGTTGCATTGCATTTCTGTTTCTTGTAAGTGTTGTTCATAATGTCCCAGTAATTGTAGGGATTACCAGTCATTTTTGTGCATGCAGGGGTCAACGAGGTCCAGGGCGGCGCTGACGTTGACCAGGCAAATCTGTGGTTCCACCTGAAGCGCTGGACTGCACAGTGCCGCTTGTCGTGGTAACTCTCGCCAGTCTTCGCCATAGCACGACGAACGACGTAGTCTTGTTCGCATGGAACATGTTGACCATCGTGGGGTGTCGAACTCGCGAGTCTGGTTTGGCATCACAGCACCGACTTCAACTAAACCACTCGGGCAGGTAATTCTTCCTGGTGCCTGGCACTCAGTGTGCGGCACGGGAAGAAAGTGCTGACCCGGTCATGCGGAAAACGGGCAAGCGGAAAGTAGTGAGAACAACCACATACAGCCGAGCAGACAACCTCACCAACCAGTTTTTGCGACGTTTCTGAGGGCTGGGCAGACCTGGTGCATTTTTCTGTTTGCCCGCACCGACAGATGGGGCCAACGCAACAGGTTCAATGAGTCAACATGTTTTTTGGGGGGAGGGAGTGCTGGAGTGCTGCTGCTGAGCGAGAGAGGGGGGTTGAAATGGGGGCAACGCGGCAATGCAGGGCAGCATTTTTGTTCCAACTTCGGCGCATGCATGTGTTTGTGCGCCTTCTCTCTGTCGTGTTTGCATTTGAGGACCAGAAATGTTTGGCAGGTGCAACCGTCGTGTTCATTCCGTTGTGTACAAAGCGTCGTGACAAAGCTTCGACGCTTGTTCTTTCACTTGGGTTCTTCCGTCTGTCTCTTTTCGTGCGTACCTATATCATAACCTTTATAATTATCGCCGATACGCCGCGTACCAGAAGTTTGTTTAGATTGTAGCGACCAATACATATATTTTCGTTCCAAGTCGAAACAGTTTCAAGCCATCCCCATATCGATCAGATGCGGCGCGTCGTCTTCACAGGGAAGGCGCTATTACCACTGCTCCTCGCGGCGGCGCTTTTATTGTCGCTGTGTTACGCCGCGGCTCTTGTGGGAGTTTCCGCTGCAGCGGCACATCCGCCGATCATTCCCCGTGAGCTCCGCCGCCTGCCCGACACCGCAGGGATTTTGCGCGCTATCTTCCGCGGATCCACAACTTCCGGAGTCTTTTCATTGCCCCGACGCACGAACCGCACATTGACACCGCCAGGTGGTCGGGGGATACGCGATGGCCCGATCTGTGATAAACGATCGGCAGAGGGCGGCGCTGTGCGGGGATATGCGGTGCTGTGCGGTGACGAGGCCGCGGTAGAGGCAGCGGAGAGGGATGAGGCGGAAGAGGAGAGGTGGAAGGAACTGGCGGAGGACGTGGGGGCGGGCGAAGGCGAAGGGGAAGGGGAAGGGGAAGGGGAAGGGGAAAATCCACTTCCCTCTGTGTTTGAAGGGCCGCAATTGCCGCATTCGGACGGGCTGATTACCAATACAATAGTACAGGACCGGCGATACAGACCAGACGAACAACAACAGGAAGAGGAAGTGGGGGACCAGGATCAAGAGGAGGAGGAGGAGGAAAGCAGGAAGAAGCGAGAGCTGTGGGAGGAAGCAGGGCCTTATGATAGCGGGATATATGGTCCCTGGTATTCCCACAGGCCGTCCGGGCACCAGCAGTGGCAGCAGCAGGTGCAGCTGCGCGCGCAGAAACACGCACGGACTGCGAGCCTTCAGTTCAAGCAGCAGCAGCAAGGAGTGCAGCAGTGGGGGGCGCAGGGGGGGAAGCAGCAGAAGCCGGGAGAGGCGCCGGAGTGGGCAAAGCGGGAGCAGCAGCGGTGGGAGCGGGACCAACGGCCGCAGACGGCGGAGGAGATTGCGATGCAGGAGGAGCACTGGCGGCAGCAGCAAGGGCTAGTTAAGACCAGGCTGCGGCAGTGGCGGCAGCAGGCGAAGCGGATGAATCAAGTGACTAAAGCCAAGGAGGCGGTGTGGGCGGCAGAGGCGAGGAGAAGATGGGCGGCAGCGGCGCAGGGGCGGGAGAGGGCGGAAGGGACGGCAGGGACGGCAGGGCGGTTTTCTGTGATGACAGAAGACGACATGGATGACATGATGCCGGGCGGCACACTCTCCTGGCAGCGCCTGAAAGCCACCGCCACTGCCGCCCACCCCAGCACTCCCAACAATCTCAAGGCCACCATCGCCTCCGTCAATCCCAAGGGAGCCGTCACTCCCAAGGGGGCAGCAAAGCCATGCTCCCCGCGGCACAGCAGCCCGGTGATCAAAGTCTACTCAGTGTCCGACATCGCTAAGCGCACGCGATACCCTCCCCGGCAGACCGTCACGCTCGTGCTCTACCGCTCGCTCTCCCTCTCCCGCGGGCTCCTCTTCGGGACCAACTTCTCCTGCACCATCTTCCGGTCCCGCTCCCTGCCCTCGCGCCACTCCATCTCCCTCTCGCGCTCCGATGAGCCCGTGCTAAGAGTGCACAACGCCAGCAACGTCCTGTTCATCGGCATCGGGCTGCGCAGCGCCGTGCGCAACTCCTCGCCCTTCTGCGAGATGCTGCCCGAATACGGCAGCCTGATGGGCTTTGAAATCATCTGCCCGGCGCTCCACATCTACCGCTCGTTCGGGATTCAATTTACCCAGGCTTCCGTGATCGGCCGAATCGACGTCTTCCGATCGGGTTACACCAAGCTGGACTCACTCTTTGTAACCGCCCCTGGGACGTACGAGAGGTCACCGGGAGTGATCCGCATGGGCATGTGCGGGCTGGGCATGACTCTGGTATCATCCAAGAATGTGATCACCAATAATGATGTCTTTGGCGCGTGGGAGCTGATTAACCTCTACCGCGGGTCGATCGGCGTGAAGGTTCATAATAATTTCCTCCATGATTACCTCTTTGCGGGGTTCCGGTGCGGCGCTGACGTGCACTACTCGTGGGACTGCATGCTGACGTCAGTGAAGAACAACTTTGTCTTCACGCCTCAGTCCAAGGGCCGCCTGACGTTTGACTCGGCCGGGATTTATTTCTGCACTCACTGGTTCAACCCTGGTAAGTGGCGACCGATGCAGGTTCAATTCCGGCTGGTGGCACTTAATTACTCTGGGCGTGTTCACTCAGCTGTGGGTAATCTGACTCATTCCTGCCCTTCACCCTTTTCCATCCATCCCCCACCCTACCCTTCCACAGGCAGCACAGTGGCCTGCAATTATGTGATAGGCGGGGACCACTGCTATTACCTGGACTACTGCACATCAGGAGTGGACATCACAGGGGGCGTGTGTGCGCAGCTGTGGGACGGAGTGAAGCTGAACAACGGCAAGCGCAACAAGATCCGCAGCCTGCTCATGGTCAGCCTGGGGCAGAGCCCGGGCTATATTACCTGCCTGACAGTCACAATCAACCATTGTGGGAAGGACCCTGGGACCTATTGGGAGAGGATGCGCAAGCGCTACTACAACTCCCCGGAGATCAATAAGGTGAGGCTTTTCCTCCTTCCCTCCCCTTCCCCACCTCTCCCTTCAACTCTTCACCATCTCTTTCCCCATCTCTCCTCTCACCTCTCCCCGTTTCTCCCCACCTCTTGCCGCCTCTCCAGTTCCTCAGCTCTTACCTCAGCACCTTTTCCCTCGTCTCTCCCCTTATCTCTCCCCTCATCTCTCCCTCATCTTCCCCCCATTTCCCCCACCAGCTATGGCCGTGGATGAAGCATGTGTGCAGGCAGGCAGACACGCATCGCTCTCACTTCCCGCCTCTTGCCACCTGCCTCTCCAGTTCCTCACTTCCATCCAGCCTCACCTCTCCCTTGTTCCCCCATCTCTCCCCTCATTTCTTCCACCCACCAGCTATGGCCGTGGATGAAGCATGTGTGCAGGCAGGCAGACACGCATCGCTCTCACTTCCCGCCTCTTGCCACCTGCCTCTCCAGTTCCTCACTTCCATCCAGCCTCACCTCTCCCTTGTTCCCCCATCTCTCCCCTCATTTCTTCCACCCACCAGCTATGGCCGTGGATGAAGCATGTGTGCAGGCAGACACGCATCGGCACGCAGTCCTGCAACCCCGCAGGTCACAAGGCTCTCACCTCCAAGCAGACCGGCGCATGCAGCGGCCTGCCCACCGAAAACGACGTCGAGCTCATCGCAGTAGATGCCGACACAAGCCGCCCGGACGAGTACCGGTACTGCGGGCGGGTGCCTGCCGCCCGGAAGGTGAACCGGCAGGTGCTCTACAGGTACACTGGTGATGAAATGCGGTTTCGCGATTATAGTAAAGGGGATTATGGGGTAAAAGCGGACTCGATAGTGTATAAGAAGCACAAGGGGTTTGTTTCGTGTCCAAGAGCGAGAGTTGGGATCATGCCGGTGTCAGTACAAACGTATTACAAGGACTGGAATATTCCAGCTCCTACATTCTACAGGAAGATGGTAGCATTGTCATATAATGTTATATATAACAAAGATATGTATTAGGTAGGCATGCTGTTAGCTAGCATGATTCTTTCATTAATGTATGCCTGTATATCAGCAGAATAAATGAATAAAACAGTGACCACTTATTCCTGGTACACTCGTTGAAACCATGCAGCAGTACTACATGTTAGGGGCAAAGCAGCAGCTTATACCGTAGTTGCCAACCAAGGTAACTGGAGATACAGTTGGTTAGACTGGACAGGACGAAGGAAGGCAACATATGTGAACCTCAAGGTTACTGTTCAGTCACTTCAGAAGTCACAGCTGTACGAAGGATGGCTTGAGCAGCCAGCATGCCATCCACTGCAGCACTCACAATGCCCCCTGCGTACCCCGCTCCGTGCGTACCCCGCTCCCTGCGTACCCCCGAGTTACTATTCAGTCAGTTCAGAAGAAGCAGCAGCAGTGGTGCGGAGGATGGCTCGAGCAGCCAACATGCCATCCACTGCAGCGCTCACAATGCCCCCTGCGTACCCCGCCCCCTCGCCTATTGGGTACAGCCCTGGCAGTGACACACTCTCATAGCTCTCTGCCCCCCTCTCCACGCGCACTGGACAGCTCGTGCGCGTCTGGGGAAGACCCAGGGGAAAGGAGGAGAGGAGGCAAAGTAGGGTAAGTTACTAGCCACCTGTTTGTCAGGTACAATAACTTACAATGAAACACTCCGATTTCGGATTCACGCTTCAGAACTCAAAAGTAACGCATGAACCACAATGAACCACTTGAAGGGAAGCTATTGGTCTCACCTCGGCAGCATGTAGCAGGGCGTGTGGGGAGATGAAACCAGGCATCTGGTGGGTGAAGGGTGGAAGGTTAGAGAGGCAGGGAGATGGGAAAACGGGAAAGGCGGGGAGATACCGAGATGACTGGCAAGATTAGACCGAGGAAATAGAGGGTGGAGGACCAAGGGGAGTGCAAGGGGGGATGCATGCATGGGGACGCAGTGAAACAAGGAATGTGCATCACCTTCTTATCGAAGTTCTCTAAAGCGAGTCGGATGGCAAGCGTGATGGAGGGCGAGTAGAGCTGGTCCAGGCGGGCCGAGGTCACCCCCAGGCGATAGCTTGATGATGGCAGGGCGGACGCTGGAAGGGGAAGAGCGAGAGGGAGGGGTCACGGGAGGACGAATGAGCTGATGCCACGTCTTGGCCATAGCTGGATGGTGGGGGAGAGGGGAAATTGAAGGGTATATGTGTGAGGAGGGTGGGTTGTGTTAATCAAGACTCCAGCCAAGCTGGGTGCCACTCCCAGGCAATGGTTGCAGTCAGCAGGGAGGAAGGACGGTGGGAAGATTTGGAAGGGAGGATCTCCTTAATGTCGCTCTCGAAGCAATCGACTGGGGGGGAGGCGGGGGAGGATGGTGGAGGAGAATATTGCGGAAGTGGGAAGCAGGCAGGTCGAATTCTTGCGGCAAACACGAGAGGAAAAGAAAGAGAGCACAGAGGGACGCATGAGCTGAGAGAGTGTGTCTGCATGGGAGAGTGTGTCTGCATGGGCAACACACAGGACCCGCTCAGGGTGACAGGGAGTGTGTCGTGTCTCTAGGAGGCAGCTACCCTCCTGGGGAGCGATGCCCATTGCTCACCAGGAGAGAGAGACCCTCGAAGGAAGTCAGAGGCGCGTTGCACTGGTGCCACGAAGTTGCCACCTCCCATCACGGCTGCCTGCCGCTCGATTGCCCTCTGGGAAGGCGGTGGGTGAACATGAGGAGACGCGGAGAGGCAGGAATGGTGAAGAGGGATATCAGGCAGGTACCAGGGCACGTTTTGAGACGTCTCAAAACTGTACCAGGGCACCATGACACTTCATTTGTCTGCACAACGGGCCTTCACCTGTTTGCACAGTGTATTGCGGTTTCAAGGCATGGTGTTTCCGATTTGTCATGCAACTCCCGCTTGCGCCCTCACACCACACAAACTCACAGGCGTCCCTTTGGGCGCCAGGCAGATGGAACTTGCACGCACAACCAAATGCCCGCCTTATTTTCCCTCTCCACCACCACCCCAGCCGCACACCCACCATTCCTTGAGACATCTTTCATCTTTCTGCCTTATTTCTTTTTCTTTATTTTCTTGAAACCACTTCAACGTACCTGGTACTCCATGCCTGCTAAGGCATCATGCTCCCGGGTGAACTCGTCAAAGTCGCCAGCAGACGCGGAGACGGAGGACACCAATGCAGCGTTGGCCCAGAGCGAGGAGCGGTTGGAGAAGGACATGCCGTTGAGGCACAGCTCGTCCGCCATCACACTCGTGCACACCACCTGCCCTCCCTCCTTGCCAGGCTCCAACATACCTGGTATTCCATGCCTGCAAGGGCGCCGTGCTCCCTTGTGAACTCGTCAAAGTCGCCACCAGCAGCAGACACGGAAGAGACGAGGGCCGCGTTGGCCCAGAGCGAGGAGCGGTTGGAGAAGGACATGCCGTTGAGGCACAGCTCGTCCGCTGTCACACTTGTGCACACCACCTGCCCTCCCGGACACATGCAGAACGAGTAGCAGCTGCGCCCCTGCTGCCCACTGCCACTGCTATCACTGCTGCCAGTGCTGCTACTGCTAGTGGTGCCGCCAGTAAGGGAGAACTGGCCGGCGAGGGAGTAGTCGGCTACAGGGATGGGTCCCTTGCCGCGCGCCACTGCCGCCTCCACGTCCATGCTGCCCTGCCAACGCCGGTACTGCCGGGGGGGAGCAGGGTGAGGGGAGGGGGGAGGGGGAGTCATGGGTGTTGTGTTGGGGCAAGGGGCCTTGCAAGACACTCAGGTGTGTGCTGTCTGGGTTGCTCCACCACCGGCGAGGGAGTAGTCAGCAACGGGGATGGGTCCCTTGCCACGAGCCACTGCCGCCTCCACGTCCATGCTGCCCTGCCACCGCCGGTACTGGCGGGGGGAGAGCGGGGAAGGGAGAGATGGAGAAGGGTGATGCCTTACCATCGCTAGCGCTGGTCAAAACAAAACTGAACAGTGAATATGACGTAGCCCGCATACCCGGATGGCGTTGATTTCTCCCTGGGGATGCTCGATACGGAAGCCCACTGCAAAGTCCTTGGGGAGAGCAGCACGTTGTGAGACAGCAGCATGTCAAACACCGCCCTTGCTGAGTGCCCCACCCCCAGCAGTCAAACACCGCCCCTTTGAGACACCTCAAAAGCCTTACCCGGATGGCGTTGATCTCTCGCTGGGGATGCTCGATACGAAAGCCTACTGCAAAGTCCTTTGGGGAGAGCAGCACGTTGTGAGACAGCAGCATGTCAAACACCGCCCTAGCTGAGTGCCCCACCCCCAGCAGCACCCTATCCGCTGCCATCACACTCCGCTCCTCTGCACCGCTTCCCACCACACTCCCAGCAGGCCTCACGCGCACCCCAGCCACCCGCCCGTTCCGAACCTCCAGATCCTCCACCACCGTTCCGAACCTGATCTCCACGCCCAAACCTAACAAATAGGCCCGGAACTGCTGCAGGATGCGCACGAGCCTGTCGGTGCCGAGGTGCGGGCGCCCGTCCACAAGAATACGTTCGGGAGCACCCATCCTCACCAGAACATTCAGCACCTCCCTAACATCTTGACTATTCTTCCCGATCCTAGTCGTCAGCTTGCCGTCACTCCACGTCCCAGCCCCACCCTCCCCATAGCAGAAGTTGCTGTCTGGGTTGAGCACATGGCGCACGGCTAGAGCGCCGATGTCCCGCCCTCGCTCCTCCACGGGCTGACCCCGCTCCACCACTGTCACCTGCTCGCCTGCTTCTGCCAGTACGAGAGCTGCCAGCAACCCCGCTGGACCCATCCCCACCACTACGTTGCGCGTTCGCTCTCTCGGTGGCTTATCTCTCGCCCCCACTGCTCCTGTGGGAGCACCTGTGCTGCTGCTGGTATAAGCACCAGCACCAGCACCAACACTATCAGCAGTGGAAGAAGCAGCAGCAGCAGGAGCAGCAGCAGGAGCAGCAGCAGGAGCAGCAGCAGGGGTGCGGGCAGCGAGCAGGCTGAAGGGCAGTTCAGGCAGCACGACCTGGGCTTTAAGGGCCACATCTCTGCGCTTGCGGGGTGGCGTGGCTGAGAGCGTGAAGGCCTGCGCTAGCGCTGCTGCATCGATGTCAATGGCATAGGCGAACACAGGGGCCTGTGAACGAGGAGGGGCGCATGGGGGTGGGGGAGGGAGAGGGTGAAAGAGTGGGAGAGCAAGACAGGGTGAAGGCTTGCACCAGTGCTGCTGCATCAATGTCAATGGCATAGGCGAACACTGGGGCCTGTGCATGAGGGAGGTGGGGATGGGATGGGCGAGGGAGAGAGTGAAAGATGGAGAGAGGGAGAGGGTGAAGGGCCTTGCACCCTACCCCAACGCACCTTGCAATGCATACAGCCCAGCCCAACGCACCTTGCAATGCATACAACCCAGCCCAACGCACCTTGCGGGCATCAAAGGACTTGCGCACGACCGTGAGAGCAGACGAGGGCAGGTGCTCCGCCCGCACGTGCAGCGCCATAGCTGCCGCCCGCACCAGCCCCTCACTCACTGCCACGTCATCCTTGCCAGGGTCGGCATGCAACGGCACATCCACATTCATGAGTCTTATCACCCCCTCCGTTGGCAAATGCCCTTCTTTCGGAGAATGCCCATCCCCTTGTGAGTCCCTGTCCATTGACAGATGCCCCTCCTGCACTCCATTCGCCTTGACATCTGGCATCCTCTCCTCCTGCTGTCCGTCAAGCCTCGCCCGCCCCCACCCTCGTTCCTCTTCGCGAGGACGGCGATGGAAGTCTGACTGCGTATCTGCTCTCCTGCCACTGTCACTCCTCCCTCTTCCCCCGTAACCACCCCTTCCTCTCCTGCCAAAGTCGCCCCTCCCTGTACTCCCATAGTCGCCCCTCCCTCTTTCCCGATAATCCCCCCTCCCTCTCCTTCTCACCCCATTATCATCCCTCTCTCTTCCCCTGTACCCCTCCCTCCCTCTTTCTTCTAATCCGCCCATCTCCTTGCCTCCATACTCGCTCCTCTCCCTCCCTCCATAGTCACCCTTTTCCCTCCCTCCATACTCACTCCTCTCCCTTCCCTCATACTCACTCCTCTCCCTTCCCCCATACTCACTCCTCTCCCTTCCCCCATACTCACTCCTCTCCCTTCCCCCATACTCACTCCTCTCCCTTCCCCCATACTCACTCCTCTCCCTTCCCCCATACTCACTCCTCTCCCTTCCCGCATAACCACTCCTCTCGCTCCCCCCATAAACACTCCTCTCGCTCCCCCCATACGACCCCCTGCCCCTTCCACCATACTCGCCCCTGTCCCCCCTTCCATATCCCGCCCTCTCTGTCCCCCCATAACCGCCCCTATCTCTCCTCCCATAATCGACCCCCTCTCTCTCCCCATAACCCCTCCTCCCTTCCCCATCTCCCCCTTCTCTCCTTCCATCCCCCGACCTCTCGCTCCGCTCAACCCCACTCTCCCCTGATTCGCCCCACCGTTCCTCAATCCTCCGCCCACCCCTTCCCCCATACACCCTCTCTCCCTCTCCGCCTCCTCGCCCCCCACTCTCCCTGCCATACCCAGAGTACCGCTCTCTTACCCCCTGGTACCGCTCTGAACCCTTTGGGAACCGCTCCCTTTCATCCCCATACGCCTCTCGCCTCTCGTTCTCGCTTCTCCTTGCCTCATCAATCCCCATCAACCCTTCTCCCCTTCCATATCCCCTAACTCCTCGCTCCCTCCCATACCCCTCTCGACCCGCACTTCCATACGCATATCGGTCCTCCTTATAACGAACCCTCTCATCGCCATCGCCATCGCTAAACCCCCCTCTGTCCCTGAACCCTGAACCCTCCCGCGCCTGTCCCCCCTTGTCCCTCTCCCCTCGCTCTCTCCCGCTTAAACCACCCCTTCCTCTGCCCCCCCAACGACCTTCCCCTCCATCGCTCTCCACCCCTCTATACGCACTCCGCCTATAATCACCACCCATTTCGGGACCAACTCTTCCACCATCTCCCCTCACCGTACTCCTCTGATCTTCTCCCTCTCCCCTCCCCCTGCTCTCACCAGCAAAACGCCTCTCGCTCTCACTCCATTCCCCATTTTCTCTCCGAGCCCGGCTCCCCCCTGGAGCTAAGTCGTCTCTAACAGTGGCATTCCCCCTTCGCCGCTCGTCGGATCGGTCCCGACTGAACCGCGCAGTCACGGCGAGCGAACGGCTATTCTGGGAGATTCCCGAGATTCCGGAGAGTGCCGTCGCATCGTCGCGGCGAAATGGTAACCCGCGAGTTGACAAGCTCCCGTGGTGACGCAAGCTGGTGTGCTTGAAAGGAAGGACGACGCGTGACCCCGTTAGAAAACTAACCAGCGTCATCGCTCATTCACTTGTAATGGATCCACGGAGTAGGTTGCTTCGGAACAATGTGGAATGGTACCTTTTCTATTCAAGCATGAACCATTTATTCAATGGGGGAGAGATGTCAACTAGTCGACACGATTGAAGCAGAATTGCTCGAATCAGCAACGGTAATGCGGGGAATCTTGGGATGTCCTCGCACTCTTCCAGCGAAGACATGAAAAGTACCAATGGAAGATAATTACCGTGCTTCAGTCAGCGCGACTCAGGGCGTGTCCAGCTCGTTCATTTCAGGAAATTTAGTACCACCTCACGATCCGGGGTTCAAAACTAATCACTGTACCTAAAAACGAAATCGCCCTGAGTCGAGTCCACCCTTTTTTGTCAATTCTAGCGCGCGGACACGTTCCCCCCACACAGACTTCAGCAGTGCAGGGGCCGTGTGGAAACCAAGGTAGCCGGTTTTCTCGTCAACCCAAGCGTTGGAATTTTCGCCAAGCCAACACTTCCTCTACTAGTTTTGGCGAGTGTCAGGCGGCGCAGGCGAAATCGAGCGCGCGATACAATGGGCACTCACTGTAGTGGGCAGGACGCGGTTCTGTACCATTTTTCGATGCGCACGCTGATTCCTGTAATGTGCGTCACACGATTCGAGGTACGTGCAGGGGGTGTGCCGTATCTTGAACGGGAGCCGATCGTGTCTGGCATTTCTGTAAAAATCAGTGTTACAACGCAAAATGTGGTAACTGAAGGGCTTTACGAACAGTAAATGAACGAGCTGGACACCCCCTCACTCGTTTCTACAACGATTTTTCATGCACACCAATAGCTAGATAATCCAGCTAGAGCATAATTTGATTTTACATGAATATGAATAGCTAGCTATTCTACCTAAAACATACAAGGTGATGTGCGACTCAATCCTACCGTAATTCTCTCAGTTCAGTGAATTTCACTGCCATCAACTAGGCCTTGCACAGTGATACCTCCGCCCACCCCTGTGACTAGAGCCTGCCCATCAAACATCGCAGCTCCTCCTGGGGAACAAAACACAACACATCAGTTTGAATAAATTAGCAGATACATATGAACGGGGACTTAGCGAAAGATGACAAAGTGTGAATAGGAACATTTGTTATTTCAGGATTATAGTACCCACCTTGCACCCGAAGCAGCCCTGCCACCTTCTCCCACACTTTGGAGCTGAGCTGCTTCACTGGGGCTGCACTCGCAGGCCGGCCCTGGGGTTGCAGGGGGAGTGAATGAAACGCGAGGGAGATTAAGACAGGAGAACAACGAAAATTCAGGGAGAGTCTTGAATAACGTGTGAATCATGGCAAAAGCAAGTGGAATATGACGGGCATGGGGCAAACCGAAAGGTCATGCATATGTGTATGAAGTAAGCACGCACATTGGGGGATACATGGGCATGCATGAAAGGATGCACACGTGAGCTTGCACGCATGCTACAGCTCATGCAGGAGGGCGGGCATACAGGCATGGACAGGGCGTATCAGCACAGGGAGTGATCACAGGCATAGTGCGTACCTGGATGCAGACTCGATCACCAACTGCAGCATCTTGGGGCGGATCAATGAGCTGTTGGGGAGGAGATTCGGGTGATGGGTTGAAATGGGGGAGATGGGGAAGTGGGGAGATTGAACCGAAGTGGAAAATGGAGTGCACAGTGGAGTGGGTGGGGAGCTTCAGGTGCATCAGCACAAAGAGCGCGCAACGCGACCCATGTGCTGGACAGCCACTGACACACGCATGCATAACCCATTCCTCCTTCCTCACCTTCACAGCACACCCCCCCCCCCCCCCCCCCCCCCCCGCCCCCCCCACAACCCCCTCAGCCTGAGGCGCCTAAAGAACTCAGTTTGAAGCCAGAAGTAATTTCTTGACTCAAAAAGCCATCGCCCAGGCCTGCTCACCTTGACAACCTCCCCGGCCTCAGCCTCAGCAGAGGGGTGCGAGCCAGCGAGCATCATGGCTTGGCTAGGCTGCCCGGCGAGCTTGGCGGGCTTGAGGTTGCACACGGCACACACCAGCCGCCCCTGCAGCTCCTCCTGCGAGATGAACTTCCGAAGACCAGCCACCACCTGAGGGGGAGTTCAGTTCACACGGACACAGGTGAGCAGAAGATAGTTGTTTGAAGAGAAGAGATTGAGTCTTGAGGCGCGTCAAAAGTCACCTCAAAGCCACCACCTGGAGGGGTTCAGTTCACACGGATACAGGTGAGCAGAAGATAGTTGTTTGAGGAGAAGAGATCGAGCCTCAGGGAACAGTTGAGCATAGGGAAAGGCAGGTGCGTGCATGCTGCATGCACGAGGTAAAGCGCCTGAGGCAGCACAAGAGGGGGAACAATTGATGGAGAGAGGAGCACAAACGTTTATGCGAGGAAGTAATACGCAGTGCTGGCGCTACTCACCTGGCGGACCTCCCCCGGCGCAACCTCCACCTGGCAGACGTAAAGCTTCTCCGCCACCGGGTGGGGCTCCACTGCCTGCACCCGCGCCACCTGCGCGCGGGGAGAGGAGAGGCGGAGGAAGGGGAAAAGGTGTTGTGAGGTGCCTCAACTGCATCTCCTCATACAGTTGGGTGACGGCGCGTTATTCTTTTGAAGTTATCCAGGATACGCAGATTGCAAGTTCGCATTAATAGTCATTCGCCAACGGCCAGGAATGTGGTAACAGCGAGAGGAGAAGGCAACTGTTGACGACGTTTGCTGATCTAACGAAAGTTTGCGTGTTGTCGCTCGACGCTCACCCTGATGTCGCATTTGTCGAAATTCTCTACGCTCTCCCCCGCTGACGCTGGAGCAGCTGATGATTGCGCTGCTGGCGGAGAGGGAACGGAGTATCAGAAGGATCAGCCAAACGAATTAGGAAAAACATCACAGAAAGACAACGGCGAACTACGATCTATGATGTTCAGCGGGAGCATATGCGGAGTTCCTCGGTTCTGCAGAGTATGAATCACCTGGTTTCGCAGCTTTTGCTTTCCCTTTTTCTGACGACTGCTTCTCGCCATTGCTTTCAGCTACTGAAGCTTTCGGCTGAGCGGCAACGGGAACGTCAGCTGAGGAGGCGGACGACGCGGTGAGGCGGGAGATGAGGAGGTCGATCTGCGCGATCGCATTGTCCAGAGCCACTAGCGCTGGAGCAGGATCAGCGGCAGCCATTTTGACAAGTAGTGGAGAAACGAGCTGTGTACGGGAAACGGGTATATGTGAAAATGAATGTGAGAAAGATGTGTAGTGGCCTTTCGAGAATGATATTGTGTTGAGGAGAAATAGCATCTAAATAATGAAACGGTGTACCCAACTCACGGTCCAATTTATCAGCTTTGTAACGCGGATATCATTTCCCCACCTGTCGCTTCGCACCTCGAGCGAGGATTTCAAACGTCCCGCCAAATTTGTGACAGACTCATTCACTGACCCAAACCGCCTGAAACCTGCAACCAAAAAAGCACTTCACCTTGCTCTCCCCCCCACGCTGCTGATACCCAAACCACAAGCTATCTCATCCCAATTCCCAAGGTCATTCCATGGCGAACTGTTAGACGATCTCGAGGGCATAACTGACTATTCACGTTGGAGTATAATCCGGTGTGTCTTAGCCTGCCGAAGCCATTGTCTAGCAAAGTTTGTCCTAGTTGCGATCACTTCATAGGTATTACCGAATCGATCTGACATCTCGTCGGATTTTTACTAGATTTCATAGCCTTCCAGTGTGGTGTATATTTGCGATCAGCAATGGAGACGGACGACTTGATTCTAGGAAACGTCAGCCTGAATACCTTATCAGCTTTTGGTTAGTGCTACCTATCGTACCCTCCTCGTTCATTTTCTGAGTTAACTGGTGACTTGCTGTAAAGGAAACTAACTGAGTATGTCTTATTGATATGCAGATGAGGCGAATCAGAAGTTCCCAGGACGATTTGACTTCGCAATTACCCCGTTGCGACCTCAGAAGCGAATTTTAAACGACACGGTTGGCGGAGGTGACATCATACATGGCAGCGTGCAGCAGGAAAAAAATGGTGCTGGTAATCTAAATCTCTCCTCACATCTTACCTGCAATCTAGTGGAGAACAATGAGAATAACGTCAGCATTCCAGTTTCAGTTAACTTCAACGCTGCGTCTAAGTTCGCTCCGACACCGACGGCTGCACGAAGGAAGAGCAGACGGAGCGTCGCACGACAGAGCCTGCCATGGAACAACGCGTTCCTGGAAGACGAAGGTGGGATACAAACCCTGGTGTCTAATCTATCCGTACAAGCAATCAGCATTCTAGGGAAAAGAAGACTTACCTTTCATATTTCTGACATGCAGGTCTTTTGAATGATGACGAGTTGCACGGCGAAGTCATTGATGACAGCTTTATCATGGAGCGAATGACCGACATCGATTGGCCTGAAGACCCTCAGAATGACACATCCAAGGAAGTATCCAAGATGGGCGATCCAAGCGGCTCTGGCTCCGACCCAAGCGCCTCTGCAGCACTGGCTAAGATTCAGACTCCTGAGCCGAAATCCGTGCGCAAGGATCGTCGCGTCAGCGCTGCCTGGAACGAGGCTTTCTTCAACAAGAACGCAGGTTCGTGCTTCCCAAGCCAGGATTCAGATCAAATGAAGCTCATTACAGAATCGCCCTTCAAACCCATGTCGCTCAGCGTTCGTGCACGCGATAATAACAACACAGTTCCTGCTTCTATCTTCGTTATATGCAGAGTCGCTTCTAGACCTCGACGACGACGATGACCAGCTTGCGCCAGATCTCCCTCCGGTCGACCTGTCTTTTCTTCCCATGTATGCCGCCGCCCCTTCCGGAGACACCGCTGCTAAAGAATCCGCCAATACTCCGAAGGATGATCAAGACGCGATGTGTACTAGTGAATTAGCTGGTGCTGCCGACCACCAGAGGGCGACGAGCGAGCAGCAGAGAATGACGAGCGAGCAGAAAGTAGCGGCCATTGTAGAGAAGAGCAGCGCGAGCGACTGCGTGAATGTCCCGAAGAGTGCGACAAGGGGAGGGTTGGATCAGGGCCCGTCAAGTACACGACTCAAGCTCCCCGGCGCAGCCCCTCGTAAGCGCTTTTGTCAGGATGTTGTCTAATGTGTTTTTGTCTTGGATTATGGTCCTGGATTACGTTAGCGTTACCTACAAACTGCTAATTCAACAAGTGTGTTGCTTGTGTCTTCAGGGTTTCATTCGTCAAATGCGAAGGCGGCGAAGGGAGCGGCAGCCTCCCCCGCTCCAGGCGCAAAGACTCCCGCCAGTTCGAGCAGGACTCCCAAGTCAGCGACAACGACAGCGACGGGTACAAGCCGGCAGCAGAGCGTGGGCGCATCTAGGCTCGCAAAGCAAGGTAGCGGTGGGAGCGCTGTCGGCGGTGTTGGGTCATGCAGCCAGTCGAAGCATGGCGGTAGCACCACCTCACACGCGGGAACGGCAGAGAGGAGCAAGAGGGCGACGGCGGCGTCCGGTACCTCCTCTCACTCCCGTCAGGCGGCGTCGTCAGAGTTTTCGAGTAAGGGAGGCGCGGGGGTTGGCTCATGCGGGGCGAGAGTGGATCTGCACAGCCGCTTTGAGTCGTCCACAGACGTTGAGGACTCCAATGACGCTGGGCAATCGCGTCTCCCTGAAGAAAAAGAATCGCTCGATGAGGCCCAATCGCATGCGATTTCTGTGAGTGGGGAGAACGAGAGCGCGATCACGGCAACTGAAGGCCAGCGCGATGTGCAGAGTACAGCGACGGCAGAAGTGCGTTTCGAGGAGGAAGACTCGGTGGTTTTAGCCGCTTCTGGCGCTGAGAAGCCCGCAGGGAATGCACATTCGCACGCGTCCGAGTCGGAGATTGTGACCAAGTCTGAGGATGCGCCTGTAGGCGCGTTGCGCGGGATGGTGGGGCGCGGATCCAAGGCCATGCGCGCGTGCGCGCCGTCCCCGATGAAGCCTGCCGCCGCGCGGGAGCCGATGCCGCCGCAGGCGAGCGCAGCTGCTGCTCATCGAGCCTCGAGTGGGAGTGTGAGCAGCGTGCGGAGCTCGAACGACTCGAAGCAGCAGCAGCTGCGGGAGTGGCAGCAGCAGCGTCAGCAGGCTGTGGCGGTGAAATCCCGGCCGTCAGGCAGCGCAACCGCAGGAGGACCCCCCAGGCCGGCTGTTCGGGCTGGTGCGAGCATCGGCGGGAAGCCTGGTGTGGGTGCGGGAGCAGTGGCGGCGAGAGCAGGGGTGCCTAAATCCACGAGTCACTGCACGAGTCTCGTTCCCGCTAGCCGCTCGCTGGTGCACGGCGCTGCGTCGTCTGGCGTGGGGGGGTCGGGGCTGGACGTGCTGCGAACGTCGTCGACTCGCTCCACTGGGACGTCTGCCGATGCCGGGAAACGCGTGGGGTTCGCTGGTGTGGGGAGTCATGGCGGGGGTCACGGCACGAACCGCGCCGCAGCTGCTGCTGGGTTCGCCTTCTCCGCCGCTGCAAACTCTGCGACGGCGAAGGTTGCGAGTGCTGTTGCTCGCACAGTGTTTTCTGCGAAACCACGGACGCTGAGCAAGGATGTGAAGGCTGTGAGCACGGAGGGATCTGCAGGTGCCTCACAGGGCAGTACCAGCGGAGCGGGAGGAGCTCCCAGTGCGGGTGCTGCTACCAGTGCGAGTGGCCTGTTTGGACTTAAGTTCACTGCGGGAAAGGCGGATGATCGCGCTGCTGTCAAGAAAGGCGCTCCCGCTGCTACCTCCAGGCGGGTCAGCGGCGTGGGAGCGAGAAAGGCACGGTTCGGGTTCGGCATCGGCGGGAAGGCAGCACCAACTGCCAAGGAGAAAGAGGAGGAAGTGAAGGAGAAGGCAGGCTATGGCGGTTCCAGTCAGGCAGTGGGGCAAGGGGGAGCGAAGCGGGTGGCGGCGGACAGTAAAGTGGCGAGCGGGAAGCAGCTGGTGGTGAGCAAGGGCGGAGCTCTCGCCAAGGAGAAAGCGCCAGGTGCATCGACGTCCCCTCTCGCGGCGGCGCTGAAAGTGGCCGCGAACCACTCGAAGCTGCTGGGCCTCGCCTCCAGGATTCCCGTTCCGAAAGCGACGGGGAGGTTCGGGTTTGGCGGGAGCTCGTCCGGCGCGAAGGCTGGCGTGGGGAAGGAGAGTGAGAAGGCAGCGGGGAGGGGGGTGCACGGTTCGGGTGTGGGTGGTAAGGTTGAGGCGACGCACGGGCGGGCTGGTCAGCAGAAGACGCAGCAGGCCCACGCAGGGCCTTCCCAGCCCAAAGTCGAGGTGAGCATGGCTTGGTATCTTGTGACAAACCTGGTGTTCTGGACTCGTTGTGATAGTGTTTCTAATATGCTTTCAACTGGATTCGTGTGTCGTGCTGTGTGTCACAGGCTGTCACCCCTCGAGCGAGTCGAGAGAGCAATGCATCGCACAGGAGCAGCTCGTCTCAGCACAGCACCACGCCACACGCGACCAACACGCCTCGCGCGAGTAACACGCCGCACACGGGCAGCACGCTCCGCGGGAGCAGCAGCGCGCAGAAGAAGCCGTCCCCGCGGGTGGAGAAGAAGGCGGGCAGCGGCACCCACTGGGTGCCGGGGGGCGTGGCGCAGCCGTCCGCGCTTGCCGCGGCGGATGCTGCGTTCTCCGCCATGTCCACCCCGCGGAGCAGCGATGCTGGGCAGCAGCTCAGCCGGGAAAGGGCTGGAGAGAAACGCACTGGCAACGACGGGCAAGAGGAGCAGCAGCAGCAGGATGAGGAGCGGAGGCAGGCTGTGCACCCTGGGGGGGTGCTGACGGTTGCGATGGAAATGCTGGAGGAGCAGGGTGAGTGTGCGGTTGAGAAGGATGTTGGAGGGGAGTTTGGTACAGTGCAGGGAGGTGGCGAGGGTGGGAAGGACGCGGCAGACGAGGGGCTCAAGACGCCTGGCGGCAAGAGCGGGAGCGAGAGCGAGAAAGGGAGGAAGGGGCTGTCTCTGAAGGCGATTGGGGCGTTTGTTGCTGGTGGGAGCCCGTGGAAGAAATCGGCCAGGAAGGTGGCGGCGGAGAGGGAGAGAGAGGAATCGGAGGAGGCGAGGAATGAGAAGAAGGAGAAGGGTGGGTCAGTTGTGTGCACTCCACAAAAGTCGCCTGGGAGGGCTGGCAAGGTGGAGACGGGGGAGAGTGGTGCGAGTGTGGAGACGGTTCAGAAGGAGGGGGAGAGGGGGGCGTGGGCGAGCACGGAGAAGGTGGGCGAGTGGGTGGGCGAGGTGCTTGAAACCGCTGGGACGCCCGACGGCTGTGAGCAAGCGGAGAGGAGGCGAACCCCTCCAAAAGAGTCAGAGCTGAACGCTGGGACCGTGGCTGTTCCAGGGGAGATGTTTATGGTGCCAGTGCCAGTGGCGGCAGCGGTGACAGGGGTTGCTGCAACGGCAGTAACTACTCCAGTGGCGGTGGCTACTCCAGTGGCAGTGGCAGCGTCAGGAGGCGTGTCTGGCAGCAAGGGAGGGGGGGACAGCAAGCAGCGGCGCACCTCACCTTTGCCTCGATTCCTTGGATCCCCCATCGCCAGCCTGTTCAAGGTACAGGGACTGTCTTCACGCATCCATGCTCCTTGCTGAAAGTTTGCATGGTGCCCCTTTTGAGTGTGCTTGGTTGATGCTCCGTGCCTCACGAGAGTCTTGTTCTTTGTGGCCTTGATGCATGTCCTGAACTTATCTTCCCCTTTCCTTGTGCAGAGCCCCAAGCGATCCAACAAGAAGGCTCAGGAGGTCCACGTGGCAGCAAGTGGGACGCCAGCGACTGCCACAATACGCCAGTCGTCGTCAGCAATGGCGGAGCAGCAGCAGCAGCAGCAGCACGAGGAGGAGGTGGAGCAGCAGCAGCAAAAACAGGAGGAGAGCTACCACGAGGCAATGCCAACTCCAGCGGCTGAAAGCCCCACCCTCCCCAGAAGGAGCCTGTTCAAAGCAGAGCAGCTCAAGACTGACCTCTTCAAATCCGACCTCGCCAGGAAAGACCTCTTCAAAGGGGCCTTCCCCAAGCCAGATTTTCCCCAGGCACCTCTCTCGAGCACTAGTGAGCAGCCTTCTGAGGCGCCTCACAAGTCATCCCTTCTGAGCACAAGCTTGCAGTCTGCAGCATCTTCCTCTGAAGCGGGCATGTATACAGCTCCTGCCTCGCCTGAGGCGGAGGAGGAGAGCAAGGAGGGGCAGGAGGGCGAGAGCAGGAGCATACTTTCTCAGAAGGGTGGTAGTGCGAGCAGAGGCAGGTCGCTGGGTGCGTCTGGCAGGGGTATGTTCACTGCTCCTGCGTCCCCTGAAGCAGAGGTGGAGGGGGGAGGGGAGATGGGGGAGAAGGAAGAAGGGGAAATTACTCCTCCTGGGAGCGCGGAGAAGCAGGGAGGAGGGGAGATGGGGGATAAGGAAGAAGGGGAGATTACTCCTCCTGGGAGCGCGGAGAAGCAGGGGGGAGGGGTGGAACAGGCAAAGGCAGCGGTGGGGGCGAAAGGAGAGGATCTAGATCCGTTTATGAGGAAGGTTCTGGAGGCGGAGGCGCTGGGCGTGGTGAGTGTGTGGCGTGACTGCTGGTGGGTGGATGGATGGCTTTGTGTTATGGAGTGTGACTGCTGGGAAGTGCTTGAAAAACGCTGGGCTGTCCTACCTTCTGCTCACGGCTCTCACTGTGTCTGGTCTCTGGTTGTGTTGTGTTTCAGGTTGCTCTTGAGAAGAAAGGAGGGAGGGTACTTAACTCGCCAATGATGACCAAGCAGCCATTACCGCCCAGAAATCCCTGGTCACCTGTGAGTAGTCATTCCGGTTGAGTAGCATTTTTGGGTGCTCGCGAGTGTATTCTGGGCACAATATTTCCTCCATGGCTTTCATTGACTCCCGTCTTCTTCCCTCCCCCGTACCGCTCTGAACCACCCAGGTGCGCAAGGCAGAGGTGGGCCCGTACGACTGCACCAAGAAGTCTCTAGCCGCCTCGCTGGACAGCTTCTCCCTCCCCGCCAGCAGCTCTGGAGCTTCCAACTTCTCAGTCACTGGCAGGATTGGCAGTGGTAGCGGTGCTGCTGGGTTTCCTGGTGTGGGGCATGCGGGCATGCGCATGTCCTATGGGCATTGAGCATCATACCTAGATGGTTTATTGGGGTAAGGTTAGAAATTTAAAGACCTGCGTGAGGTATGATGTATTTTAAGACTTTTTGGATAGTTTGTTACTGCAGTAAGTTTATGTAACTGGTGTAGTCCTGTATTTAGCCGTTCTGTACCTCCATAGATAATTTTGTTGGGTCTACTTGTCCATTCTCATCTGCTCTGTTTTGTATTTGTGCAGTCACTGTACACAATGCATGATGGAAAGCTAGTAGATGCTACATAGTTGTACATGTGTCATTCAAGCTCGAAGCAGAGCATCTTGTTTAATCAGCTGCACTAACAACTGTTGCTGCTGCTGCTCTGCTACTGCTGCTCTTCCAGCTAGTAATCCAAACCATATTAGTAAAACTAACCCGTAACTCATTACCCATTACCCAAGGCTGCAGGTATGGTCATCTAGGTGCGCACTTAAGGATTCTTATTCATCCGCCTCCTCTGCCTGCCAGCCAGCATTAACAACAGCAGGGAAGAGAAACAACTAGTCTCATGACTGAGATAAAAAAAAAAAAAAAAAAAAAAAAAAAAAAAAAAATCACAGCAGGACACTAGCTGTCAGCACACGTGTGAATCCCCCATCATCACACATCCACCATTGCCACCATAGCACACCCATCACCACCGCACCAAACCCATTGCTACCATCATTATCCCCACCCACCGTTACCATCATTACTCTCACCCATCCCTCCCACCATGACCCATCATCCCATGTATTGCCACCGTCACACACACCCACCAGTCTCACAACGTACCTCATCATCATCGCCCTCCTCTCCTTCCTCTCCTTCCTCTCCCTCCTCCCCCTCCTCCTCATCCCCACTGTACTCAAACCCAAACTCAGGCTCGTCATCGTCCTCCTCCACCTCCTCTCGTGGCCGCACGCCCTCCTGCCAGGGCAAGGAAAGGTGGGAGGTATGGATGGGAGGTACGGGCAGGAGGCATGGATAGGAGGAAGAGGGAGGATTTAGTCATTGCACTAAGAGGGTGGGAAGTATGAACACTACCACCTCTTGAGGCTGCACTCCCCTCTTTCATTGCAAGGTACAGGTGTGAGGGAGAGGCAGAGGAGAAGGGAGAGGAGGGGAGGAGGATCCAGCTGTAATCCTCATCCTGTATTGTTGAAGGAGCAATGTGAATACCAGTGATTTTGAGAATGGGTGCAAGTCATGAGTGATGACCACGGCTGGTAAAAGCTATTGCATGATACGTGGGTTGCAGACAGGGTTGAGAGAGTGAGGGAGAAAATATGGAGTGGTGTGACACATGAGGGTCAACACAACGAGAAGCAGCACGACTCTAACTTGTGGAAATAGTAGTTGAGAGAGTCTTTGAAGCGTTATTGAGACATCTCAAAGCGCATGGCCTTACCTTGTGGTAGTACTTGATAGGGTTTGGCCAGATATCATCCCGAATGGCATTCCCAATCTGCAGGTCAACGGGCAACGCAAACAGCGCCTGTGAGCGGTTGTTGCGAATCCATTGGAGAAAACAATGAAAGCGCTTGTAAAACAGGCAGTATGATTGGCTGGCCCATGGAGCGGTTTCTGAGGATCCACTGGGAATTCATCAAAGCACGTGTGTGGCATGTGGACGAACAGGCCCACGCTTCTTTTGAGACGTCTCAAAACACGTGGGGACGAACAGGCCCACGCTTCTTTTGAGACGTCTGAAAACACGTGTGGACGAACAGGCCCACGCTTCACATCCCTGGAACGCAGTGTCGGCATACAGGTGAACAGTCCCCTTCTAAAACCCGAAAGCTGCGCTACTACACCCACCTCCCTTCGAAAATGGGGTCATCTCCCTCTCTCCCCCCCCCCCATTATCTATATCCTCCTTTCCACATCCACACCACTCCCCCTACCCCATCCTCACACCTCTCCCTTCCCCTTGTTCCCCACTCACATCGTCATTCGCGACAGAGATGGGGTCGTCGTCCCCAAATGCTATCCAGCTGAACAAACTGCAGCGCGAGGAGGCAGGAAGGGAGAGGGGTGCAACGGGGGAGGGAGCAGAGAGGGGAGGAGAGTAAAGGTGAGTAGGAAGACACGTGCAGAGATGGGATAGTCGTTGTCAGATGCCATGTTGCCTCCTACGTGGGGATCTATTGGTCGTTGTCCAATGCCATCCAGCTGAACAAACTGCAGCGCATGCACTCAGGGAGGGAGAGGGGTGTAGCGGGAGAGGGGGAAGAGAGGGGAGGAGGGTAAAGGTGAGTAGGAAGACAGCAGGAGGGAGGTGTGCATGGCGATTGAACCAACTAATCTTACACCACCTGGAAACCTGCCAAATTACCTCACGAGCTGTCAATTCACCTGACGAGCTGCTCCTTGCCCTCTTCCCCCTCCTTCCCCTCCTCCTCCTCCTCCTCATCGTCCACATATGCCTTGATGCCTGCTGTGTAGTCCTGCGAGGTGAGAGTTGAGAGGAGAGGGGCGTGAGAAAGGGGTTGAGAGGAGAGGGGCGTGAGAAAGGGGTTGAGAGGAGGGCGTGAGAAAGGGGTTGAGAGGAGAGGGGCGTGAGAAAGGGGTTGAGAGGAGAGGGGCGTGAGAAAGGAAGCGATGTGGGTGAAAGGGTGAGCCTCCTCCTCCTCATCGTCCACATATGCCTTGATGCCTGCTGCTGTGTAGTGACTGTAGTCCTGTGAGGTGCAAGAGGAAAGGGCCAGGCGCATGTTTGTTAGGCTACTCAATAACAGATGATGTGGCATGCATTTACGAATCGGCGGCCCCGCATTCATGATCCACCTAAAGTGATCTATCCCGCCCATCTTCCCCTCCCACCGCAGCTGCCTCCCTCTCTACCCAACCCACCACAGGCATCGGAGCCAACTCACCTGTCCCTCTCCCCCCTTCCGCTCCACCTGCCCTTCCTTTCACTCACCCTACCTCTTCCAATCGTGTCATTACCCTACCTCTCCCTCGCTCTCACTCCCCTCCCCTCCCACTCCATCTCCCCCTCTCTCCCTCCCACGCATCTGCCACTCCTTCCAGTTGATGCGAGTGCCTGTGACGTGCAGTGTAAGCTCATCTTGCATCACCAGCGACCCAGACAAGTCTCATCTCAACACCCTTAACCTGGCCCCTCCCTCCCTCCCTGCCCACCTGCCCCAAGCCTCTCCTCTTGCCCTGCCCACCTGCCCCAAGCCTCTCCTCTTGCCCTGCCCACCTGCCCCAAGCCTCTCCTCTTGCCCTGCCCACCTGCCCCAAGCCTCTCCTCTTGCCCTGCCCACCTGCCACTCCTTCCAGCTGATGCGAGTGCCCGTGACGCGCAGTGCGAGTTCATCCTGCATCACCAGCGGCTAAGACAGATCTCATCTCAACATCCTAAACCTGCCCAGCCTCCCTCCCACGCACCTGCCTCTCCTTCCAGTTAATGCGAGTGCCTGTGACACGCAGAGTGAGCTCATCCTGCATCACCAGCGACCAAAGCCGTGTCCCAAGCCCACTCAACACACGCAGCCCGAAACCCGACCCAAGCCTCTCTACCACCCCACCTCCCAACGCACCTGCCCCTCCTTCCAGTTGATGCGAGTGCCTGTGACGCGCAGAGTGAGCTCATCCTGCATCACCAGCGCCCGTGTGAGGGTCTCGTTGCTGAAAAACGGATTCGGACTGAACGTCTGGTGAGGAGGGGAGATGGGAGCGGCGGGAAAATGGGGAAAAGAACGGTATGGGTACCAGCAAGAAGGCTCTGAGAAGGTTCTGAGAAGGTCCTGAGAAGGTCCTGATCCACATGATTCCACCTCACATACCATGTTCCAACCAATCAGGTAACCGCATCTTGTTAACGAAATTCCCACACAGTAACATGGTAACCACGTCTCACCATGGTGATGGTGTAACCGATATCGCCCTCCTCCTTGCATTCCTCCACGTCTAGACTCGTGAGGTGCTTCAACACCTTCACATCCTGCTCCACCGTGCTGTGCCGTATGGCACCGCAGTTGCACAGCTGGAAGGAGAGTGCAGAGAGGGGAAGCGTGGGGAAGATGGAGTAAAGGGAGAAGGGGAGAAGGGAAGGAAGGAAGGTGCTTCAACTCAACACCTGGATGTCCTGCTCCACCGTTCTGTGCCGTATGGCACCGCAGTTGCACAGCTGGAAGAGGGGTGGTGACGAATTGTGAGGAGAGGTGCAGTGCGGTGAAGAGGGGTGGGTAAAGATGGCGAGAACGGAAGAAGGGAAGGGAAGAAGGTGCTTGAGCAGCTGCACATCCTGCTCCACCGTGCTGTACCGTATGGCACCTTAGAAGCACCGGGGGGAGGGATGGAAGAGAGGGGAGAGAAGGGAGTAGATTGAGGAGGAAAGGGGAGGGCAAGGGGCAATGGTGGGAAAGAGGGGGAAAGGAGAAGGGTGATAGAGGAGAGCGAGAGAGTTGATTGAGAACAGGGAACGGGGGATGGGGGAGAGGGGAGAAGGGAGAGGGGTTGAGGGACAGGGGAAAGGAAGAAAGATACGGCAAAATGGCCGACAATCGCGGAGAGGCAAATCGGAGAGGCGTGACAGCACGCGTGCGTACCACGTGTTGCCAGAAGTGCGTACCACGTTTTGCCAGAAGTGCGGGATCTTATCGAGCACGGCCTTGCGCTTATCGTACAGCGGCCTCCGGCGTTGTGACACAAACGAGCGCTCCACCTCCAGCACCTCCTCGGTCGCCTTGTCCGTCACCTGCCGCACCGCGCATGCGAGAAAGAAGCGCGCAGCGCAGGCGAAAAAGTATGGCCACGGTGGAAGGCGAAATCGAGAAGGAGTTGTAGTAACAAAAAACTGCCAAAACGGGATGATGGCGGATCTGATAACGGGTACAGGGTGTGTACGAGGTTCAGGGTTCGCCAGAAAGTATAGCCAGCGAACAACCAGCGGAGCAAAGTCCGGAAAAAAAAACCCTAATCTACGTCAGATGCGGACCTCCTCGATCTCCTCGTGCAGTTTCCGCATCTTCTCCACGAATTCCGCTAGCTTCTCCTCCGCCATTGTCGCCGCCGCTTGTCCGTTCGCCCCCGCAGCCTTCTTCGCCTCTTTCCCGCCCGCATCGCTCGCGCGCGCTCGTTTTGATTTCTCCATCACCATTGCACGGCGATTTAGTCACTACAGGCTAGCTAGAGTGGTCGCTTTCGGAAGCAAACTGCCTGAGTAAAACGAGCGCTGGCTGGATTGAAATCAAGTCCCAGATTCAAACATAGCTTGCAGTGCGCACAAGACATGCTCGACATAAGCCTGCAGGGAATCGAGTTTCTGCAATAAAAAACATTCGTAACTTGTACCATTTGAAATACTATATACAGGAGTTCATCCCAAGCTTCACTAAGAGTGCTGGTCATATCACATCAGATACTGCTGAGAAATTCTCTACTATTGAATGCAGCCGGTGCTTCTCGCATCAGCAAATCCGTGGTTGCTAGCTGCATGCCTTCGCGCGGCAACTGCGAAGGATCAAACAGCTGCAGCGAGGCATACTGATTCAAGAACATAAGCATGTACTTGTACACATTTTCCATTGAGAGCTTGTCCTGCACGAAGTCTGAAGCAGCAGCTGCAATTGCCTTTGCTTCCTGCTGGTGCTCATTACCCCAATCAACAATTCTCTGTCCAGAAAGAGTACATGATACATCACAAGGATGAAATAGATTTAAGGTAAGGAGAGTGGAAAAAGGAACGTCAACTGAAGTTCACGCTCTACAAGCTTACCTTGAGGCTGGGGCATATAGGTGATTCGGTTGGAAGAGGTGCCTCAATAAAATGTACGCCGTTATGTAGCCCTCTTGAAAAGAAATCATAGTATTGTGTTTTGATGAATATGGGTGTGGAAGCACAAGCGAGGATGTATTTCAGACTGCATGACCATGAAGTCCCCTCCACATACACCTTATACCTGCCAACCAAGGTTACACTCGCCATGCATTAAGCAGGAACAGCATTGCAGAGAAAATAACTAACACGACAAGTAAGGGGATTTAAATCCGAAAGGGCACCATACTCAAGGGCGAAGCCTGTGTGTGAGGCTTCTCTTTGCACAAGTATGATGTGTGATCCACAACAGGACCCACCTGTACTGCCATCAACCCACCTGTACTGCCATCAACCCACCTGTACTGCCATCAACCCACCTGTACTGCCATCAACCCACCTGTACTGCCATCAACCCACCTGTGCTGCCATCAACCCACCTGTACTGCCATCAACCCACCTGTACTGCCATCAACCCACCTGTGCTGCCATCAACCCACCTGTGCTGCCATCAACCCACCTGTGCTGCCATCAACACACCTGTGCTGCCATCAACCCACCTGTGCTGCCATCAACCCACCTGTGCTGCCATCAACCCACCTGTGCTGCCATCAACCCACCTGTGCTGCCATCAACCCACCTGTGCTGCCATCAACCCACCTGTGCTGCCATCAACCCACCTGTGCTGCCATCAACCCACCTGTGCTGCCATCAACCCACCTGTGCTGCCATCAACCCACCTGTGCTGCCATCAACCCACCTGTGCTGCCATCAACCCACCTGTGCTGCCATCAACCCACCTGTGCTGCCATCAACCCACCTGTGCTGCCATCAACCCACCTGTGCTGCCATCAACCCACCTGTGCTGCCATCAACCCACCTGTGCTGCCATCAACCCACCTGTGCCATCAACCCACCTGTGCGTGCACTGATTCTCCAATCGCGTGGTCTCCTCTGCAATCTCATGCACCCATTTCGTATCCCACGCATCCACTCCCCAATCCCTCTCTGCCTCCTTCCCCTCACTCCCCTGACCTTTCGCATCCTCCCCCACCATCCCCCCTTCCTTACCACCGCCTCCGCCAGCACCCTCTTCGCTATCTTCCCCTCCTTCCCCTCCCCCCTGTCTGCTACAGTTGACCAGATGACCCCTGAGGTCCGGGGCAACCCACGTGGCGCCCTTCCAGTGAGCACGAGGGATTCTGTCCCTCCAGGGAATTGAACCTGTGCCTTCTTTGATCAGCTTCCTTGCCGTTTCCCACTCCCAGATTCGCACTTCAGGCCTGTGAAAAGAAACCAGCACAACTAGTGGCGCCTCAGAACTGTTACGTTCTTAAGGTGCACGGATTCTTCAGCTTCAAATTGCATCAGATTTTGCCAGCTGCATGTTCATGGAGAGTCAGGTATTAACCAAAAGTTTTCAATAGCCTGATTCCAGATGCACTCACCAGCCCCAGAAGGACCAATCAGGCCACACCACGTCCATGTGCCGGGCCGTGCTACAGTACTTGAGCAACAGTGGCGGGGGGTGGGCGGCAGCTGCATGGACAGCTCTCTCCACCAGCGGCCAATCATTGCACTCAAACATCAGATCCACGTCAGGCACACACCATGACACGTTGCCTGTTACGTCTGTCATCGTTACACTGTAATTTGCTGCTCTACTATTTGATGCATCAGCGGCATGGGGAGAAGAAGCTGGGCAGGGAGGGTAGCTGCGCAAGAGTTGGAGGATTCCCCACAGCGTGAAAAGCGCTCGGGTTTGATAACATTCCTGAACATAAAACGAGGTAAACCGCAGGCAGATTGAATCATTCAACAAGCAGAACAGACGAAGAAAGCTGCTGCTTACTGAAAGATATTTGCATCCTCATCATCCGTGGTGAATGGACACGAGTGTTGTATAATCTTACCGCATAGTGCTCCACAAAGAGTTGGCCGTTCACAATAAGCGCACGGAAGGATGCTCCTACGGCGCGTGCGTTAGCGAGCGCCTCCTGTGGGATGCCGCCTCTCTCCCTCCATGGCCGGAGGTCGCCTTCTATGAACCTGAAATACTCGGGAAGCTCTTTCTCCCTGTTGACCTGTGGAATTTCACGAGTTTTTTCGCCGATATTTACAAATTCATCCACCCATGTAACGGTCTCATTAAAAGCTGCTTCAAGCGCATGAGAGCTTGGCGGCTTACTTGATCTGCGCAGGAGACGATCAGCCTGAGTAGCATCGGGGGTCTGCTGAACGAAACCTACTTTCTGTCGAAGTGAACGCGGAACGGCATGAAACTGGACAAGTGGTGCCGTCGTGGCAAACCTAGAAATGGAGATGGCGTTGTCGAGAAGGAGCCATTGGAAGAAAAGCACCTGCAATCCAGACTCGAGAGTTTGTCAGTGCCCTGGAGGGACTGTGAAGGGGAGTCGACGCTTCCCTGATGTGTCAGTGAAGGATTGAAACCTACATCGAGCTTACCCCAACGAAGCATGCAACTAAAATCGGAATCAAGGGAAGCTTCATACTGGCGTGAATTCTGAGCAGCGTTACACGACAAGCAGCTTTCTCTTTATCTCACTGAAGGACATTATTTATTCGAACTCGAAAGAACGACCATGAGAGACCAAGTCTGGCAGGTACGTGGTGAATAACAGGCAATCTTGCCTCGACGCCATGCTGCGCGGCCTAGCACTGCTGGCAAGACACGAATCAGTGGTCTCGTCTCGATCGGTTGCTCCGAGCATCGATCAAGCCGAATGGAGTGATGAATGACGTGGTACGGAATGCCATGGCCCTCCCCGGTGCACCGGGTTTCAAAGCTTCTGCACACTCAAGTACCCGACCCACCACCTCAGCCCAGCATGCTCAGGCGCGAAATTGTCGTTTTTCCTCTGAGGGGACATTTGTGTGGTTTTTGGTGGAGGTGGAGGAGTTCGTTGATTGGGGCTTTTTTCTGAGTTGTCGATCGCGAATCATTTTGTGACGAGCAGATTGGCGAGTGTCAACCGTGTACACATCCGAGGGCGAACTTTGCTTGCTAGTCGCTCACTTTCGCCCACCCTAATTTGGGGTGAACTCTTGACGGATTGCATCGACACAGCACGATCCATGTCCCACATCATCCCCCCATGACTTCTAGTTCTCTATTTTCTCTATTGCCATCACTAATCAATAAATTTTACTTGGTTGAGGAGCCCGCATAGTCAAGCAAGGCATAATTACGAAGCTATGGCCGCTTTTCTGGTTAGCATTCGGTGTCCTGCCTCCATCACCGCTTCACCCCCACAATGGCTCATCGGGATGGATGGATCTGCTAGATCCTGTCTATCCCGATGCAATCTACCATGCTCACCGCGACTCATTAGGCGCCTTGCAGCCTCCACTCTCGCTGAATGGCCTTCTCAACGTCGGCCTTCCTTCCAAAGCCATCGGATTGCTTCCGCTCGTGTAATCACGGCCATGCAACGGGTTGACGAATCGCAATATCTTCATCAGGGAAATTCAGCGATCAGCCTTGCCACGCTTTGCATTCCACCGTACATGCGCATCACAGCCGTGGCGCTCGCAGCCGCTTCGTGCTCATTGCTGCTCGCCTTGAGTCCAGCCATGGCTGCTGCTGAAAATGACGCGCTGTTGGACATTCAGACGCTAAGACCGCGAGTGCAAGAGGTAAGAGATTGGCCATCAATATGTTTACATGGCAGAAGGAGTAAAGAGCAAGAAGAAAAAGTTTTAGCCCTAAAGTACCAATTTCCTGCGTTTGTTTTTCATCTGTCACAATGTTTATTGTATCTAAAATATGTTCCATTGATCAGCAAATCAACGAGTCGTACGTCAAGAGGGATGGCCAAGATTTGTCAGTGTCTGATCTGCAAGGCGCGACCTTCATGGAAGCTTCCCTTCGTGGCACCGACCTGCATGGTTCTGACCTTCGAGGGGCCATGTTCACTAAGGTATGCCATGTCAAATCGATCTTTCTTATATCTGCTCGCCATGGTGCTGGATAGAGCCATGTCACTTCTCATGTTAGGCTATGACTCACGTTGTTGAATACTCCAGTTTGTCTGTTCTCCTGCCGTTTAATGAACCTTCTCTCTCTATCTGACTTTTCTGTTTTTCACTTCCTAGGCGGTCTTGTACAAGGCGAACTTATCAGGAGCTGATCTATCAGATGCCCTGATTGACAGAGCAGTACTGAATGATGCAGATCTTCGCAACGCTGTACTGCGAGGGGCGTGGCTGGCTCTCACTGACCTAGGAGGAGCTGATATCACTGGGGCTGACTTCACTGATGCCATCATTGACAAGTATCAAGTAAGTATGGGTGTTTCTCTGGTTTGTAAGAGTTGCTTCTGTCCGAAGACTTGCACACTCTCTAATCTGTCCTCTAATCCTTTCAAATTCTCTTCTGCAGTTGAAGCAACTGTGCTTGAGGGCTTCTGGAGTGAATACTTTAACGGGGGCCGACACTGCAGAGAGCTTGCGGTGTGCATCTACACGGTTCTATTCTGGCTCTGGAAGCTCAAGATGATAGGATTCATGAAGTATCTGCTATATAGCTTTGTGCATTGTGGGCTACGGCTTTAGTGGCTGATTATTGTTGTACATTTTATTCAGTGTAGGCGTCAGAAAGATTACTGTACTGCTGTATTAAGTTCAAGTGCACTTAGTACATACCTACACTTTCTGGGAAGTGGGAAAATTTGTCAGGAAACGCGCAGCCGTCCATTTTCTGGTAAGCACCAGCCCCGAACCACGCCGTGCCATTCGTTGGATAGTCCACCTCAGCGGGTCCTGGAAAGTAGCTAGTACTCACGGCCGTCAATCCAGTTTCCCGCAAAAGATCTCCCCTGGTTTTGATGAAAGTTGCTCGTCAAGCAGTGACTATTGCACCCAGCACGCACCTAGTCTACTTCCTACCTAAACTAGTTCCTGCTGTGGGAAGGCAACTGGGCCGTGGTATGGTAGACTGCAATTCGAGCGTTTATGGCTGACGAGCCTAAACTCGATCTTGGCCAGCAAATGGTTTCGTGAAATGACGAATGCACTGACCTGCTGCCGATCAGTCAGAATTCTTACCCACGAAACTTCAGCGTGTACCTCGCACGTATCTCGCGGCGCGTTGCCGTATGTTTCGCAGCATAGAGCGCATTGCCGTGACCGCACCGGCACAGCCTAATGCTTGATTTGGTTTCTGTAGTCGTTGGGGAACACTGTTCGCGACGCGACAGATGTGAGATGTGAGACCGATGCGACATAGTGGCATATGTATACGATAGGTACGAGATGGGCATGCAGACGTTTCGATAGTAGATAATCACAGAGTAGGTTTGTACCACGGATCCGTGAGCAGTCCATGTGTAAAAAGCACACCTTTTCCGCTTGAATACTGACTAATCTAGCTTTCAGACGTCGCCACATCAGCCATGGAGGGCGCGCCTGCGCCGCCACGTGGCAGCGGAGCAAATGCGGAGTTTTACCTGCCGAACTATCGGTTAGGGAAGACGCTGGGTGTGGGGTCGTTCGGCAAGGTGAAGGTAGCGGAGCACGTACTAACGGGACATAAAGTGGCGATTAAGATCCTGAACCGGCGGAAGATTAGATCCATGGACATGGAGGAAAAAGGTACGCCGACCCTGATTTTCCGTCTTGGAACCCTAAGCGCGTGAAATTCATGAACACCTGGTTTTCTCGAATTTTATTATATCTTGTACGATCACTTGCTTGGCAATTGCGAGCTTCTTAGTCTCCGGTTCCTGTTAGCGATTAAGCTTTAACTCCCATTCAACTCTTTCCTTCCTTCCACTTCCCCATCCCACTGGCATTCTCGCTCTTCATATATCTGTCCATGCATCTGTCTCTCCTTACGTTCATACCGTACATCCCCCTGAACCCCCGACCCCCCTTATCCCGCAACCCTACACCCGCTACCCCACACCACCACACCCTGCAACCCCACTCCACCCGGCAGTGCGGAGGGAGATAAAGATCCTGCGGCTTTTCACGCGTCCGCACATTATCCGGCTATACGAGGTTATTGAGACGCCCTTCCCCTCTCACTCATCTCCTCCCCTTTCACCCCCGCATTCCTGCAACCCCCCTCCCCGCTCCCCCCCCACCTCTTGGCAGTGCGGAGGGAGATCAAGATCCTGCGGCTGTTCATGCATCCGCACATCATCAGGCTGTACGAGGTCATCGAGACACCCGCGGACATATTCGTGGTGATGGAGTACGTCAAGGCGGGCGAGCTCTTTGATTACATCGTCGAGAAAGGGCGGCTACTTGAAGATGAAGCCAGACGTTTTTTCCAGCAGGTGTGTGTTACGCTCAGAATGGCGTTAAGGTGGTAACGCCAGCAGGCATTTTCGTCAGCACGCATGTTCGCCAACAGCCATCTTCGCCCGCGGACATATTCGTGGTGATGGAGTACGTGAAGGCGGGCGAGCACTTCGGCTGCATGGTTGAGAAAGGCAGGCTGCTCGAGGATGAAGCCAGACGCTTTTTCCAGCAGGTGGGTGTTACTGTAGGTTTGGTGCTACGAGGCGGCAGAGACCGTATTGGCGACCTGTTTACCTGGACGGACTGCATTGTGGAGAACGGACGGCCTTTCTACGATGGCGATGTTTCCAGCAGGAGTGTACTCTCAGCAAGCTTGTAATCCTTCAGCATTTCAACAGGTGTGTGAGGTTGCAAGGGCGATTCATGGTCACTGCATGGGAGGCCATGAGCGGAGCAGAGCAGTACAGCTGCGCCGTCCTGGTCTTCTCAGTGGAACCGCTGCATTGACACCTTCTGGGCAGCCTGTGTCCCTTCCCTCCCCACCTCCTTTTCGCCTCTTTCTCCCTTTCTCCCAGCCCCCCGCCCCCTCCCCTTCTCCTCCCTCTGCATTCCTCACGTCAGACCCTGAGCTGCATTGAGTTGTGCCATCGCAACATGGTGGTGCACCGGGACTTAAAGCCCATCCTCACTTGTTTCCCTTCATCCCCCCCGCCCTCCATCGATGGTTCAGGTCGTGAGCGGCATAGAGTACTGCCATCGCAACATGGTGGTGCACCGCGACTTAAAGCCCGTCCCCCACGTCTACCCCTGTAAACCCCCACCCCCCTGTTATTATTCAGATTGTGAGCGGCATCGAGTACTGCCATCGCAACATGGTGGTGCACCGGGACTTAAAGCCCGAGAACCTGCTGCTGGACGCCAAGGGCAACGTCAAGATCGCCGACTTTGGGCTCAGCAACGTCATGCGCGACGGCCACTTCCTCAAGACGTCCTGTGGTAGCCCCAACTACGCTGCCCCTGAGGTACGGCAGTTGCAGCTCTATACAGCTCCCGAGATATGTTCGCCAGGTAGCCCCAACTACACTGCTCCTGAGGTACGTGTGGGCGATTCAGATGGCATTCATTCAGTGTGAGCTGATGTAAACGTTGCCGACTTTGGGCTCACCAACGTCATGCGTGACGGCCACTTCCTCAAGACGTCCTGCAGCAGTGCCAACTACGCCGCTCCGGAGGTATGAATGGAGGACATGAGTGACGTTGCTCAATTGATTGAGGGTTTTTTTCTTTCTTAAGCCAGGTAGCTTGTCAAAGCCAAGGTTGTTGACTCTTCCCTCTGACTCTTTCAACGCTGGCTCTGTCAGACACTCATCCTGCCCCCTCTCCTCTGCCCTCTGCCTTGCCTTCTGCCACCTCGCCTGCCCAACTCCTTTCAGGTGATACCGGGGCAGCTGTGAGGTGGTCCCCACTTGGACGTGTGAAGATAGTTTCAATTACCTGAAAATCATTCTCCCACTTACCCCCCTTTCCCTGTTTTTCGCTCAGGTGATATCAGGGCGGGCGGCTGTACAGTACAGAGGTCCCAAGGTGGACGCGTGGAGTTGGTTTGGAACATGAAAAGCTTGACTCACCTCTGTACACCTGTTCCTCCCCCCCTTCTCTCTCTCCCCTCAGGTGATATCAGGGCGGCTGTACGGAGGTCCCGAGGTGGACGTGTGGAGTTGCGGGGTGATTCTGTACGCGCTGCTGTGTGGCAGCCTTCCATTCGACGATGAAAACATTCCCAACCTCTTTAAGAAGATCAAGGTGCGGTTGCGGTGATGGTGGGTGATGGTTGGGTTGATTCTGTATGCGCTGCTGTGCGGCACCCTGCCATTCGATGATGAAAACATCCCCAACCTCTTTAAGAAGATCAAGGTGTGGTGTGGTGCAGTGTATGAGCGTGCGGTGCAGTGCATGAGCGTGCGGTGCACCGTATGAGCGTACGGTGCAGCGTATGTGCGTGCGGTGCAGCGTATAAGCGGGCGGTGCAGCGTATGAGCGGGCGGTGCAGCGTATGAGCGGGCGGTGCAGCGTGTGAGCGGGCGGTGCAGCGTATGAGCGGGCGGTGCAGCATGTGAGCGGGCGGCGCAGCGTGTGTGCGGGCGGCGCAGCGTGTGTGCGTGCGGTGCGGCGTGTGTGCGTGCGGTGCAGCGTGTGTGCGTGCGGTGCAGCGTATGAGCGTGCGGTGCAGCGTATGAGCGTGCGGTGCAGCGTATGAGCGTGCGGTGCAGCGTATGAGCGTGCGGTGCAGTGTATGAGCGTGCGGTGCAGTGTATGTGTTTGCAGTGCGGTCTATGTGCTTGCAATGCAGTGTATGTGTCTGCGGTGTAGTGTATGTGCTTGCATTGCAGTGAATATGCGTGCGGTGCAGTGAATATGCGTGCGGTGCAGTGAATATGCGTGCGGTGCAGTGAATATGCGTGCGGTGCAGTGAATATGCGTGCGGTGTAGTGAATATGCGTGCGGTGCAGTGAATATGCGTGCGGTGCAGTGAATATGCGTGCGGTGCAGTGAATATGCGTGCGGTGCAGTGAATATGCGTGCGGTGCAGTGAATATGCGTGCGGTGCAGTGAATATGTGTGCGGTGCAGTGAATATGCGTGCGGTGCAGTGAACTGGCCCCAGTTCACAACCCCCTGTGAACTGGTCCCGGTTCGCAACCCCTCTGCAGGGGCGCGCGACTTAATACCGCGCATGCTACTAGTGGACCCCATGCTGCGCATCACCATCCCAACCATCCTGTTCTCATGCCCATGCTCTCACTTTCCTCTCTCCCCATCATGCAGGGCAGCATATACGCCCTTCCTCACCATCTATCAGCAGGCGCGCGCGATCTGATACCGCGCATGCTCTTAGTGGACCCCATGAAGCGCATCACCATCCCAACCATACCTTACCCTTGCCCGTGCCCCCGCATCCCCTTCACATCGTTGCAGGGTGGAATTTACGCCCTGCCCCACCACCTCTCAGCAGGCGCGCGCGACCTGATACCGCGAATGCTACTAGGGGACCCCATGAAGCGCAGCGCATCACCATTCCAACCATGACATGCCCATGCCCGCCGCCCGCCCCCCGTATGGCTTTCTGCCTTTGCAGGGCGGCATCTATGCCCTCCCACACCACCTGTCGGCGGGTGCGTGCGACCTGATACCGTGCATGCTACTGGTGGACCCAATGAAGCGCATCACCATCATGTGCCCATGACCGTGCCCCATGATGCTTTCTGTGTGCAGGGAGGCATCTACGCTCTCCCCCACCATCTCTCAGCGGGTGCGCGCGACCTGATACCGCGAATGCTCCTGGTGGACCCAATGAAGCGCATCACCATCCCCGAGATCCGCCACCACCCCTGGTTCCTCGCCAAGCTCCCCCGCTACCTCGCTGTTCCGCCACCCAACGCCGCCGAGCAGGCCAAGCGGGTGAGAGGTGCAATATGAGATCCAACGTGGTTACAGGGTAAGGTGGTGGGAGGGGGGATGGGGGAGGGTGTGGGGATGATGAGGGGTAATTCTCCACCACCCACAGTTCCTCTCCACCACCCACAGTTCCTCTCCACCACCCACAGTTCCTCTCCACCACCCACAGTTCCTCTCCAGGCTCCCGCGATACCTGGCTTGCAGCCAGTGCTGCCAAGCAGGCCAACGGGGTGAGATGCAGGATGGGGATGTGTGATGAGAGGGGGTTTCAGGAATGGAAGGGGGAACTAGAACGGGGGGACAGGAATTGGTGGGTTGAAGGGGGGAAAGTGAGGGGAGGTAGGAGAGGTTGGATTTCTGGAATGCGACCAGGAGCACCTTGCAGAGTCTGTCATATATTTTGCCCCCCTTGCTGTTTTCTCCACCACCATCAGATTGACGAGGAGATATTCTAGGCCAGGTGGTGGTGACCAAGATGAGGTTCGACCAGGAGCACCTGGCGGAGACCCTCCTCTCCTCTCGCTCTCTCTGCCCCTCCTCTAATCTTTCTCCATCCCCTCCTCTCTTCTCACACTCACACTCGCCAAAGCGACGAGGAGATATTCCAGGCGGTGATGAGGATGGGGTTAGACCAGGAGCACAAGGCAGAGTCCGCCCTCTCCTCATCCTCTGCCCCTCCTCCCCACCTCCTGTTCCCGTCTCCCCTCCCCCTCTCCTCCCACAACCGTCAGATCGACGAGGAGATATTTCAGGTGGTGACCAAGATGGGGTTCGATCAAGAACACCTGGCGGAGTCCCTACGGGAGCGGCGCACCAACAAGGCCACAGTCGCCTACTACCTGCTTCTCGACTCGCACCGCCGCATCTCCACGGGCTATCTGGGCGCGGAGTTCAACGAGCACAAGGAGGGGCAGCAGCAGCACGCCTCACACGCGCTTGCGGCTGATGGGTCCCCGCTGGTGGCGGCGAGGGGCGGGCTGGGGCATGCGCTGGTGGCGAGGCGGAGTGTTGGGAGCGGGGGAGGCGGGGGGAGTGGAGGGCTGGGCATGGGGGTGCCGGGGTCCCCGGCGCATAATCACCAGCGGGTTGTGGCGGACAGGAAGTGGGCACTGGGTCTGCAGGTGAGAGGGTGAACGTGAGTGTGTATGTGTGTATGTGTATGTGTATGTGTATGTGTATGTGTATGTGTATGTGTATGTGTATGTGTATGTGTATGTGTATGTGTATGTGTATGTGTATGTGTATGTGTATGTGTATGTGTATGTGTATGTGTATGTGTATGTGTATGTGTATGTGTATGTGTATGTGTATGTGTATGTGTATGTGTATGTGTGTATGTGTGTATGTGTATGTGTGTATGTGTGCATGGTTGTGGGCCTGCTCAGGCACGGGGGTTAATGTGCTTGTGTGCATGCATCTGTGTGTGAGTGTGTGGAGAGGCAATGCAATATTGCAGGTGAAGGTCTCCTCCCCCTCCCTCACCCCTCTCCCCTCCTCCATCACCTTTTTCTGTTCACCCTCTTCCCTCACCATCCTCCCCTTCCTCCTCCTCCATCGCCGCTCACTCTCCCCAATTCCCTCTTCATCCTCCCTCCCCTCCATTCTCTCCCCTTCCCCCACACCCAATGGAGGTGATGGGGGGGGTGTTCCAGGCACGGCAAGCGCTGCAGGTGACTCTTTGTGTCATTAACAGGCCTGATTCCCCCCACTCCATCCCCCCCTCCTTTCCTTCATCATCAGTCCCGCGCGCACCCAATGGAGGTGATGGGGGAGGTGTTCCGCGCACTGCAAGCGCTGCAGGTGCGGTGGAAGAAGCTCTCCCCCTACGTCGTCAAGTGCCGCTGGGACGGCCCCCTCCCCTTCCCCCCCACCTCCTCCTCCTCCGGTGCTGCCTCTAGCACAGCCTCCTGGGTGCATGGGCATGGGCGTGGGGGTGGGTATGGTGGGGGCGGTGGGGATGCGGATGGGATGCTGGTGGATGGCGGGAGGCTGGATGGTGTAAGGACGATACAGGACGAGAGAGGCCGCCCGGTGATTCCTGTGGAGGCGCTGGTGGGCGGCGGGGTTCGGCGTTTACTGCGGTTTGAGATGCAGGTAAGCTTGTGTGTCACAGTCAGTCTCTCTCACTGCTGCTCTTCGGTCGAACTTACATTGAGCAACGGCCCTCATCGCCCTTGCTTGTGCACCCCGCCTCTCCCTCGTTGCCTTTTTATGCCTTTCTATGCCTTTTTACCATGCATACCGCAACGCACATGGTTCCCGCTGCTCTGTTGTGAGAGAGAAAATTCTCAAAACTTGCCGGGTTGGGGATGTAATCATTGCTCCTGAAATCACTACCCGAGTCATGATGATTGCTCTTTCACTCCATCCATTCCCTGCACCGCTCTGCACCGCACACAGCTGTTCAAGGTGCGCGATGAGAAGTATCTCCTGGACGTGCAGCACGTGGACGGCTCCCACATGCTCTTCCTCGACCTCAGTGCCGACTTCCTCGCCGAGCTGCATGTCATATGATCCGTGCTGCTACTGTCGGGAAAGCTACTAGTTGCATATAATTGAAGCTAGTTACATGTCATTTGAACCTGGTTACCGTACATGTCACCAATGCAAGTTCTGTGCCTTAGGTGCTTCGCTTCCTCTTTGAGGTTGCAGAGCAGTCAGGGGAGAAGATTCCTTGCCAGTCTTCTTGGCTCGTATGGTACCAGTGTCACTCTGAATTGTGTCTCATGTCTTCCTCTGTGTATCATATAAACAAATGCAGCATTATTGGATCATGCCAACAAGCCCTTTTGAACTACCGTACGTTCCCAAGGAATGTGAGGATTCCCAACCTGCTATGCTCACACAGCGTGCTATTGAAGTGTGCTCAGCTCACACATATGAACAAATGCAGCGTTATTAGACAGCCAACCAGGGTAAATTGTTGGTAGTTAAATGTTTCCGTAACATACAATAAGGAGCTCTGTGTGAGTAATGCACTAACGAACCAAGTACCGTACAACGTGCAAGGAAAATAAACAGCTCAGATTCTATGGCTGGAAGCTGCTATTGGTAGCTGGTACTGGCACTGCCAACTGGGTACATGTAGGCTCGCTGCTTCTCTGCTCCACTTCTCTGCTTCTCCACTTGGTTCACTCCATCACCCCTTATCTGCTACTTCCCCTTCACTGCTACTTCCCCTTCACTGCTCCTTCTCTCTAGACCAAGAGGCTACTTCTCCACTGCACCATTCCTTCAATCTCCCAAGTTTTTTTTTTTTGTTCAGCGCGTGCGCGAGCCATGGATAAAAAAATCCGTCCCGCCGCATCCCCTCTTGGATGCCGACGGGCTGACTTCCTCCAAGACGAGGGGCATGCCGTACGCTCGGCTAAAAAACTCCATGGCCGCTCTTGATGCACGTCGCTGTTTTAGCAGCTTCCCAACTCCTCCACCCCTTAGCAGTTTCCCAAATCCTTTGGCAGCTTCCCAACTCCACCCCTTAGCAGCTTCTCCCTTCAGGGTTTGGGAGTTCTTTTCCCCTTCTCTGCACCAGGCGGCTGATTGTCTCCTTAACTGCACCAGGCTGCTTTACACCTTCTCCTCTGCACCAGGCTGCTTCACACCTTCTCCTCTGCACCAGGCTGTTTCTGCTGCTCCCCTTTCTCGCACCAAGCTGCTGCTTCTCTGCTTCAAGGTTAAAGGATTCCTCTCCCCTCCTCTAGAGAAGGCGGCTGCTTCTCCCATTCTCCCATCAACTGCACCAGGCGGCTGCACCCCTTTCTCGCACCAAGCTGCTTCACCGATTCAGGGCTTAGTGGTTCTACTGCCCTTCTCTACACCAGGCGGCTGCTTCTTCCCTTCAGGGTTTGGGGGCACCTCTCTCCTCTGCACCAGGATGGATGCTTTTCCCCTTCTCTGCACCAGGAGGCAATTGCTTCTCTCCTTCTCCCCTTGTCTGCACCAGGCGGCTGCTCCCCTTAACTGCTTCAGGCGGCTGCTACATCAGACGGTGGCTGCTCCTCTCCACTGCTCCGTCCCTCTCTCCCTGTGGCTCCAGGCTGACGCATCAAGTGAACGAACCCCCCACACGTGCTTGGAGAATTCGCGCTTGAAGCGAAAGCCACGTGCTTGGAGAATTCGCGCGGTGATCCTGCTTGTCCCCTGAGCCCTGCCTCTGCATTTGAACGAATATACCGTACTTGATGTTGATGTTCTGTGGTTGGATGCCAGTAGGGAAATTGGGGTCCAGTGTTGGTCACTAATTGATTGAGTTGTTGCACGTACTGTACAAGGGATCATGCTTGCTCACAAGAACATGCGAGCACTGTGGATTTCAATATTGGTTTCACAATATTGATGTTGTTTCACTGATAAAGCCTACCAAATCCACCTCAGCTACGGTATGTCAGCTGTACTCCTCTGCACCATGCCTTCACTGATTCCCAATCTCCCATGTTTTTTTTTGGTTCAGCGCGCGCGCGAGCCATGGATAGAAAAATCCGTCCCGCCGCATCCCCTTGAATGCCGACGGGCTGACTTCCTCAAAGACGAGGGGGCGTGCCGTACGCTCGGCTATAATACTCCATGGTCGCTTTTGATGCACGTCGCTGTTGCTGCACTCCAACTGCTTCTCCCCTTGGCAGTTCCCAACTCCTCCTCTACCCCTTAGCGGCTTCTCCCCTTCAGGGTTTGGGGGTTAATCTCCCCTTCTCTGCACCAGGCTGCTTCTCACCTCCTCTGCACCAGGCTGCTTCACACCTCCTCTGCACCAGGCTGCTTCACACCTCCTCCGCACCAGGCTGCTTCACACCTCCTCCGCACCAGGCTGCTTCACACCTCCTCTGCACCAGGCTGCTTCACACCTCCTCTGCACCAGGCTGCTTCACACCTCCTCTGCACCAGGCTGCTTCACACCTCCTCTGCACCAGGCTGCTTCACACCTCCTCTGCACCAGGCTGCTTCACACCTCCTCTGCACCAGGCTGCTTCACACCTCCTCTGCACCAGGCTGCTTCACACCTCCTCTGCACCAGGCTGCTTCACACCTCCTCTGCACCAGGCTGCTTCACACCTCCTCTGCACCAGGCTGCTTCACACCTCCTCTGCACCAGGCTGCTTCACACCTCCTCTGCACCAGGCTGCTTCACACCTCCTCTGCACCAGGCTGCTTCACACCTCCTCTGCACCAGGCTGCTTCACACCTCCTCTGCACCAGGCTGCTTCACACCTCCTCTGCACCAGGCTGCTTCACACCTCCTCTGCACCAGGCTGCTTCACACCTCCTCTGCACCAGGCTGCTTCACACCTCCTCTGCACCAGGCTGCTTCACACCTCCTCTGCACCACGCTGCTTCACACCTCCTCTGCACCAGGCTGCTTCACACCTCCTCTGCACCACGCTGCTTCACACCTCCTCTGCACCACGCTGCTTCACACCTCCTCCGCACCAGGCTGCTTCACACCTCCTCTGCACCAGGCTGCTTCACACCTCCTCTGCACCAGGCTGCTTCACACCTCCTCTGTACCAGTCTGCTTCACACCTCCTCTGCACCAGGCTACTTCACACCTCCTCTGCACCAGGCTGCTACTCCCTTCTCCTCTGCAACGTGCAGCTGCTTCTCCCCTTGTCTGTACCAGGAGGCGGCTTCTTCTCTCCTACTCCCCTTGTAGGCACAAGGAGGCGGCTGCTACTCCCCTTCTGCAACGTGCAGCTACTTCTCCCTTCTCTGCACCAGGCGGCTTCTCCCCTTTATCGCTCCAGGCGGCTGCTGCATCAGACGGCGGCTGCTCCTCTCCACTGCTCCGTCCCTCTCTCCCTGTGGCTCCAGGCTGACGCATCAAGTGAACGAACCCCCCACACCCACGCCAGTGTGAGAAGGCCGCGAAGCTTTAAGTAAAACCGCGAGCCTCCCAAACGGAAACCCTCAGGTGACCTAGAATGAGTATTTCCACACCCACGCCAGTGTGGACTCATCATTCAGAGGTAAGAGAAGCTCTCCGCACCCACGCCAGTGCGGTCTCCCTTCTCTTTAGAGTGACTCAAGCCCCCCGCACCCACCCCGGTGCGGTGCTGACTTGTGGTGCAAGTGCAACCCCAACAGTGATGCTACCTGGAGCGTCAGGTACCCGGATCTGCTTGATTCTGGGCCCAGGCAGTGCAAAGCCTCCCGGGCGACTTTGCACTGCCAAGAATCAAGCCCGGCCCTTACTCCATCACATCACCGCTGAGATCACACCCACACCGCGCCACTCGCCTTAGGACTGGCTGAGCCACACACTAGACTCAGCCACCTCTTAGGCCACCCTTGAGCTCCCGTCTAGTCACCATCTGCGTAACCCTTCGCCACATCCACCACTGCTCCGCCACTGCTCCCGAACAGCCTCCGCTTCCGCAGCAACTGCTTCCGCAGCTTCCTCCTCAGTCTACTCCTTGAAGCCCAGCCTCTGTCTACGCTGCTTCCCTGTAGGCTGCTACGCTGCTTCCCTGTAGGCTGTTACGCTGCTCCCTGTAGACTGCTAAGCTGTTCCCTTGTCAACTGCTTCGCCGCTCCCTTGTACGCCGCTTCGCCGCTCAGCAGCCCAGCCTCCGCTTCCGCAGCCATGCATCCACTTCCGCAGCCCAGCATCCGCTCCCGCAGCCCAGCATCCGATCCGCAGCCAAGCCTCCGCTCCTGCAGCCCAGCATCCGATCCGCAGCCAAGCCTCCGCTTCCGCAGCCCATTCTCCGCTTCCACAGCCAATCCTCCGCTTCCGCAGCCCAGTCCCCCCTTCAGCAGCCCAGCAACCACTTCCGCAGCCTAGCATCAGCTTCCGTAGCCAATCCTCCGCTTCCGCAGCCTAGCCTCCGCTTCCGCAGCCCATCCTCCGCCATCGCAGCCCATCTTCCGCTTCCGCAGCCCAGCAACAGCTTCCGCAGCCCAGCATTCGCTTTCGCAGCCCAGCATCTGCTTCCGCAGCCCAGCATCCGCTTTCGCAGCCCAGCATCCGCTTCCGCAGCCCAGCATCCGCTTTCGCAGCCCAGCATCCGCTTTCGCAGCCCAGCATCCGCTTCCGCAGCCCAGCATCCGCTTCCGCAGCCCAGCCTCCGCTTCCCCAGCCCAGCCAACTCTTCCGCAGCCCAGCAACCGCTTTCGCTGCTCCTTGAAGCTTCAATGGCGGCTTTGTGGGCTGCTTCTATCTGCTTCGCCTGTTTGGTAGTGCGCTGCTCCGTCAGGTGCTTCTCCATTGGCTTCGTTGGCTGCTTCGTCGATCATTCCTGTTTAAGACAAAACGAAACACACATAAGTATGTATAAAAATCTTTAAGAGACGATTTGCAGCAAGCTCAAGTAGAAAGCGGTTAACAACAAGGATCAACGAGAGGTAACTTACCTTGAAAGCTTGAAGCTTCAATGGCGGCTTTGTGGGCTGCTTCTATCTGCTTCGTAAGCTGCTTAGTAATAGGCTTCCCCGTCAGCTACTTCTCCATTAGCTTCTTTGAATTCTCCGTTGGTTAGTCCTGTTTAAGACAAAACGAGACACAAATTAGTATGTACTAAAATTCTTAAGAAGATTTGCAGCAAGCTGAAGTAGAAAGCGGCAAACAGCAAGGATGAAGAACAGAAACTTACCTTGAAAGCTTGAAGCTTCAATGGTGGCTTCGTGGGCTGTTTATATCTGCTGCGTAGGCTCCTTGATAGTAGGCTGCTCCGTCAGGTGCTTCTCCAGTGGCTTCGTTGGCTGCTTCGTTGATTATTCCTGTTTAAGTCAAAAACGAAACACAAATTAGTATATATATACATCTTTAAGAAAAGATTTGCACTCAGCCCAAGTAGAAGACGGTGAACAGCAAGGATCAACGAGAGGTTCAAAAGCTTACCTTGAAAGCTTGAAGCTTCAATGGTGGCTTCGTGGGCTGCTTCTATCTGCTTCGTAGGCTGCTTGGTAGTAGGCTGCTCCGTCAGATGCTTCTCCATTGGCTTCGATGGCTGTTTTGTTGGTTAGTCCTGTTTGAGACAATAGGGAACACAAATTAGTGTGTATCAAAATCCTAAAAAAACGATTTGCACAAAGCTGAAGTAGAAAGCAGTAAACAGCAAGGATCAAGAACAGAAATTTACCTTGAAAGCTTGAAGCTTCAATGGTGGCTTCGTGGGCTGCTTCTATCTGCTGCGTAGGCTCCTTGATAGTAGGCTGCTCGGGCTCCTTGGTTGGCGGCGCGTAGGCTCCTTGGTCAGCTTCCACGGCGGCTTCGTGGAACGCTTCATCTGCTGCGAAGGCTCCTTGGTAGGCCGCTCGGGCTCCTTGGTCCTGTTTTAAGAAAACGACAGACAAAAATTAGTATTCTGCTGAATCAAAATCTCAAAGGAAAGACACCATTTTGCAGCTAGATTAAGGATAACCCGGTTAAAAGGGCTAAACGAAAAACTGATGAACTTACCACAAATTCAGCTGCTTGTAGCTTCACTCCTTGCAGCCCGACGCACATCCATCCAGCTTTGAAGGCTGATCCGCCATGCGCTTCGTTTGAGACTTCGTAGACTGCTCGCGCATGCGCTTCGTAGGAGACTTCGTAGACTGCTCGCGCATGCGCTTCGTAGGAGACTTCGTAGACTGCTCGCGCATGCGCTTCGTAGGAGACTTTGTAGACTGCTCCTTCAGCTGACCTGTTAAAGAAAACAAGAGACGCATAAACCATCAGCTCAAGCAGCTCAAGCAGAAAACGGCAAATGACAAGGATGAACAATGCCAGGAATCAGAAACTTACTTGACAGCTTCCATGGCGGCTTTGTGGGCTGCTGCATCTGCTGCGAAGGCTCCTTGGTAAACCGCTCGCGACATGATCCTCCTTTGCTGGAAACGGGGGGAAGAAACACACACAGAAGCACGAAGTTAGTATACAGCGATGACACGAAGAAAAGCAAGGGGAAAACAAACAAACAAATGCGAAAAACGATAATGAATATGAAAACGACAAAGGAAACGAGGGCGGACGTCCGTGATTCATAGGCTGCAGCCTTCAGAGGGAGGATCTAATCTAGCCACCCCATCTACCCAACCGCGGAGGATCATCTTCCAGCTGCAACCGTATGAATCAGAGGGACGATGGAAAACGGCGATGCACGAATGGCGGTTGTGGATGATGATGAGAATGATGACGAAAAACGAAAGCGAGGAAAACGAAATTGGGATCGGGAAAAGGGAAGCAACACTCCCCTATGAACGTTGGCAGCGGGATGAACGGCGGCAGCACCACGTTCCACCACATCAACAGCGTCAGGGCCAGCCAAGGCGGCAGCAGCACTCCAATGCCAGACCACCAGCCACAGCTCTCAGAGACGAGCTTTGAGATTCCAACTTGAGGACGAGGAACTTCTTGTTGCTTTTGAACCTGCAAGAATACAACCAAACATGAGTTAGAAATTGGAAGTACAGGAAGGGCTTTGATGCGGTGCATAAACGTCAAAACAAGTTGACGTAACAGCTCCATGCTTACCTCTGGAGATCGGAAGGGCAGGCTTGGCGGGGGGCGGTGAGCAGACTCCGTGAAATCAGGCACGCACGGCTTGAACAGCAGCACTCCCAACGTGTCAGAGCGCCACGCACGGCTTGATGAAGAACAACTTCAAAATGGAAAGAAGCAAGTTCGGATGCAGATTCTTCATTGGACTTGATGGAGAGAAGCAAGTCTCTTGAACCTGCGAATATACAAACACAAAAGAGTCCGAAAACAGAAGTATAGGAGGAAATTTTCAAGAACAAGGTACACTTTAAAAGATCTCGTGCGTTCAAGTCAAAGTAAGTAAACTGAAAAATCTCGTGCTTACCTCTGAAGATCGGAATGGTAGGCTCGGCGGGGGGCGGTGAGCGGATGGATGGATGGTTTGTTGGTTGGTGGTGGTGGGCGATCTCCAGGGTGAAGCGTCAGACTCCGTGAAGTCAGGCACGCACGGCTTGAACAGCAGCACCCCCAACGTGTCAGAGCGCCACGCACGGCTTGAACAGCAGAAGTTCGGGTTGAGCAGAAGTTCGTGTTGAGCTAAAGTTCGGCTTGAGCAGAAGTTCGGCTTGAGCAGAAGTTCGGCTGCGGAGCAGCAGTTTGTATGCAGATTCGTCACTGGACTTGTCTTTTGTACCTGCAAAAAACGAACACAGATGAGTCAGTAATAGGAAGTTTACACAAATAAATTTTGAAACAATTACATTCAGAAACGTCTAGCTCGGAACAAGTAGACATAAGAACTCTATGCTTACCTTAGGAGATCGAATGGTAGGCTGGGCGGGGGGCGGTGTGCGGATGGAGGCGGGTAGCAGTTGGTGATGGGGGCGAATGGTTGGTGGGCGATCTCCAGGGTTTATGAGCTTAGACGAATGAACCTCGTTCTTGGCGGGAATTATGGTGGGCGACCTCCAGAGCGCATGGAGTTCGGGCGAATGAAGCTCGTTGATGACGGATAATTGTGGTGGGCGACCTCGGGAATTATGAGCTTAAAGCTTTCAAAGTCGAAGTCCCTGTATTATATACATACTACCCAACACACAGGCAGTGTGTCTAGACGCTCTAGTTTCTCCTTGCGGATATGTTTGTGTTTCTGTTCTGTGAGGAGGCTCCCTCAGCATCCTTGCCGCAAGGTGAGGATGGAGGAGACGAGTGGCTGGTTCACTACAAGCCGAAAACTACAGTGTCAGACTGCAGCAAGCCTGTGGGATGTGGAGGTCACCACCACCTGCTGCGGGTCAAAAAAACATTTTGGGTAGACATACCGCATGCGATGTATTTCCCAAATTTCGAAAAAAAAAAAAAAAAAAAAACCTGAAATCAGGACCTGTGTCACTGCTTTGTTTAGAGATCTATTCGAAGATGTTGCCAGCGTAAAACATCTGCGTTTCAAAAAAGTACACAACCGAAAATTCAAAGCACGGGACGCGCCACGGGGGACAGGCGGGAAGTGGACGAGTTGCCGACGGAACTGTTCGTGAAATCCAAAGGGAAATGGGTCTGTGCAGGGTGCCAGGAAGATGCGCGACCTTCGTCAAAAGTCGTCTACCACTCCTTGCGAGTGGTACTTACAGCCTGTCAACTTACGACGACACTGGTTGGACAACGACACGTCAGGAGATCACAGGCGAAACATTGCGAAGAGGATAAGATCACAAACTACTCGCTTTGGTCCACAAAAACCACACAGCCGAGGCGCGTTTCTGACGACGATTCAAATTTGGGGGACAGAAATGCGGGAAAGGGGAAGGGCACAGGCAGTGTGTTGTTGACGTCACAGCACATACGCCGCAGAAGGAGGAACCATCGTCAAAGTCTTGCGAAGCTGCCTCGTGGACTTGATGGCAACGACACAAGCGACCACGTAAATTATCGGCAGGAGTTCCGCGCCAATATTGCTGCCACGCTGGCAAAATCACGGTGCTGTCTCGTACTGATAAGATTCGCCACATCACCAAATTCAAGACATCTCGACCCTCCACGCACATCTGCTGTACTGTACATACCAGCCTAATCATAACAGACCAACCGAGATGAATGCTTCAGCTCTATATACGGATCCTTAAAACAGAGCGCATTTCTTGGAATAGCAGACTACATACAGAATAAATCAAGGAAGGAAGTGTGATTTCACCTAATTCCAATAATGTCAAAACTATAGCTCATCGAAAGCTCCTCCTATCTGTCATGCTGCCAGCCAGGCTATTATAAAGACTGATTCTCGGTGTATTTATGATGTGACTCAGACCTGAAAATTCAGCATGCAGCCTTGGATGTGTCAACTTGGCTTAGGGTGGGGATGAATCTGAAAGTGGTGAGCAACACACTGAAGACTGTTGCTTCAGTAGGCGTTCTGTAGGCGTGTCGATGCGCATCGAATGACATGAAGACCCCTGCAGAGCAGATGAACTGTACTGCTGGCCATAATGTTAGTCTGCTGCACTAGCTCAGCTGGTTCACCTCAGCTAATCGCTTGGTGGCTTTTGACTTTGACAAAAGAATCAACTGCTGGCTGAAACATTCGTCTGTGCCAGCGCAGCTGACAGCTGGCACACCTCTGTGAATTGCTTGATGGCGCGATCAAACTGGCAGCCCTGGAAGTGGGGGCGCAATGGAGAGGCATGGATGAAGAGAGAGACTGTGAGAGAGATGTTGACAGGGAAGCAAGGAGACATCAAGGCGCAGCTCCCTCCCACATACCTCATACCTCCTTCCAGGCATCTCACACCTCACCTCCCAGTAGAGGTGCTGGCACTGGCAGCACTGCCAGAACTCCACCACTCGAGCCAAGACAAGGCAGGGGACCACCTGAGACCATAACACCACCGCTGCTGGCATTCGAGATGTTTCCAACTCTTACACACATGTCATCCCTCACCTCCCAGTAGAGGTGCTGGCACTGGCAGCACTGCCAGAACTCCGCTACGCGATCCAACACGTGACTCGGCACCACCTGTGTCCACGGCGCCGCCGCTGCTGCCTCTGAGGGCCCCAGCGCCTGCGGCTTGAAGGTGCCGTTGCAGCGGATGCAGCGCGAGAGCAGGGAGGACTCGCACAGGAGCAGGCGGAACGCGGTTACCACCTCGCGGAGCTGCTCGCGCTTGTCGGTGCTTCTAATAAGGTGCATGTGGGTGGGCGGCAGCAGGCGGCGCCGGAAGAGCTTCACGTCCCTCGTTAGAAGCACACGACCCTCCCTCTCTGCCCACTCTATCAGCTTCCTGTCGAAGGGTGAGGAAGCAGGGTGAGGAAGCAGGGTGAGGAAGCAGGGTGAGGAAGCAGGGTGAGGAAGCAGGGTGAGGAAGCAGGGTGAGGAAGCAGGGTGAGGAAGTAGGGTGAGGAAGCAGGGTGAGGAAGCAGGGTGAGGAAGCAGGGTGAGGAAGCAGGGTGAGGAAGCAGGGTGAGGAAGAAGGGTGAGGAAGCAGGGTGAGGAAGCAGGGTGAGGAAGCAGGGTGAGGAAGCAGGGTGAGGAAGCAGGGTGAGGAAGCAGGGTGTGGAAGCAGGGTGAGGAAGCAGGGTGAGGAAGCAGGGTGAGGAAGCAGGGTGAGGAAGCAGGGTGAGGAAGCAGGGTGAGGAAGAAGGGTGGGAAGTGTAGGAACGGAGACAGCACAAGCCCATTTGGCATGATACAATCACATTACAGATCCCTTCTTGTCAAACTTCGCGTGCCCAATTTACCCGACCATCATCCGAGCTCAACCATACCATACCTGGTGTCACACGTGTCTCGCCCGAGACTCTTGGGAGAGGCGGTGTCAACGCCCACACAGCGCAGCTGCCGTGCCAGCCCCTCCACCATGGAATCACACAGGAACCGCGCCTGCCCATCACCTCCCTGCGACACATCCCACGGCGGCACCAATCCGTTCCCATGCATGTCACTTGGGCGCACTGCATGATATGGTGACACCAGTCCGTTGTGTGGCCTGTCAGCACGAGCATCCCCTGCAGGCAGGGCCTCGTTTGAACACGCCTCATTGCGACGCGATTCAACCTCGCATGCTACAGCCGTGCCCGCTGCTTCTCCTCTGGACCCTCGCCCTGACTCCCCACTTCCCTCTCCTTCTTCCCCTCCTGTCGCCTCCTCCCCTTCCTCTCTCATCCTGCTCTCTCGTGCCTGCTTCCTCCCTTTCCTCGAGTTCAACCGCTTCCCTAAGCCATCCCTACCCTTCCCTGCACGCCCTTGGCCTGAACTCGCACTGCTGTCGCTGCCACTGCTAGTGCTGGTGCTGTTGTTAATGCCGTCCGTGCTCTTTCCCACAGAGCGCACCTTGCCAGTGATGTGGCAGAGGGAGAGCGAGTGGGAGTGTTCCTCTATGAGCTCTGACAGGGCAGCAACGAGAGTGGTGGTGCTGGTGCCTGCGGTGAGGGTTGCAGTCCTGTTTTGCTGCTGCCGATGCTGATCGTGATGACGATGCTGATAATGATGCTGCTGCTGCTGCTGCTGCTGCTGATGGTGGTGGTGGTGCTGCTGATGGTGGTGGTGGTGCTGTTGCTCCATGGTGTGCATGAGGCGATGGTGTGACTGTAAGGGTGGGAGTGCAGGCGTGACAGTACACGCAGTTACTAAAACAGATGCAGCCGGAATGGGCTGGTGAACAGCACAAGGGGACGCTGACGAGGATGCTGACGAGGATGATGCTGACAGGGATGGTGACGTGGATGGGCCTCCATGTACTGCTGCTAGTCCAACCTGATCTTTTCCATTTGCGGAAAGGGCATGGGCGGAAAGGGCATGGGGGGAAAGAGCATGGGCAGAGAGGGCGTGGGGGCGCGGAGCGAGTGGGAGAAGCGCGAGCGCCATGTGAATCAGGCAGAGGGCATCAGCAGCAGCATAGTGCAGCTGGTGGCGTGACAGCGGCCGGTGCTCCCAGTCACTGCACTGCAACTCCTTATCCAGTGGCGCTCCCAGCAGCACCTGCGCCAGTGCTGACAGCCCTGACGCGGGCGGCAGCACTGATCTGGCGGCGAGGGAGCCGGGAGGGGCGGCGGCGGTGAGGAGCGAGAGCAGGTTGTCGCGCTTGAGGTGCAGGCGCGTGCGGCGGATGGCGTGGTAGGCCGTGCCGATGTCTATGAAGGGTGCCACGTGGTGGAAGCAGTCCTGGCCCTGTGAGGGGTGCTCGTGCTCTGAATGGGGGGAGCGGTGCTGGTCTGGGAGAAGGGAGGGATTAACTTGAGAGTGGAGGGAGTGGTGGTCTGGGTGAAGCGACTGGTGGTCAGGAGAGTGGGAGTGGTGGTGTGAGGAAAGGGAGCGGTGGTATAAAGGGAGGGATTGGTGGAGGAACTCGAGGTCGTCTGAGAAGGCAAAGCCGAGCTTGAGGGTGTGAGGCGCGCGCATCATGGCACGGAGAGGGGGGGCGTACAGGCAGGGCGGGAGAGACAGTAGGTCCAGCAGCAGCACCACCTCCTCCCACCCATCCGCCTCCTGCCAACTCTCTGCATGCTGCCAGCTGTCCGTCGGTTGCAAGCTGTCCGTCGGATGTGGCAAGGATACCGTTTCACTCTCACGCTGCCCCACATGCTGTGGCTGGCTTTGCCCCTCTGTTGTTACCCCGCCATTCTGCCCCTCTCCTCCCTGCTGCTGCGACTGATCGTCACTGCCTGGCGTGCGTACCATACAATCACTCCCGTTATTGTCACGCTCGTGGTGGTCGCATGTTCCTAGGGGTACGCGGCATGCTATCTGCAGCAGTGCCACACGATGAGGGGGAAGAATGTCCACAGATGACGCTGCTGCTGCTGCCGTTGCTACTGATGCTGCTGATGCTGATGCCGCTGCTGCTTGAAGTGATGATGTAGCTGCCACGGCAGCCTGTTTATACACGTCAGCCTGTTGTGCCAGCTCAGCCACTTCCCGTCTGAGTCTGGACGGCCGCCACTCGGCATCAAGCCCCACCATGATTGCCTTGGACAGGATAACGTCAACCCTTGCCGCCCGGAAGGAGGCGGGAGAATCAATAAGGTAGACGCGGGAGGGGGAGAGGGGCATGCGCCAGAAGGGGGAGGGGGACGGGGAGGGGGAGCGGGAGGGGGAGGCGGAAAGGGGAGGGTTAACGGAGGAGGAAGGGAAGGGGGAGCGGGATGACGGAGAAGATGACGGGGAGTGGGGAGGAGATGGGGGGAGGGGAGGAGATGGAGGGAGCATAGCGGAGAGCTGGAACAGTGGAGACTGATCCGCTGCTGGTATCCGCATGTGAAGATGTTCTGATAGTGATGCCATTCCGTTCGTATCTTGGCCAGGCTGCAGGGTAAGAATGGCTGCTGGTGCTTGAAACGGAATATCTAAAAGTGTAACGCCTGTGGGCTGTGTTAAGGGCACTCCGCTGCGCCAAATAACACCCTCGTTTTGACCCAGTGGATAGCGAGGTGTTATAAAAAGACTCTGACGGGTGAAAGACTCTGACGGTTGTGATTGGATCTGAGACAGAATGTCCTGATGCCTCGGGTGTCCCGAATTCGGGTTACTGCTGCTGCGTTGCTGGAGGGGATGTCGGCGACGATTGCATCTGCGACAGCGGTGAATGCGACGGCTGGGCCTGCGACTGGAACTGGCGACGCTTCTCCTCCAAAAGCTGGTCGTCGCGCAACACGCCGCGGTGGAGGTTCTGTGCCACGTGGCGTGAGGGGATTCGCGGAAGCGAGTGGGAGTTGAAAAACGCGATTAAACACCATGAGCAGACGAAGCGGATCTGTGCAATGCCTTAAGTGCCACTTAGTGTCAATGAACACATTTCTGAGAGAATCGAAGCGTGACTGAATGATAGAGGAAGACACGAATATAGGCAATGAGAAGTGGTAGCACACCTCTCGCTCCTTCACTTGCAGCTGGTGCACGTATGCGACGCCAGCGACAGTCGCGAGGACCGTTACACCTAGCAGCACCTTCGCACGCCTACTGGACATGTCGCAGACAATGCCTTGGAGCAGCAAGGGTCCGAATGGGAAACGACAGTATATAGGGAAAGGAGCGCAGGAAGCCGGTTGCGTGTGAGGTGCGACAAGCTTGAGACAAGCAGGCAAAGACAGCAACCTTGGGATTCCCGAAACTGTGGTGGAATGGTGGAATGAGCAGGAGAGTGCTAGAGTGGAAGTCCCATCCCATTCGTTCGTCCTCACGAATGCGGAGGTGCAAACCTCGACTCGTTATAGGCGCTCGCAATACCACCTCGAGATTTCTTCATAACCTCGCGCAGAAGCATTTTTTGCTCATGCTGAAAGCTAACCCAACCCATCTCAACCGAAGCAACAAACAAGCACAGGTCTCCCTTGATCAGCTCCCCATTATTCCAAATTTCCCGCCAAGTCATGGTCACTCGAGCTCACGTGCTCCGCGTTGACGAACCAAAATGCCGCGCAGCAATCGACGCGTAGGAATGCGAGTTCTCGTCCTCGCGGCGATCGCAGCCGTCTGTCTCCCGTGGGGTATCCTCGTTGCCCGCTCATACCTCGCTGTCTCCCGTCTTCACTCCCTCTCCTCACACAAGCGGGCCGAGCCGACAGACCGCGTTTTGAACACATTCGCTGATTGGCGCTTGATTTCATTGCATATCCTAGCTGCGTTGCCAATTCTGCCTACGGATTGGCTGTTCTTCCGCAATTCCAGCGCCATACATCCTCTCCACCTTCGTCGCCACGTCAGCGATGACTTTTTCGCGCCTCGTGTACCTCCCTTACCATGGTCAGTCATTCCAGCTGATAAATCACCTGGAAAATTCAGCGGCCAATCAGATGCCGCCAGCTCAGAGGCACAGGAGCGACGCGTGAATGCAAGCGCGCCGAGCGGGCTGTGCATAGCAATCACATCCGCGCCACGATTGGACCCACAAAACTTGGAGCCCACGTGGCAGCGAGTCGTGCGGCTGCTGCAGGCATTAGACTCGAGGCGCGTGGGCGCTTGGAAAGGCAAAGGTGAGGGGAGAAGTAACGCTGGTGGCAATGCTAATGAGGGGATGGAGCAGGGAACAGAGAGAGTGGAAGGGGAAGAGGAGGGGGAAGGGGACGGAGAGGGTGATGTGACTGCTGATGATGTGCCTAAAACGGGGGAGGAGGTGGAGAAGGCGATTAGAGAGCTTAAAAAGCGGAAAGGGCTTGTGCTGGGTCAGGACATGCGGATCGTGCTGTACAGCTCAGCATGCCACGTGGTTGACCCTGTGGACTTGCTGACTCAGCAGGGTGTCGTTTTTGGTGAGGAGCGCTGGAGGGAAACGAAGCCACCGCAGCAAGGAAAGAGGCGGGAAGTGAGGAATGGTAGAGGAGGTGCAGTGGACAGGAAGAGTGGAATAAGGAACGGTCAAGAGGCGCCAGCGAGAGGCAGGGGAGGAAGAGGGAGAGAGATGAGCAGGCGGGAGATGATGGATGAGGCAGTGAGGAGGTACGCTGCTGGCGCTGGTGTGAGTGAAACGTATGTCCGACCCCTCATTCAGGTGCTTGCTCAGGCCGCCTTTGACAGCAGCACCACCGTTGACAACCACACCCAAGCCATCCGCAATGTGGCAGCCAATCTGTCCATCCACGTGGATATCCTGCCAGCTCATGCTGACGTGTGTACCTTTTTTGGGGATGCCGGTAGGCTGCTGGCTGCTGTTCCGAAGCGGATCATCGAGAGGAAAGGGTGGGCTAGATGGACATGGGAGGCAAAGATAGCTGTGGATGCTATTCACGCTATGCATCAGTGCCTGCTCACAAACCCAAAGTTTGTCCTCATCTTTGAAGACGATGTGATGCCGGTGTGGCTGTGGGACGCTGGCATTGAGCGGTTTCTCACGGTTGATCTTCGTGAGAAGCCTCCTTGGGATTTGGTGGCACTCTACTACCCGACGACATATCATTGGGGTGCGAAGCACGGAGATGCCTACGATTTCCCCTGCTGCACTCAAGCAGACCTTTTCAGGGCTGATGCTGCCAAGAAAGTGGTCAGCTATGTAGAGTCACGCTTTATGCAGAATCCAGCAGATATGCTACTGGGAGAGACTGTGAAGAAAAAGAAGCTTGTTGGGTATGCACATGTGCCCTCCTTGTTCCAGCATACAGGGACCGTTCGGACAGTTTCCATAGCTTATTTTCACAAGGATCTATATTTTAGGTATGATCATGTGTTGCGGTCTCTAGCTGCTGGAGCAAACGGGTGGTTGGCAGCAAATAGCACTTAGACCAACACATGCAGTTCGCAAATGATAATTAATTATGTATCGATACGATGCGTTTATCGAGTCATCAATGTGTATCAGCAGTGGCATCCGAGAAAAACACGTGTATGGGTACAATGGTGCGTCAGCAGCAGCATACGACGTCTCCACGACGTACAAGGTGCCCTGCATTTCCCCGCGCAACGGTTCTATTCTATCCCTCGGAAACCCCCCCTAATCCCAAATTCAACCCGCCTTCCCCCACATTCCCCAATTCCCCCAGTGCCGCACACCCGCACCCCGTTTCCGTGCCTCTGGTGTGAATTAGGGCGTGTGACCATTCTGCCTATTTTTGTTCCGGACGGTCCGAAATGTGGACCGTCCAGTTTAGCGAAGCGTTACCAGCGTCGTATTGTTTCGCATGTGTGTTCGTGGAACTCCTTGCGACGTCGCCAACATTCCGAACCGTCATGACACTTTTTCACGTTTCCAAAGGTCCGAAACGTGCATTTCAGACGGTCCGAAACCCCTTCGGACGGTCCGCCAGTTCTGCGCAGGGAATGGCGTGCGAATTTCACTCTGCCAACTTGCGACTTCTTGTGTATTTGGTTACGAGAGTCGCAGGAACTGCGCGAGACTACAGTAGTCGCGAAGTCGGAGTGCTAGCAAGAAGTGTCGTGGACAGTCCGGTTCTCGATATTAGGACAGTCCGTTTGAAAAAATACGGACGGTCCGGAAAATCACAAAAAATCAAAATGGTTACACGTCCTTAGCGCCCAACAGCCACTTCATCCGCCTGCCACAGCGCCAGCTGCGCCAACCCACCCAACCCAATACTTGAGTCCCCCCATTTTTCCAAACCAAACCGCCTCCCGCGCCTGTCAATTGTATTCCACCATTATTCCCTCGTGCACCAGCATCTCCTTCGTCACTAGGTTCTCACTTTTGTGGATTTAGAAACTCTGGTGTATCAGCTACCTTTGCTGGACGGTTTTTAGTTTTTGATTCGCTTGTTCTCATGGGGCTGCTGATCCAGCGTCGCGTGGTTTCATTCCTCGCGATATTTCTTCTCGCCGCGTCCCTCGCGCCGGGTCATGCGGCGGATTCCGATGACTCCGCCACGGCCGCGCCTCCGCGGTTCGCGCGCGCGCGGCTGAGGCGGACGGGGGAGCTCACGCTCGAACGCATCGCGGCGCAGCGCGAGTGGCTATCGTCCGCTGCGTTCAAGCAGCGCCTTCTCTCCGCCAACGGTCTCCGCGCGGACGGCGCAGAAGTCGGCGCAAGCGGCGCCGAGCGCGGGCCGGACGTGGTGCCGCTGAACAATTTCATGGACGCACAGTACTATATGGAGATCGGGATTGGATCGCCGCCGCAGACGTTTAAAGTCGTGCCCGACACCGGCAGCAGCAACCTCTGGGTGCCCTCGCGCCGCTGCTACCTCTCCGTACGACGCGCTCTTTCGTTACCATCTCTCGTTATTTTATCTCCTTATGGTCACTCATTGTAATCCCCCTGGAGCTGCTGCATCGTCCCCGTAGCTTCCCTGTTTTTTACTATCTCTCGCCATCGCTTCGTCTCTCCTCTCCGCTACCGTCCAGTGCACGCCTAACCTTTTCCCTTTGCCCTGCTTCCTTCCCCTCCTTCCCATCCTTTCTCTCCGCCCCCTTCGTCCGCTACCACTCAAATATTCTCACACCTCGCGATTCTTTCACCAAAAGCACACTTAGTTCAATCAATCCAACCCCTCCCTCCCCGCTTTCTCCCCCCTCCCTCCCCGCTCCCTTCCCCCTCCCTCCCCGCTCCCTCCCCCCTCCCTCCCCACTCCCTCCCCCCCTCCCTCCCCGCTCCCTCCCCCGTCCCTCCCCGCTCCCTCCCCCGTCCCTCCCCGCTCCCTCCCCCGTCCCTCCCCGCTCCCTCCCCCCTCCCACTCCGCTCCCTGCCTTGCTCCTCCCTGTCCCCCCTCTTCCTCGTCCCCCCGCGCAGCTGGCGTGTTTGAACCACGCCAAGTACGATTCGCGCAAGTCGCGCTCGTACGAGGCGGACGGCACGCCGTTCGCCATCCAGTACGGCAGCGGCGCGATGAAAGGCTTCCAATCAAAAGACGATGTGACCGTCGGCGACGTGACTATAACGGGGCAGACCTTCGCGGAGGCCACCAGCGAGCCGGGGCTCGCGTTTTTCGCGGCGAAATTCGACGGGATCATGGGGCTGGGCTTTAAGGAGATCTCCGTGAACGGCATCGTGCCGCCGTGGTACAACATGCTGGCGCAAGAGTTGGTGCCCGAGCCCGTGTTCTCCTTCTGGTTCAATAGGGATCCCGAGGGGGCGGCGGGCGGAGAGGTGGTGTTTGGGGGAGTGGACGAGGCGCATTACAAGGGCGCGCACTCGTGGGCGCCCGTTAGCAGACGCGGGTACTGGCAGGTACGCGTGAAGTGGGGGAGGGGGAAGGGGATGGGAAGGGGCAGGGGAAACGGATGGGGGGGATGGGGAGGGGAATGGGACGGATAGCGAAGGGGGGTGCGCAGAGGCATGTCATGGCATGCCATGCATTGTGGACGATTGTGCGTCAACATGGCATGCTAGTTGGCTGTAAGCTGCTTCTTGTGCTGGCGATTTGAGGCTTTGAAACTGGATAATGGAGGGTTCTGACTACCTCCTTCACGACTAATGCATTCACACTTGTTTGCATGCGTGTGCCTCTGTGTTTGTGTGTGGGGGCGCGCGTGCGCGCTCGTGCGTGCATGTGCATGAGTGTGCATGTGTGCATGTGTGCATGTGTGTTGGTGCATGCATGGCGGCCATGCAGTTCGACATGGGAGATGTGCTCATCAACGGCTCCACCACCAGTGGGTCATGCCCCCATGCCCCATGCCCCATGCCCCCATGCCCCCATGCTCCATGCCCCATATGTCCCATGCCCCTTGCATCTCGCTCATTCCTTTCCCCATATCAAGCTGCCTAGCGCCCTGTTCTAGGCTTGTAACTTGCAGGAGTTCTTCCCGCCCTCCGCCACCCACATGCATCCCCCATGCATGTATCACGCGCGCCGATCTCTCTCTCGCATCTCACCCCCCCGCTCTCACCCCATCCTCTCTCTCCCTGCCTGCCCTGCCCTCTCCGCCCCACCAGGCATCTGCAAGCGTGGCTGTGCTGCCATCGCTGACACCGGCACCTCTCTCATTGCAGGCCCTTCGGTACGCCTTGTCCTCCCCCCTCCTCACTTTCAACTCTCTCTCCCCCCTCATCTCCTTAGTGCTTGACCCTCCCAATGTTTTCCTCAAACTACCACTCAACCCCTCCCCACTTGTCTTGTCCCCTCTCGTCCCCTTCCCCCCACTCCCCCCTCGCTTCCCCTCCCAACCATTCCACCCGCTTTGCCCTGGGTCTTCCTTTCTCGCACCCATTCACTTTCCCTCCCCCCCCTGCTATCTCATGCCCCAATCTATATCCTTGCATATCCCGTCTCCACTTCCTCCCACTGTCAGACACCAGTGTTCCGTGCATGCGTGTGCCCCTTCATTCCATCTAATTTTCAAGGCTCCTCACGTTTGGGTACCACTTCCAGTTGGAGTGTCTTGAGCCGTTTTGATTCCTTGAACCCGGCTGTTCCTCGCCTCGCATTGTGCGGCAGGCGGTGATAGCGGAGATCAATGCGGCCATCGGAGCCAAGGGCGTGCTGAGCGAGGCGTGCAAGCAGCTGGTGCACGACTATGCTGTTATCATCATCGACCTGCTGGAGCAGAAGGTGCGTGTGAGAAGGTGTAGGTTACGAGGGCAAGCGTCGTCCCTCAAAGGCGTGCAAGCAGCTGGTGCATGACTATGCCGTCATCATCATTGACCTGCTGGAGCAGAAGGTGGGCGCGGGAAGGAAGGAGCGCGTTGTGCGCCATGAGTGAGAGGAAGGTGTGACTGCTGAGCAAAGCATGCGTGCAAGCAGCTAGTGCACGACTATGCCTTCATCATCTTTGACCTGCTGGAACAGAAGGTGTTTGTGGGGCAACCCTGTTGCGGCCACCATCCAAGTCCATGGTGCCACTGCCATGCCATGGCATGCCGTGGCCCCTGTGAGCCGTGGCGTGCCGTGCCGTGGCCCCGTGTGAGCCATGCTATCTGTATGCCTCTGTGATGACGTGGCTGCACCTGCAAACATCCATTTGCTTTCATCATCCCGCTCCACCTGCCTGCCACCTCGTCTCCATCTCCCCATGCCATCAGATGGACCCATCTCTCGTGTGTCATGCCATTGGCCTGTGTGACGACATGGCTGCAACCATGGCTCACACCACGCCCACGCCCAGGTGACCGCTCTCCCTCTACTCTCTCTCCTCCTAAGCCTACTCTCTCTCCTCCTAAGCCCGCCACGCCTCGCGTGGCCTAAATTCGAATCCATCATTCATGCCAGCCACACCTCTCTCTCCTTTCCCCAGATTCCTCTTTCCGCACTCACTCACTGCCCCTGCCCCCTCGCTCGAACTCCTCCCCCCTGGTTGTTTTGTCGACTGTGCCTCCACTCGTTTTCTTCATCTCCCCCCTGGTTCTTAAGGCGACTCAAGTCTGTTCTGCTGCTGCTTGCTCTCCTCATCCCCCCCTGCCAGCATGACCCGCCGCCTGCTTGGGTGGGAGGAGGACCCAGTCATCCAGATGCCCGGCGACCACGCTGACGTGGCAAATGCCGTCGGTGACAAGGCGAGCAGCAGCAGCAATGGCGGGCGAGTGGGCGATCCCAAGTGCTCGCTGTGTGAGGCGACGGTGATCTGGGTGCAGAACCAGCTGGCGAGGAACAAGACACGGGCGGAGATCATCAGCCACCTCAACAAGGTGCGCCTCCCCACCCTGCCACCTTGCCATGCCTCCCCACCCTGCCAGTTTGCCATGCCTCCCCACCCTGCCAGCTTGCCATGCCTCCCCACCCTGCCAGCTTGCCATGCCGTCGTTTCTGTCAGCATACATGGCACATCAACAGTACGTTTTCTCAGGCAGAAAATGGTGATCAGTCACCATTGCACCACCATGTACGTGGCACAGTATTTTTGCTGTATCAGGCGCGCCTCGTTTGCCTTATGCACCTTTCTCCCTTATGCACCTTTCTCCCTTTCCCTCCCCTCCGTTCCCCTCTCCTGCCCTCCCATCCCCTACCCGCTTCTGCCTCTTGTCCGCTTTCGTCCCCTCTCCTCCCCCCCAACCCTCCCTGCGCAGATGTGTGAGCACATTCCAAGCCCAGGCGGGCAGGCGCAGGTGGATTGCAGCAAGGTGCACAAGATGCCAGCTGTGGCCTTCACCATCGGGGACAAGCAGTTTGCGCTACAGCCGGAGCAGTACGTGCTACAGGCGGGGCAGGGCGGCCAGCAGCTCTGCATCAGTGGCTTCCTGCCCCTCGACGTGCCTGAGCCTCTCGGTCCCATCTGGTGAGGAGTTGTGTTTTCCTTCTTATGCCACATTCTCTTATGCCTCTCCTCCGAGTGTCTTCTACACCAAGAGCAACACCATCAGCAGCTCTGCATCAGCGGCTTCCTGCCTCTTGACGTGCCCGAACCCCTCGGTCCCATCTGGTGAGCTGGGATGTGTTTTTGTTTCAACGTTCGTTCAAGTCTTGACTGACTCTCTGCTTGAAGCCTTGAAGGCAGCAGCAGAGGTGAGCAGTTTGTGCATTAAAAAGAACCCCTGCTGCACCCCATCCCTTTTCCCACCCAACGATTCTCCCCACCCTCCCCCAATGTCAGGATTCTGGGAGACACGTTCCTGGGGGCGTATCACTCTGTGTATGATTTTGGGAATGAGCGCGTGGGCTTTGCTGAGTCAGCGTAGGGGCAGTGGTGCTGCCCTGCTGAGTCAGCATGGGAGTGGTGGTGTGCTGGTCTGGGGCAGCAGCAATGCGTTGCTGAGTCAGCATGATGGAGCAGCATGTGTGCGTTCCTCCTAGGTGAATGCACGTCATGCTGTGTTGTGCTGTGGGCGGTGAGGCTTATGCTTTATGCATGTGCTGTACGTTTAGGCATGAAACAATCCTATTTGATAATACTGTAGGAACCACGGCCCCAGTTACCGTCAGCCCCCGGATAGAAGCGCCCCTGGGGTTATAAAAAAACACGTTTTTTTAGGGGGTGCGCTTATAATTGAGGATTTTTATAAGCGCCGGTGCTTATATAATAGCATATATGAAATTCGTCGTTTTTCCACCAAACTGTAGATCCCGTTCTTGCGAATTGAATCGAGTCGAAACTATACAGGGTTCGATTGAGAATCTCGCATGCAAGTTGGCAGGGATTGATTCCCTGCCAACACACACAGTCAGAATGTGAAACTATACTGTACAAGGCTGTTATTGAGAATCTCGCGTGCAAGTTGGCAAGGATTGATTCCCTGCCAACACACACAGTCAGAATGAGTCAACGTGCGCCTTTGACAGCTCATTCTGACTGGACGCGTTGCCAGTGAGCCGGGCGAGGGTGAGGGGGCATCTAAATTCAAAATGTGGGAATGAAAATGTTGAGTTTCGTTACAACGATTTCAGTAAAATTATAATAAAAAAGAAGAGGGTGGCGCTTATAATCCGTAAGCCTTCAGGGGTGTGCTTATAATCGAGGACCGGATATAAGCGCCCTCATCCTCTTATAAGCGCCGGCGCTTATCCGAGGCCTGCGCTTCTATCCGGGGGCTTACGGTAAGAGTGATGCCAAAGCTAGCCGTGGTGCATGTGCCATAACCAGAGAAGCTAATTGGGGGCCACATGAAGAGGGAGTTGGAAAGGGGGTTGGAGAAGGAGATGGGTTGGTCAGCCGGGGGATGGGAAACAGAGGATCAAGAACATCATTCAAGGATTTGCGTACAACGAGCTCTCAAAAGTAGGAATTTACAAGGAATCTTGAGGGGCGGAGGATGTCAGTGGGGTTGCTTTGGCTCAGCGTGACTCTAAGGGCGTGTAACCATTTTGACACTTTTTTGGGCCGGACGGTCCGAATTGTGGACCGTCAGGGTAGCGAAGAGTTACCATCCTCGCATTTGGTCGCGTTGGCGCATATGATGTTGGCTGATTTTTTTCCGACAGATGCTTAGTAAGCGCATGAATATACCGTATGTAGGCGTAGGGAAAAGCATTCAACAATTCGAATGTTGTTGCATATTCGAGTGGCTCATGTTAGTGGTAACCCTTGTTCTTGTTGGGCTGAACGCCCTAGGATCTTTTGGTAGAGTTAAAGTCTGAGTAAATAATGTAGTAGCGGAAGCGTTTTTTGAGTAAAGTCCTTGAACCACCTTGCGCTAGTATGTGAGGGCAAAGTGAGTTGATTAAAGTAAGGAGATACAAGAATATATACGAGTACACAGAATATGAAGAGACGTAATTGTAACTACTTTACTGTTGCGGTTCGATGCAGTGCGACTCGGGCAACTGCTCAATGTCGAGTCAGTTGTGTGTCCTTGCTGTCGCGCTGCATTTGTCAGGTCAAAGGTCGCTGACCTTTGACTTTCTCGTAACCTCCAGCGGTTGCATCAACTTCTGAGGGTTGACTCGCTGGTGCTTCGATTTGCGCTGCTTCGCTTGTATCTTGAAGTTTCGACACGACAGAGGCGCTTAAGACTATTTGTTCCCAACATCCCCCTTCGCTTCTGGAGTGTCGCTGATGGTGACGTGGCTTTGTCCAGTCAGCAGCATGCAGTACTCGAACTTCTGTTTTCCGAGCTTCTTGGTCAAGTAGACAGCTGCCATCTCGGACGTGGGACAGTAGGATAGTTCGAGTTTCCCTTTCTCGATCTCGTCTTTCACGAAGAAATATCGCAGAGCGATATGCTTCGTTCTGTTCGCGAATCCGCTTTTGTTGGCGATGCGAATCGCAGATTGGTTGTCGCATAACAGAGTGAAGTTGGGTAACTCGGCTAGCTTCGCTTCTTCCAGCAGCTCGCGAAGATAGAGTCCTTCCTTGGTGGCTGAGCAGAGTGCGATATATTCTGCTTCAGCTGAAGAGAGAGCGATTAGTTCCTGCTTGCTCGATTGCCAGGAGATAGGTCCGATAGGTTCGAGGCGGTAGATGTAGCCAGTGCGGGAGCGTCTGTTGTCTGAGTCACCGGCGTGATCGGCGTCGACGTAGCCGATTAGTTTCGTCGGTGTAGTTGTATTCTTGTGGTATGTTAGACCGATCGTTGAGGTGCTTACGAAGTAGTGGAGTGCGCGGTCGAGCTCCGCAAGATGTTCTGCTTCGGGCCTTTTGAGATAGGTAGCGAGCTGGCTTGCGGAGTAGGACAGATCTGGGCGGCAGGTGACGGCTGCGAAGAGAAGGCATCCCAGCTTCTTTTGATAGTCTCGTATGCCGGCGGGTTTGAGTAGAGCGGGACCTCCCTTGACGTTCCTTGCCGTGTAGCGGTATGGCGTGGAGATAGTAGTAGGTGTGAGCGCGAAGCGTTTGGCGATAGTGTTGGCATACTTTTCGGCGCTGAGATAGATCGCGTTCTCTTCTTCGCGGATGTTGAGTCCGAGGTACTAAGTGACGGTAGAGGAGACCGTGAGTGTGAGGTCCCTCTGCAGCTCCCCTTCGAACCAGGTGGTTATGTCGTCAGTAGAGCCGATGTAGAGTAGATCGTCGACGTAGACGATCAGCAGGATGTAGTCGGCGGTTTTTGTGAGTCGGTACATTCCTTGGCCGTGAGGCAGTTGGCGGAATCCGATGCGAGTGAGGCGAGTATGTAGGTGCTGTTGCCACAGCCGCGGGGCTTGTTTGATTCCGTAGAGCGATTTCAGTAATTGACAGACTTGGTTAGGTTCCCCGTGGGTACCGTGTGGGAGCTCGACGAAGATTTCAGCGTCGACGGGTGCGTAGAGGAACGCGTTGGCGACATCGATTTGCCGCAGTTTCTTCTTCTTCATAGCGGCGATCGCGAGGAGAATTCGGAGTGAAGTATGTCGGCTGACCGGGGCGAATGTCTCGGTGAAGTCCCGTCCGTGCTCCTGATCGAATCCACGCACGACCCAGCGTGCTTTGAATTTCTCGATTGTGCCGTCTGCCTTTGTTTTGATGCGGAAGACCCATTTCCCGGTGAGGATGGTCTTGTTCCTTGCCACGCTTACGGGAACGACTTTCCCGGTGTTACGTTCCTCCAGCGCCTTTAATTCTCTGTCCATGGCTTCACGCCATTTCTCCCTGTGTTCCCCCCCCAGAGCCTGCTGAACCGTCGCAGGCTCTTTAGGAATAGCAGCGCCGTGGACTGCGGTAACGAGGCCGAGAATCTGCAGTCCAGTCTGTGAGTAGCGGGGAAGAGTTATGTCCTCGGGAGAAGCTGCTTCATCTCCCGCTTCTGGGTCGGGTATGAAATTCGGCCCTATCCGTGCTGCTTCGTTGGTGTTGACTGTCGCAGGTGTTCCGTAACCGTTGTCGGCGAAGTGGTAGAAGACTTCGGCGTTGGCACTTTCGCAAGGATTTTCTTCGTCCATGGGGACGTTGACGGAGCAGAACGGGAGAGGCCCGGCTTCTTCTGATGCGTTGTCGACGTTCTGCTCGTCCCAGTCTGCTTCGTCCGCTGCTGAGGCGAAGGCTCGGTCACCACGAAAGCCACCTGTGGGATCCTCATTTTCGTGCAAGTGGGCAAGGTACGTCTGAAGTGTGAGTCGTTCGTAGAAGATTACGTCACGTGCTGCTACTGTTTCCTTGGAGTGGACGTCAAAATTTTTCCACGCGTTGTAATTCTTTTTGATGCCGAGGTGTAGTCCCCACTGTGCGCGTTGTGAAAATCTTCCCGCTCGTGCTTCTGGGGGTCGGTACTGTACCATGCACCCGAAGACTCGTAACATTTTTGTGCTGCCCTGTTTCCCTGTCCACAGCAGATGCGGTGATGCGTTGTTCGGAAGTGAGGAAGACGACATCAAGTTGTGCAGCATGACAGCGTGGTCCATTGATGCAGGCAACTGGTGGTTGGGTAGCCGCATGCCGCGTAACAGTTTGCGCATGCTGTTTTGCAGAGTCCTGTTCATTCTTTCTGCGACACCTTGCTGCTGATGGGCATAGGGAAGGGAGAGAAGCTGCTTGATTCCTCTTTCTGCCAGGTATTGCTTGAACCGCTGAGAAGTGTATTCTCCACCTTTTCAGCTGTGCTCCCGACTCTCTCTCTGCTACTGGTAGCCAGGCGGCGAACGCTGCGAGTGCCATGTCGCGGCTGGGTAGGTTTAGATGCCAGACGTATCGAGTGGCGGCATCGATGAAGGTGATCGTGTAGTTGTAAGTAACTTGTCCTGGTTCTCGATTGAAGAGAATATCGCTGTATACCTTCTCGAGTGGTGCGTATGCGGGTGCGCTCGGGTTGTGGTGAGGAGTGAACGGTCGATGTGGTAAGTCGGCTTCGGGGCAGGTAAGGCAAGTTCCTCGTGCCCTTTGAAGTTCTCTGCCGTCGGGTAGTAGTAATGAGTCCTTGTCTAGGACTCCTGCTCTTATTGTATTATTTAACACGGTGTTGCTTGGATGTCCCATGCGTGCGTGCCAGATGTCTTCGGAGGCGCGGTGTCCGGGTGAGCGTCGATACGCGTCGGAGTTGGAGTAGAAGCTGGCGACGAAGTTTGCGCTTCTGTGGACTTCTCGTTGAGTTGGGTTCAGCTGCTGTGCGGGTGTTGGTGGTGCTTCGTCAACGAGAACTGGTGTCGCTGCTGCTGACGATGGTTCTGCTGCTGCCGGTGTTGTCTCTGTTGCTGCCGAATGTTGAATTGTTGCTAACGCGCGTGTTCGTTCTGCTTCAGGGATGGTGTGCGAGTACCAGAAGCCTTCCGGGCTGAAGTCTGAATCAAGATCTGGAGGGTGTGTCCAGTCGGCGAAGTTCACGATGGCGTCGCTGTCTGCGGTGCCTAGGTCTGGGACGAAGTCAAGGACGAAGATGTTGTTCTTCAGGACCGCCTTTCCGATGTAGAGGCTGCCCTTCTCGTGGTATAGTTTGAACTCCTGGGTG